AATCTGCCTTTGCCTAATAGCAAGCAGCATGTCAAATGACAGTAGTTGTTGGCAAATCCAAGGCAGGGGTGCAGAACAATTTTTCTAGTAAGTCCATTTGATATTTGTAACCTCATTTGTGGGCCATATGCAGTTACCAACTTGAAAATTGACCTGCTGTCAATTTACTGAATTTTGAGTTCCACCTGTGCTTGCCTTGGCAGGGCCAGAGTATTGGACCTCATGGGCTGGATGTTCCCTACCCATGCCCTAGGGATCTACAGCTTTTATTTTCTTGATGCCTATCAGAGGTGTCCCATTCCATCCCTGCCTTCGGTACAATGTTGGGTGTGCTGCATGACAAACTCAAGGGTTAGGACAGCTTTCGTTGGTGTTCCTCCTCTTGGAACAGGCTTCAATAAAAACTTGCTGCCAGGTGGGCTTCCCAAGATATGGATCAGAACAGCGTCTCCAAATATGACATTCACCTAGTGTTCTGTGTCATCCTCAAGGAAGTGATAAAAAAAAAGGTGCAAGATAATTCTGCCCCAGGTCAGTGCAACTCTGGAAACCATCAGTGTGGCAGGTCCCTGAGTTGGTGTAGCTTCTTTCCTATCATCTTCTGATTGTGTCTTTTAATAGGTATCTGGAATACTTGCCACTCACTAGGTTAGGTTAAGAAAATGCCATCCATGTAGTGGACTGCTGTCATCATCTGTGTCAACATGATCACAGTCCCTCCAGACTGTGTTATAACCATAGTGTTTCTGTCATTTGATGACTAGTTGTACCTCACTGTCCTTCCTGATGGTCATGAAAAAAGAAGACAATAGATCACTGAACAGGAGTGAGGCTAATTCTCTTTCCCAAAATGTCACATCTAAAATCAAAGCTGAAACTCGCATCACTGTATGATTAAAATAGTGGTAATCCATAGTCATGGTTCAAGAGTTTTATGACTTTGATCCAAGTAAACGGGCAAGCTAAAGTGAGGGTGATAGTAGGGTTCAGCAGCCCTGCATTTGTCCACTCTCTGACAGGGGTACTGATTTCTGTGATATAGTTTTTGGTTGCTTTCTTAATGGAGGGAGGGAGAGAATTCTTGGGCACTTTTTCCATAGCATCTCTTATTACATGGCATAGGGAACCAACATAGGTATTTGGTCAGGTGCGGCATGTATGCATGTCCACTAAAATTCAGGGAATAGAGACATAAACACAGGATAGCCCTGTGTTCCCACTGGACTCTCCATGGAGCACTAAGGCTGACTTTTCTCTCTCTCTGCCTCTGGAAGTCCCACTCTGACTGGTAGACCACGTTTTTGATCTCTAAGAATTAGTATAGTTCAGAGTTGATAACCAGTAACCCTTGAAAGAATTATGTATTCCACTTCCCATAAAGGAAAATCAGCCTGGAAATGGCTACAGGTCGCTCTGTGTGAGACAGCTTATGGCCAAGGAAAGGCTCACAGTCATATTTGGACCTTGATCCAGCATCCCTTGATTATACCTATGCATTCTCTAGACTTGCTGATAACAGTTGCTGCAGTTTTTTTTTTTTTTCAATAAAGGCAGCTTTAAGGGTAAACTTTGCTCTTCTGACTCCTTTGGATTATATGAGGCAGTGAAGGATGATGGGAGTAGATAGGATAATATGCATCTCCTTTCTGTGAAACCACTTGAAAGGGCTTGGGGGTTGAGGACATTGAAGACTGCTCAGGGAAGGGTATGGGTAGGCACTTTGAGCAAGCAAGTTCAGAGTCCCACATTCTTAGCCTCATCAGTGTCTGCCCATGTGTGTGTATCCATGAGTCAGGATCATTCTCATATCCAGCCAGTGCTTTTATGTTAGTGTATGAAAATGTGTAGGATCAGGGCCCAGCATGGTGGCCTGGTGGCTAAAGTCCTCTTCTTGACCATGCCAGGATCCCATATGGGTGCCAATTCTAATCCCAAGAGCCCCACTTCCCATCCAGCTCACTGCTTGTGGCCTGGGATGGCAGTCGAGGACGGCCCAAAGCATTGGGATCCTGCACTCACGTGGGAGAACTGGAGGAAGTTCGTGACTGCTGGCTTTGGATCGGCGCAGCACGGGCAGTCACTTGGGGAAGTGAGCCATGGGACGGAGGAACTTCCTGTATCTCCTCCTCTCTGTATATCTGACTTTACAATAAAAATAAATAAATCTTTTAATAAAATTGTAGGATCATAGGCTTCACTGACTATAGTCCTTATATTAAAACTGTAGACCCGGGGCCCGGCGCGGTGGCGCAAGTAGTTAAAGGTCCTCGTCTTGCACGCCCGGGATCCCATATGGGCGCCAGTTCTAATCTCGGCAGCCCCGCTTCCCTTCCAGCTCCCTGCCTGTGGCCTGGGAAAGCAGTAGAGGACGGCCCAAAGCTTTGGGAACCTGCACCCACGTGGGAGACCCGGGAAGAGGCTCCTGGCTTCGGATCGGCATAGTATCGGCCGTTGTGCTCACTTGGGGAGTGAATCATCGGACGGAAGATCTTCCTCTCTGTCTCTCCTCTCTGTATATCTGCCTTTCCAATGAAAAAATAATAAAAAATAAATCTTTTAAAAAAAAAACTGTAGGCTCAGTCATTAGTGCTGGAAACTTAGCAGCTACAAGAGACAAAGGATCCTTGAAAACAGCTTTAGATTTTCAACCTCGCTGGGAATTCACAGCTTTAAACTCATTGCTTGCTCTGTGCGTTTTCTCAAGGACAGTAGTAGCAGCCAAAGTCCAAAGTCAGCAATTTTATCATCCTGCCTTCCATCTGTGTTCAGTCCTGTGACAACATCACAGGAGGTAATTTCAGTGGCCGTGTCACTGTGTGCTATCCCCTCCCTGCACAGGAAGATAATCCTGGCACTATCACATGTGCATCCCATGTTTGTGGCTGGATATCAGTTAATTACATCAGTCACTTGACATACAAGTAATTGAAGGTAGTCTATCAAAATGGGTGCTTACTAAAAGCAGGGCTGAGGGAACCAGCAAGGCGTGGTGAATTCCTCTTTTTACAAACAAAATTAAGAAACAGTATTACTCTCAGACTTGGAATTGCAGCCATGGGAAAAAGAGCTGCCTGGTAGGAACTGTAGAGAAACTATTGCTGTCAGAAAGAGAGTAGGGATTAGGGCATAAATCACTTGAGCATCCTGCTCCTCCTACCTTCTGACCTGCTGCCTGTCATCAACTGAGCCCGGTTAATGGCAAAATATGTAGCTTTTGTGTTTAGTCCACAGAGAGCAGCCTTCATGGGGCAGAAAGAGTGGTGATTATATCTAGAAAGACATGAAAAATACCTAGCACAGGATCAAGTGTGCACCTAGAGTGAGAGCCTCTGTATGTAACTACCTGTTGTGTCACCATTCTCTTAGGTATGCGCTGGGTACAAGAGAGCTTGTCCTCCCCACCATCTCTGTTTTTCCTCTACTCTTGATATCACTTAGGGAAGGCTTGAGGCCTGATATCTTCCTGTAATCCTGCTCTTGTGGGTTACAGCGCAGTCAGACATGATCAGAAATCCATGGTGGTGCATAATAAAGTGCCAGCAGGACCTGCCAGATGCTGAGTCTCACATTTTCAAGTCAGAAGTGTGGGAACTATAGCTGATCATCTTCCCTCTCTCATGATTTCTGTTGCAGAGGGTAAGGATAGGCTAAAGTGGGTCCTGGAGTTCATTCCCATCTACTCTAGAAGGGCCATGTGTTCCTCTTGCTCTAGTCCTTAAACAGTGGACCACTGGGACAGGAGGACAGACTCAACTCAGGTGTTACCCTAGACTCACTGGGGACTTTTACAGACCTTTATGGTGCTATGTCTTATTTATTTTTAAAAGTTTATTTATTTGAAAGGCAGAGTTACAGAGGGAGATAGCAGTCTTCCATCTACTTGTTCACTCTAAATGACAACATAGGGCTCAAACCTCAGGCCAGCTTCTGCTGCTTTCTAGGTGCATTATCAGCAGGGAACTGGATTAGAAGCACAGCAGTAGGACTTGAACTGGTGCTCATATGTGATGCTGCACTGCCAGCAACAGTTTAATCTACTGCTCCACTACCCTGGCCCCAAGGGCTCTATAATATAATATACAGTTGTCACCATCTGTATTTAGGAGGAAACAGTTATACTTCCATAGATTATATAGCAATGGATTCAACTACATATACATCTTTTCTGTATTTCCAGGAACAAATACAACAATTATTTCTTAAGAAGTACCCTCCACTGAAACTCATTCCACTTTAATAATGATTTCTGCTGATTTACATTTGAAATCACTGCCTGAATATAATCTATTCACAGTGATCAGATTTGTCAGAAGGATTTCTTGAAAGTAATCATCCAAGAAAATACCCAGGCAGACTGCTCTTTTACAAAGTATTGTTTGGTGTCAGCAGAAAAGTATGGACTCTAGAGTGTTTCAGAGGTGACATCAATGTGACATCTCAAACCCTTTAGTGAGTGAAATGGTATTAACCTACTACCTTTGTTCTGTATGAAGATCTGTAATATCTCTGACCAGGATCCAATGTGTAAGAATCTTTAGGATGTTAAAATGTAATGGTTAAGAGGCAGGACTCTGGCGTCAGACAACCTGGATTCAAATCCCAGTTGCTTCATTTGTAACACAGATAGTTACTTACTGTACAGGATTGTAATTGAAATTGTTCAGCAAACTCCACTAGTTAACTGTAATAGAAGATTTAAAAACCACACTTTGAGTCCATCCAATTAAATGATGAGTGCCTGAACCCAAATGAACTGTGGATATCAACTCCCAGAATTAAGAAACTAGGATGCTAGTGTTTGAGTGTGACTCAGTGACAGACAAATAACAGAAGCTAAGTCGTTAGTCTAGCTAGGACTTAAGAGCAAAAGGAAATTCCTGCCAGAATAATAATGAAATGAACTTAATGAATAAGGAATGAGAAGCAATAGTATTTAAAATGGCTTTGCTAATCATTTCTCCCTCCCCCCCCCCTTTTTTTTCCTCTTTCTGTTGGTTAAGGTTGCATGATGGAAGTTGAACATAACCTTAAGAGGTTTTATGTTTTGGATTAGTTGTTTGTCCCCTGCTGATTCTACGGACTCTATTTTGGTATTAAGTGCAAAGAGATTATACCATGGACTACAAGGAAAGCTGCCCGAGTGTAAGCATTCCTAGCTCGGATGAACACAGAGAGAAGAAGAAGAGATTTACTGTGAGTATGTAATTTAAGGCATTTTGGAAAACGTACGATCTCGATACTGTTCCCACCTCAACATTGGTCCTTAGGTAACCTAAAACCACCTCCTCCACACTGGCAGTGACCATGTACTCAGGTTTTATTTCTTCTGAATGATCTATCCTCTGCAAAGCCTTCCTTGCTGGACATAATGGAGGAAGTTTTTGCTTGTTTAGTGCAGACTTTTGCCTTTTTTACCTTATCGCTTGAAGAATATCGTAAAGGCATCTGAAAGATTGTCTTTCCAGACAGTATGCCTGTGTGTGGACCAGTGTGTACTCTTAATTTTATGTGTTCCTTGAGAGGTTTAATGGGCTTCTGAAGTCATTGAACCCTTGTGACGAGGTATGTGGATGGAAATGTAGTGCCCGAGTCATTTTGCTTTAAAATATTGCAACAAATACAAATGAGCCCGGGGGGGGGGGAGAGGAGAGGGGTAAAAAAGAGTCCTTACCTTAGAATTTCTTAAATGTCTTACAACATTTATTAGTTTATACCTCATTTTAAAAAAATATCCTGTAATTCATTTCTTTTTCCACCCTTAAGACAATGTCCATTTCTCATTTTACTTATCACCACAGTATTAAAAAGTTTTATGAAGAGTAAGCATAATAAATATTTATTGTATTGGTCTATCAGTGATTATTACTGGCAAATAATCCTTTTTATAATTAGTGCAGTAGGATAATACGGTGCTGCATTTAGTACCAGTAGTCCAGTTAATACGTGTGGATCTCTCTTCCATCTGTAAATGTGTCGTTTATAATGGATCATGTCTGCCCTGTATATTCTCCCTACTGAAAAGTCTAAGAAACTTATGTAACCAATTCTGTTTACTCATGGTTTGATCTACTAATTTAAACACTTTCAGGTGAAACTGCCCAGATTGTTTTAATGTTTTTTCCTGCAGGTTCATACTATGGTTTCTGAGAGGAGGGATATCCCTGTTCACAGTATTGGTTGAGTTGATGATGGACCTCATAGTAGCCTCCTGAAGGTTCCATTCCAACTAGTTGGCAGTTATCTGACTGATTGAGCTGTACCAGTCCTGAGCATTTGGCTGGCATCCATTCATTATTGACATGTGCAGTTGATGTCCTACATGGTGTCATTGTTGGCTGAGCCAAAGTCTTGTGGCTCACTGCTGACTCCATACCTCAGTTGTGAATAGTCTTGACACATATGCCTACAGTTCTGGCTCATTGGTCCATCCTGACCTCTGATAAGGGAGTTACCTAACCCTTACCATTTGAGTCCCATGACAAGTGACTTCAGCTCTAGGGTTCATGACATGTGGGGTTAAGGAAAGCTAATGACTTGAACTAGATTTTTATATCCCACACTGCCTTCTAAGTGGAACTAGGTGCCCCCAAATGGTGGGTTTCTCCCCAGGTTCCAGACAGAGCAGGGAAGCAGCCCCTTTGCCTTCTGATTTCCCTTTTTAAACACCATCCCTCCCCCCTTCATGTGCTATAACAAGACATTGCAAGATGTGTTTGACCATTTTCCTCCCCTCAGGCCTCCCCTGGCTGCCCAAGTATAGCATTAAACAGTGTGCATGGTACAGCATTAAGCAGTGCAATTGTAGAACATTTTTGTATAAGGAAATTTTTTAGCAGTATGCCATTGAAGGTGGATTAATATACTTTGGAAGTCATACTGGAGTTTGTGAAGGATTCTTTTCTGTCTCCTGATTTTTACCTTTGAGCTGCTCTGGCCCCCAGGCACTGTTTGACAGACATGGCGCATGGAGGTACAGCGTGTTATCTCAAGTGTCCTTCACTTTCTTAGAGTAAAACTGTTACCATATCTTTCATGAAAGGATCGAGGATTTGGAATTCAGTCTTATCCAGCTGGCCCCAGGATGTGCCATGTCCTCAAATGCCTCTTCTAAATCATCTCGAGTTTTGTTGTTAAGATTTATTTATATAAAAAGCTGAGTTTACTAAGAGGCGGAGAGAGATACTTTGCTGGCTGGCTCCTCAATTGGCCACAATGGCCAGGGTTGGGCCAGGCCAAAGTCAGGAGCCAGGAGCTTCACTAAGGTCTCCCACATGAGTGCAGGGGTCCAGGCACTTGGATTGTATCCTTCTGCTTTCCCAGACTCATTAGCAGGAAGCTGCGTCAGAAGTGGAGCAGCTAATGTTGCAAGTGGCACTTTTACTCACTATGCCGCAACAGTGGGGTACTAAGTCACCTTGTTGATTTGCTGCTTCAGTTTCTTCACTATTACTTATTGGACAGGCTTTCTGTGACCATCTTACATAAAATAGTACCTTACACCCTTCTTTTGAGTCTTTGTTCTGCTTACCTTACGTAATTCTTTCCACTAGCTCAATGCTCAAATAGGGCTGGGCTAGGCTGACACCATGCGACAGGAGTCAGGAGCCTTTCTCAGGCAGATATAGAGGCCAAAGCACTGCTCTTCTAGGTGCATTAACATGGAGATGGATCCAAGTAGAGCAATTGTGTCCCAAACTAGCACCCATATAGGATGCCAGCACTGTAGGCAGCAGCTTAACCCGATATACCCAGTGCTGGTCCCAGTTAATTTTTTAATAGCATTTCCCACCACCTGTCATATTTGTGGTTCATTTATGTCTGCCTTCCTTACCTGGAATACAGGGTCCTTTGAAGCAAGCATTTCACCAGCCCCTGGTACAGAGATGACAGATATTCAGTAACTATTGTTTGAATTCTACTGAATGAAGAGTAATAAGTTCACAACTTAGTTGGTGTGCACTAATTGATTCTATTCAGTGCAGATAGTCTCTCCCTGCCCCCTAACACACTCTGTCCAGCCTCACCAGCCCAGGGTTTACTTTATTCTGATGAACAAAAACAGGCATTGTGGGGCCTGGTGGTTTGGTGTAACATATTACGGTGCTGCACTTTCAGCCACTGCTTATGACACTGATGTTCTGTATCATGCTAGTCTAAGTCCTGGCTTCCTGGTAATAATTACTGCTAAAAAGAAAAGAGGAAAATGACATTAAATGAACCTATTCTTAGGGGAAAAGAGTCTGTTTTAGGGGAAAAACATGAAGGTAGCAGTGTTAGAGTTCAGTATGTCTAAACAATGCGTAGGTAGTTGTTCACTGTCTTATTCTCCAAAAATATAATTTTATAACATTTTAAAGTACAGCCTTTTGTGAAGATAAAAGAAGTGTTTCAGTTTATATGTTCATGTTCTTTTAGAATCACAAGGAATACCTGTTCACAAATGTAAATGCAGGTTTTCGGTATTTAAATAACTAATGGTGTTTTATAATTAATTCTTTTTTTCCCCCCACAGGTTTATAAAGTTCTGGTCTCCGTGGGCAGGAGTGAGTGGTTTGTCTTCAGGAGATATGCTGAGTTTGATAAACTTTACAACACTGTAAGTAGTAGTTACAGAATTTCTAATTTCTATTTAAATCAAAGTACCTGAAAAAACTCTTACATAAAGAGATGTATTTGAGGAGTCAATACCATGGCTTAATAGGCTAATCCTCCTCCTTTACTTGTCAGTGTCCTGTATGGGCACCAGTTCCAGTCCTGCTGTTGGACTTCACATCCAGCTCTCTGTTTATGCCTGGGAAAGCAGTGGAGGATGGCCCAGGTCCTTGGTCCCCTGTACCTGTGTGAGAGACCTGAATGAAGCTCTTGGATTTTGACTTTAGATCAGCTCAGCTTCAGCCATTGTAGCCATTTGAGAAATAAACTGGCAGATTGAAGAAGTCTCTTTTGCTAATTTTCTCTGTAAATCTGCCTTTTCAAATAATAGAACTTAAATGAATCTTTAAAAAAAAATGCGGGGGCGGGGCACAACTCCATGACTAGCTAAATCCTCACCTTGCAAGACCCAGGATCCCATATAGGTACCAGTTGATGTCCTGGCTGCTCTGCTTCCCATCCACTCCCTGCTTATGATCACGGAGCTTATGAAAGGACAACCCAAAGCCTTGGGACCCTGCATCCATATGGGAGACTCATCAGAAGCTCCTGGCTCCTGGATTCGGATCAGCTCAGCTCTGACTGTTGCAGCCATTTGGGGAGAGAACCAGTGGATGGCAGAGCTTTTTCTCTGTCTCTATAAGTTTGAACTTTCAAACAAAAATAAATTTTTAAAAAAATCTTTAAAAAAAGGACCGTGTCTGAGTGATGAAGCTATTGCTAACAGAGATCAGACGAGCGAGTAAGAGCAGGCGATTCTTTAAAACATTTTAACTTTGAAATTCTTACAAAAAAGGCGAGAAAAACACTGTTGAACAATTCTAAAGAAACTGTTTAAATGGGAGAACTAAGAGGACAGGTTGTTTTTTAAGATTTCTTTCTTTGTTTAGTTGAAAGGAAGAAAGGGAAAGACAGATTCTGCTGCTTCACTCCCCAGTGGCCATAACCACCAGTGGGCCGGGAACCTGAACTCCATCTGAGTACCCCAGCACTTGGGCTGTCTGTTGCTGCTTTCCCAGACACATTAAAAGGGAGCTGTATCTGGGCCTGGCTTAGTAGCCTGGTGGCTAAAGTCCTTTCTTTGCATATGCTAGGATCCCACATGGGCGCCAATTCGTATCTCAGCTGCTCCACTTCCTTTCCAGCTCCATGCTTGTGTTCTGGGAAACCAGTAAAGCATGGCCCAAAACCTTGGGACCCTGCACTTGTGTGGGAGACCCGAAGGAGGCACCTGGCTCCTGGCTTCAGATTGGCTCATCTCCAGCTGTTGCAGCCATTAGGGAGTGAACCAACGGAAGGAAGATCTTTCTGTCTCTCCTTCTTTCTGTAAACCTGATTTTCCAGTAAGAACAAATGAATTTTTTTTTTTAAAAAAAAAGGGGGGGGGGAGCAGATCTAAAGTGGAACATCCAGGACTTGAGTCAGAGCTCACATGGGGTGCCAGTGTTACTAGCAGCAGCTCAACCCACCAGCACCATATCACTAGCCTCAAACAGCTTAAAATAAGTTTTAGTGTTGTGCAATGTTAGAAATATTTTCTGCCCAGCTCTTTACTAATCCTTAGTCATGAATTGCTATAAAAATTATCCAGTTGTAAACTGTACACCTTAAAATCTTTCATGGGCCTATTCTCTTTTAATAGTTTTACTTGTAGAGAATTCATTATTCTGAGTTATCTAGACAATAGAACCAAGGAAAACTACATTTAAAATTTTTCTAGATGTGGGCATTTATTCTAGTAGTTGTGATACGCAGTTCCTGTATCACAGTGGCTGGGTTCAGTCCAGCTTCCTGCCGGCACAGTCACTGAGAGGCAGCCTGTGGTGACGTCAGTCGCTGAGTCCCTGCCACCCACACAGGAAGCACGGATTGAGCTCTTCATTCCTGGCTGTGGCCCTGGACCCAGCCCTGGCTGCTCCAGACATCTTGGAGACTGGATAAGAGGCTCTTAAACGAATGAATGAATGAATGAATGAGGTCTCTATTCAAAGATAACTATTACCATTTTATTATTTTCTTCTCTTTATATTCAACCAAACTAACTTTGTATGTTTTTTTTAATATCTTTTTTTTTGTCTGTATCTGGGGCAAGGGGAGAAACAAAAGGAAAATCCCCATCTAGCCTCCCACCTATCCCAGGTCCCCAATGTGGGGTATGCTCTGAGGGTCCTGCTCAAGCAGTTTTGACAGTTGAGCAGTTCTGAATTGCTGCCAATATCGCTGTTCCAAGTATGATGAAATCTATTCAGAATCCACTGGCTGACATAGTCTCTTCATGGTTGAGGTTCTGAGATCAGCAGTTCAGTTGGAGGGATCTCCAGGGAAACTTCATCTGAGGTGATCCCAGACCTAATTCTTGTGTATGCTTGCCAATACAAGGTCTGACACCGTCCGTCACCCCAGTCAGCTTATGAACATGCTGATCATTGCAGTTGCTGGGTCAGTTCTGTTTCCAGCCCTGTCTTCCACACAAATCAATGAGTGTTGGAGCCCAGCCCGATCCTGCCCACTTCATACTCGGCCCTCACACAAACCAGTTGGAGCTGCAGCCTAGTGGGAGCTGCAGCCTAGTTGGGGCAATTCCCCATAACCTCCACCAGACCTGCCCCCTATTTGGTTCCTATGCTTGCCACTATGTGCTATAGAGTTGTTCAGTCTGTCCCACATCCCATTTAGCTCTCGTACGTGTCAGTGGGCATTGAAACCTACCTAGTTCAACCCAACCAGTCCTACTGTCCAGCCCATACACATACTGGCGGATGTCTTTCTGTCTAGCCACCTCTGCCCATGTCCTGGTTTTCATGCTCTCCAGTGGGAGTGGTAACCCAAGATACATGGTTTTAATTGTTGCTCCATAAAAGAACATTGAGGCAGTCCTTTCTGGCTAAAAATGAAGTCCTACTTTTGAAACTAAATAGTAGCCAATAAGAGTATCTGTGAATGTCTTCTGTAATTTTTTTTTCAAAGAAAAGTATTTATAGGACTCAATAGCACAAAGAAGGGTAAATTTTTTAAGGTTTATTTCTTTATTTATTTGAAAATAGAGGTACAAAGAGAGACAGGGGAGGGGGGAGAGACAGAAAGTTCCATCTGCTGGTTCACTCCCCAAATGGTGAAGCCAGGAGCCTGGAATTCCATCTTGTTCTCCCTAGATGGGTGGCAGGAGCCCTAGGACTTGAGCCATTTTCGCTGCTTTCCTAAGCACATTAGCAGAGAGTTGGGTCAGAAATAGAGCAGCTGAGCCTCAAACAAGTGCCCAATTAGGATGCTCTTTCCACAGGCAGGGCCTTAATCCACTGAACCATAATGCTGGCTACTGTACTCTGTAAATTTCTAGTGATTTTTGAAAATTGTTTTATAGTGGAGGCTAGGTAAAGGTTGAACTGTTTGCTCTATGTAAGTCTTACATGCCTGTTATCTCCGTGGTCAGTCTTTTTGGCAAGTGGGAAGGTGTGTACGAATCTGACTATAGCCATCAGATAACCTAGGTTATAATGATGTAAAGATAAAACAATAATAGTCCCTTTCTCTTTCTGTATCACATACATATACACAAATGCACATATGCTTTATATGAACTTTTTAGAAAAGATCAAATTTTACACAAAGGATTTTAATTGAGATTTGAGACTTTGTCTCAAATGTATATGATTCCTTTGTATATGATTTCTTCTGATTCTGCCTCTGTGGTGAAAGAGAAAAAATCAGGAGAATGATAGTGATTGTGTTGTTTAAAGACTACAGAAGTCAGGTTGAACATGACCAGGATTTGCCTGAGTTCAAAAACGTGATTTTCTTTTCTCTGTGGCCCTTTAAGAACAAAAGAAAAGACAGAAGGTAAAAATTTTCAGTCTGTAAACATTTTTCTGGATATTGCAGGCAGTGTGCTCTTGGTGTATAGTGAGGAATAAGTTCTTCCATTTTTTTGTATTTCCTGTCAGTTTTTATATGTATGTGTAGTTTTGTCATCATAGTTACTAATAAGAATATATAGTTCTCTCCTATTTCAGTTAAATAAATTTACACAGATAATATCAGATTTAATCACTTTACTATCTTTAATTTATATAACTTTAGCTTCTTTAAGGACAAGCAGATCTTATCACTGTATTGGAATTTCAGAGGAAAATACATAATATGAACCTAGAATGTTGAATACTATAGGCTTGGAGGAGTGGAAGGGATAAAAGAAGTTTATAAAAAACTAGTGAGGGGGACCCTGCACAATGGTTCAGGAGCTAAATCCTTACCTTGCAAGTGCGTGATAGGATTCCATGTGGAATTCTGTCCACTCTACTTCCCATCCAGCTCCCTGTTCATGGCCTAGGAAAGCAGCAGCAGTTGGCCCAAAGCCTTGGGCCTGCACCTACATGGAAGACTCAGAAGAATCTCTTGGCTCCTGGCTTTAGATTAGCTCAGCTCAGATCAGCTCTGCCCATTGTGACCATTTGGGGAGTAAATCAGTGTATGAAAGATCTTTCTCTGTATATCTCCTTCTCTCTGTGTACCTGCCATTGCAACAAAATAAATGAATCTTAAATAAACTATTGTCAATGTATTCATGTAGATAAAGCATCTTTTTTTTTCCATGATACTAAATGACAGATAACATGTGTTCAGAACTTATACACCAAATTCTAGTTAGCACTTAATATATGATTTATGTTAATCTGTCCACCAAATATAGAATATAATTTCTAAAATTATCCACATTTTATAGACAAGAGAATCAAAGCAAAGAAATGCTAAGTAATAGATTCAGATACTAAATATTTTATTGGGACAAAAATGAGTGATTAGTCTGTGGCATTTTATTGGTATAATTAAATAATGTGCATTTGATTTAAAAAGTATATCTTTTTTTGGCCTGGTACCATAGCCTAGTGGCTAAAGTTGACACTTTGTATATGTTGGGATCCCACATGGGTGCTGGTTGTGTCATCACTGCTCCTCTTCCCTGGCATCCTGCTTGTGGCCTGGGAGGGTAGTCAAGGATGGCCCAAAGCCTTGGGGTCCTGGATGCATGTGGGAGACCCCAGAGGAGGCTCCTCGCTCCTGGTTTTAGATCAGCTCGGCTCTGGTTGTTGCAGCCACTTGAGGAATAGATCAATGAACAGAAAATCTTTCTGTCTTTCCTCTCTGTATATCTGCATTTCCAATAAAAACAAAGAAAGAAAGAAAGAAATCTTTTTTAAAAAGAGGTATCGGGGATCCAATGGGATGTGGATCATTAGGCCTGGGTCCTTAGATGTGCCTGCTTGTTGAGTGCTGCTCCATGAGCCCCAGGACTCGGGCCCTTGGGCCCACTGACACGGTGATGCTTGTTCCATGAGCTCCTGGGTAGAGGTGGTCATCCAGCAGAGCCCAGGTCTCTTGGCCCGAGTCCTTGGGTCTGCTGGTGAGAACTGGTCCTCCTCAATGGAAAAGGTGGAGCAGTAGACAGCAGGCCCAGATGCATGTGGAGGATATGGCAACCCATTGGGACCTGCAGAAGACATCTGATACAGTGCCAGAGGAAGGAGAACAGAACAAACTGGACAACTACCCCAGCCAAATGATGACAGCAATAGTCTGGGAATGGAGACTCTAAGGTGGACTATGTCAGCCAGTGCACATTGGAGGAAGGGTTTCCTCATTCTTGGACTGGCGGGATCAGCAGCATTTCAGAACTATCGAAACCACTTAGGCAGAACTCTCAGAGTCTGAGCCACGTTGGGACCCTGGTGTCATGTGGCCATTCCCCATCCCCGAGTAGTGGGGCAGTTGGGAGGCTGGGAATGGCTTCTCCCCTTACCTCCCTACTTCTGCCAGAAATGGGAAGAAAAATAGTTTAGAAACAATAATCCTACCTACTTTTCCCTAGCCCTCAATCTTTCCCACTCTGATCAACTATATAAACATCATTAAAAATTAAAAAATTAAGTGTATCTTTTTTAATAAGGATTTTTCATGGTACATTTCCACTTAAATAGAGATTTCTCCTTCCACCCTCTCTAGACCCTCTCCCCCACACTGTTTTCCCCTATATTACAGTAATATAGTCCTTTAGCAATCACAAGTCCATCATTTTCCTGTTTAAATGTTTCATAATAATGTAGGTATAGACAGTTATAGAAAGTCCAGCATCCTGTTTGATTTAAAATATTTTAAAGTATAATTGCGATTATTATAAAAAGGATTGTATTTGGGCTTGGCACACGTATAACCAGAAGACTTACAGTACTTACTAATATACATGACTTTTTTTTTTTTTTAATTCTAGCTAAAAAAGCAATTTCCTGCTATGGCCCTGAAGATTCCTGCCAAGAGAATATTTGGTGATAATTTTGATCCAGGTAAGTAGTAAGCTCATAGGTTTATTGCTAAATGTTGGTTAAAATTTGAAAAAGTAGGGGCCCAGTACAGTAACCTACTGGCTAAAGTGCTTGCCTTGCATACGCCAGGATCCCATATAGGTGCTGGTTTTTATCCTGACTGCTCTACCTCCCATCCAGCTCCCTGCTTGTGGCCTGGGAATGCAGTGGAGGACTGCCCAAAGCCTTGAGACCCTGCACCCACCCACATGGGAGACCTGGAAGAAGCTCCTGGCTCCTGGCTCCTTGCTTTGAATCAGCTCATCTCTGGCCATTGCGGCTACTTGGGGAGTAAGCCAGTGGATGAAAGATCTATCTCCTTCTTTTTATAAATCTGACTTTCCAATTAAAAAAAAAAACTTAACAAAAAAATTGAAAATGTAGTTGACGTCTTTATTGCATTGTGTGTTGGCACAGGACATTAAAAAAGTTTATCTCATGCTCCATGAAAATAATGCTTCAGCAGGTGCTATCTCTGAGGCATATTTTAAACACTTCTTGTGTTATAATTTGTTGGATTTTCACAATAATCCTGTGAGGCAGAAAGCATTGATTTCATTGCAAGTTTACGAGCAAGAAAACCGAAGCACAGTTAGACATGAATTTGTCCAGTGTTATGCGTCAGTATAAACAGTATACTTGGAGGTTTAGTTCTAACCTTGTGGTTTCAGTTTCGAGTGAACAAGCAGAGCAGATAGGAGCACATTCTTGTGCTCTCATTTCTTGGGCTTCCTCTGCCTCTCATATTCATTTTTTTTTAAAGATTTATTTTTATTATTTTTTTATTGGAAAGGCGGATATACAGAGAGGAGAGACAGAGAGGAAGATCTTCCATCCGATGATTCACTCCCCAAGTGAGCCCAACGGGCCGATACTATGCCAATCCGAAGCCAGGAGCCTCTTCCGGGTCTCCCACGCGGGTGCAGGTTCCCAAAGCTTTGGGCCGTCCTTGACTGCTTTCCTAGGCCACAGGCAGGGAGCTGGAAGGGAAGCGGGGCTGCCGGGATTAGAACCGGTGCCCATATGGGATCCCGGGCGTGCAAGGCGAGGACCTTTAACCACTTGCGCCACCGCGCCGGGCCCTCATATTCATTTTAAAAAACAAAACAACAAGGCCCGGCACGGTAGTCTAGCAGCTAAAGTCCTCGCCTTGCACGCACCAGGATTCCATATGGGTGCCAATTTGTATCCCAGATACCTTCACTTCCAAATCAGCTCCCTGCTAAAGCCTGGGAAAGCAGTAGATGATGGCCCAAAGCCTTGGGACCCTGCACCCACATGGGAGACCTGGAGGAAGCTCCTGGCTCCTGGCTCCGGATTGGCTCAGCTCCAGTCGTTGCAGTCACTTGGGGAGTCAGTCAGCACATGGAAGATCTTCTTCTTTGTATATCTGACTTTCCAGCAAAAATAAACAAGTCTTTTTAAAAAAACAACTCATTATTTATGGGACCTGTTAACAGCACTGTTCTACCATGCCAGTGTTGCCATGATGTTAACCTCGTTGCAGTTTTCCCAGGATTTATTTGGCTCTGATAGGAGCTCTCTTCAAGCTGCAGGCTTTTCCTCATTTTATCTGAAATGACAAGTTTGCGCAGATTTATTTTAGTACAAAAAATTTAGAACTCTATGTAGCTTTTTATGCTATACATTTTCTACGACTATTTTGTGAGCCCCCTGTTTGTGAGAAAGAAAGAGGGAGAGAGGGAATAGAGAGAATATGCATGCATTCAAAAATTTACTTTTATTTACCAAGATTATTTACCAAAATAAACTTACCTTTTAATTTTCCCTCAACTTTTTGAAATGGCTTCATAATTGAATTATTTATTCCTTTATATACTGAATTATTTCATACCAAATAGCAATGTGCTGAAAATAGCTTCTTAATGAGAATTCACTGTTGGTATGTACTATTTTCTTTCATTAACTGCCTTGATGCTAATTATTTTGATACAAATCATCCTAATTGTCTGTATTTGTCTTTACAGATTTTATTAAACAAAGAAGAGCAGGACTGAATGAATTCATTCAGAACTTAGTCAGGCATCCAGAGCTTTACAATCAGTAAGTTGTTTCCATTATGTTCTACAGGGACAGAGAAGCCAGACAGACCTAAGGGTCATAGCCTCATACAGGCTTTATCCATCCTGTGCAATATAATTGTGCTTTAAATATAAAAATTTCTCTCTCTCTCTCTCTCTCTCTATATATATATACATATATATATATATATCATTTCCCTTGGTCTTCTTCATCCCCCTTTCACTTTATCAAATCAATTTGATAAAGTTAGTGAATTTCTAATTATTGGACATTATATTTATTCCTGCCTTATAAAAAAGTATTTAAAAGTATCTGCTATGTGATTTGAGAATATAATGCTAAGTGAGTATTATAACTATCCTATAGACGCGTGGTCTCCGAGTCTGGCAGGAAAAGCAGACTTATACACAAATTATTGAGGCTAGAACATTTTTATGATAGAAATGCTGAAAGATAAAAAATTATGGCCAATTCTTAGGGAGATTAGGCATGGCTTCCTGGGAACTGAGTCATAAGGAATCTTTTAAGAAAGAAGATAAGAGCATTTGCAGCAAAAGGAGCACCTGGGAGTTCATGTTTGCTTTGTAGACCGGCAGCACGGGGGAGTGAGGACCGTGGGTCCTATCTGAACTCCCTAGGAATATGTGTTTTTATTTTCCAGTCTAGTTTGGTTCATACATATTCATTGTATTTATTGTGATCAGAAGTTTGTATATGTTACTTACATTGTTTTGTATGTATGAAATAGTCTAAGAAACAGAGGATAGCATAAATTAGCTGGGGAACTTTTCCACAGCTTATTTCTCTGTAAATGTGAAGCTTGCCTTCTAGGCAATGTTTGGAACATGAAACACCTGATTTTGAAAGACTCTATCTGGGTAATTTTTTTGAAGTGGTAATTAGCATTTGTCTAGTTTGTTACAAAGCCTAGAGAAGGCTTTGATCATTTTGAGCAAATTCTGTGAGTTGCCTTTCATTTGATTACTTAATTCAGTTTACTGAACTAAGTGAAGTCCTAGCGCTGGGCCTGTTGGGACAGCATCTTCCTGGCAGAGATTTCTGCTGATGCTCTTGGGTAAAGCAGAGCTTGGGGTGCTCCTGTACCTGTAGCAACACCGGGGGAGGCAGTGTGGTAAGAGGGAGTTATTTCCAATCAGTGTCCAGCAGGTGGTGACGGGTGAGAAGCTGAAAGGGTCCCTGCACCTCAGCTCCTCTGCCCGGTTCGTTGCTCAGCTGGGAGGCTCTTGCTGTGGGCTCTCTTTGTGATTATCTTTAAAATTTCAGGTTCCTTTCTCGTTTCTGATTTTTATTGTAAGCACCAGAATTTTTTTTTTGAAATGACACATAATCGGCTTTGTAAAAATAGAATTTATACATTCAGAGCTTCAGTGTTGTTGCTTCTTGTGACAGGACCTGGCATGCAAGCAAGTGTATAATAAATGTGTGGCTAATGTTTCTCCTGGTAATTTAAGTGTTAAACACTAACATTATCTAATAAATGTTCGTTCTAGATCTTGACCTAGTATGTAAAGATGTTCTATTTGATATTAAAATTCAAATGAAAGCAGTTCAGTTTTTTCAATGTATATATACATGTAATGTACATGATTGTAGGTATACAACTCTGTGGATTTGTGTCATCACTGTTCCATTAAAAATACAGAACAATTCCAACATTTCAAAAATAGCCAAGAGATTTTTAAATTTCACTTCTTTTAAAAGCAGAAATGTTTTTTTTATTTATTGGAGAGGCAAAGAGAGAACGAAACAGAGAGCATTGCTGTCCAAATTCTTATTAACAGCTGGAACAGCAGTCAGGAGGTGGGAACCCCATTCAGATCGCCCACCCAAACACTTGAGCCATAACTGCTACTACTCAGAGTATGTTAACAGGGAACTGGAGTGAAGAGCCAAAAGTGAGAACTGAATCCCAAGTATTCCAATATATTTGGAATGTGGGTATTCTAATGGCATCTTAACCAGTAGACCAAATATGCACGCTTATGCTTAATTTTTAATTGGCTTTCTTACTTAATTAAAATATGTCATTTCATATGTTCTGGATCTTACCTGTTGTTTAGTTTTTAAAACTTAATGTGCACATGCTTTCTGTAAATCATCAGTCTATTTTATTTATTTTTTTTATTTTAAAGATTTATTTTATTTTTATTGGAAAGTCAGATATACAGAGAGGAGGAGAGACAGAGATGAAGATCTTCCATCCGATGATTCACTCCCCAAGTGAGCGCAAGGGCCGATGCTATGCCGATCTGAAGCCAGGAGCTCTTCCGGGTCTCCCACGCAGGTGCAGGGTCCCAAAGCTTTGGGCTGTCCTCGACTGCTTTCCCGGGCCACAGGCAGGGAGCTGGATGGGAAGCGGGGCTGCCGGGATTAGAACCGGCACCCATGTGGGACCCGGGGCGTGCAAGGCGAGGATCTTAACCACTTGCGCCACCGCGCTGGGCCCTATAAATTTATTTTAAAAGTGGTTTGGATTTAAGGAAGATGCCAATCATCAAATGTGTCTTTAGCACCTGCAGTGTCCTTGACATTATTGTGAGTGAAATGCACTTTAAAAATAGTTGTGCTTTGAAGGATGAGTGTGTTTAACCTAGTAAATAAGATGCCCTCACCCCATGTCAGAGTACCTGGTTCAGTTCCTGACTCCATCTGCCTGCTAAGGCAGACCCTGGAAAGCAGCAGTAGTAGCTCAGGAATTGATGACACGCCACCTTTATCCAGGGCCTAAATTATATTCCCAACTCTAGCTTTGGTGCTGACTTTCATCATGGGGAGTAAAACAAACAAGAAAAGGCATTCCATGTGGGTACCAGTTCGAGTTCTGGCTGTTCCACTTCCAGTCCAGCTCCCTGCCAATAAGCTTGGGCAAGCAGTAGAGGGAAACAGCTGAGGACAGCCTGAATTCTTAGACTCCTGTGTCCATATGGGAGACCCATGAGAAGCTCCTGCCTTTGGCCTGGCCCTGCCCTGGCCACTGTGGCCTTTTAAGGTGTAAGCCAGCAGGAACTCTGTCTCTCCTCTCCTCTCTAACTATGGCTTTCAAGTAAATAAGTAAATCTTAAAAAAATAAAAGCAGGCAGAAACAAAGTTCTTGTCTACTGTTGCATAGAAGCTGTGGCTGTCCCTAAGTGCCTTTTCTTGTTTGTTGGAGAGAAAAATCCTACAGCTGGGTCTGGGCCAGAATGATGCTGGGAGCCAGTAACTCCACCCCATGAGGGTAGCGGGACCCTAGGATTTGAGCCATCCTCTACTGTTTCCCAAGTGCGTTAATAGAAAGTAGAATAGTCAGAATTTACACTGGCACTCCATTATAGAAGCTAGCTGTGTTAAGTGGCAAATTAGCATGCTAAGCCACAATGCCACCCAATATTTCAAGAGAATTTTAAAATAGCATTTCTTTAAAGCAGAAAAGATAATTTTTGAGAATCACTGATTAAAACTGAATTTTCAGATCAGTGCGTTTCTGGAATAAAATGTTAGTATTCTTTCCTCTGAATGGAAGAGGGATATCTAAGCATGTTGACAGTGAAAGACTTGTAAAGAAGCAAAATAACGGCAAATTTGACTTTTAAAAAAGTTTTGAGCCCCAGCATCATATGCAAAAACTGAAAATTAAGGATTTAGAAAAAAATTTCTTGTTGATAAAAGAGGACAGGTAATAAATACACTAAACATGGAAGGATTGGGTCCCAGGCAACCAGGCAAACAATATACACTGAGCTATCAGGAGAGAAATGGACAGAATACACACATAATGTACAGAAGAGGAGACACAAATGGCTTGTTGTCATATCCTGTGTACTTAACACATGAAGTAGAAGGGAAATGCCTTGATTTTAATTGTAGCATAATGTACAGCATAGCACCCAGGTTGTGACTGTAGAGCTCAGTGAACTGGGAGAACGTGAGTACTCTTGATTTGTCCCAACCAACACACACACCTAGGCTGAGAAATCGAGTGTTACCATCAACCTGAAGCCCTTCACACCTCCTCTCAGTCCATGTTCCTTCCATCTTTTCCAGTGTTTGCCTCTGGAGTAGTGTGCTTTGTTTTTCTACTATATGTTCATGGAATCATACGATGTTTATTCTCTGGTTTTCAACCACGTATATGTTGTTGTTTTAGCTATAATTTGTTCATTTCCATTCCTGTAAAGTATTCCATTGTATAAATAGTCCACAATTTATCCATTATACTTAATACTCAAAGACATTTGAATTGTTACCATTTCTTGGCTATTATGAAGAGTGTTTTCTTTATATCTTTTGGTGCTTGTATGCAGAGATTTCTATCTCTTTCAGTACAACTCTTTAGTTGTAAGAGGAATGTATGTGTGTGTGTATGTGTGTGTGTGTGTGTATACATATACACACACATATATATGTATGTATGTGTGTTTATAATAGTTTTCCAAAGTGAATTTCCCAGTTGACACTTCCATTGTGATAGGTAAATAGGAATGTCTTGTGTTGCTTTAATGTGTCTTCCACTAAATACTGATAGTTAACTGCTTTTGCTTTAACATACCAGATCATCAGAGATGGCAGTATAAGATAAAACAGTTTCTGTATACAAAAAAGCTAGGGGAATGTTCAAAATATACATGTATCACTAAGAGAATGCATTGGTAGAGGCTCTGGAAACCAGTTTAACAGACTACTTGAAGTGTTAAAATGAATTATACTTTAGATCACATAGTTTTGTTTTTGAAAATCTGTTCAGAGTATCATAAACGTAGTTCCATTTTTATGCATAAAGATTGCTGATTGAAGCATGGTGTACAAATAATATAAAAAAATAGAAATAAAAGCAAACATGGCTTACAGTAGTGAAATTGTGTAGTGTAGTAGAGTTGGAAACCATTTATCCTGAATTGGAAAACTGTTCAGTGTACAGTGAGATATAAATTTATATAACTTAAACATCTGTCAGCAGTGATCATTTATAGAGTTTATAACAAACTGGAAAAATGATTCTGATGTAAGTTTTAGTTGAAAGGCAGGAAGATAAAACTAAGTATAGCATGATCTTAACTGTACAGAGAAAAAGGTTGAAATTAAATATATATATATATAAAATGAAATATAAGACATATTGATAATGATTTTATGATAAGATTGAAGCTCCCTACCCCTACTTTAAAATTTTTATTGAGATAAAATCCAGTTAAGGGTGGATTTCAATATTCTGTATAAACACAGAACTTTAAAAATGCTATAGAATTGTCATCACCATCCACTGATTCTATCACCCTGTTTCATCTCGTATTTTTATCGCCACCTGAAAAAGAAAGTATATCACCAAATTTTCTTGTCTTCCAATCCTTACTAACTAATCAACTCTTTTTGGATTTACCTATTCTGGACGTTTCATTTTAAATAAAGTGCACTTGGTGACCTTTGTCCTGGCTTTGTTAAGAGATTTTTTTTTAGGTTCATCTAGTTGTAACATATGTCAGTACTTTGTTCCTTTTTATAGCTGAATGATGTCCCATGGTAAGAACAACTTCGAGTTTGTGCATCCACTTATCAGTTGACGAATACTTGGAGTGTCTCCACTTCGGGCCTCTTAAAATAGTTTTGCTGTAAATGTTCATGCTTGAGTATTCATTTGAACATTTACCTTATTTATCTTGGATATATACTTAGGAATAAAATTGTTGGGTCATATGGTAATTTTGTTTTATCTTTTCAAGAAGCAGCCAAATTGTTTTCCAGACAAGCTGCCCAATTTTACATTTTTTTGCCAGCCCTTGTCTTGCCTTTTAAAAAATAAATTTATTTGAAATGTAGAGTTAGAAACAAAGCAGGGAGAGACAGAGAGAAATCTGTATGCTGGTTCACCTTCCAACTGGCCACGGTGGCTGGTACTGGGCCAGTCCACAGCCAGGAGCCAGGACCTTTTTTCAGGTCTCCAGTAGAGGTGGCAGACATCTGTTTTTACAGCCATATTAGCAGGGAGCTCAATCAGAAGTAGAGCAACCAGGACCAGTAGTACCCCTATGAGATTGCAGCATTGCAGGCAATAGCTTAACACACTGTTGCCATAATGCTGGCTCTTCCTTGTCTTTCTAAAAATATTTTTTCATCTTTTGAATTTCCTAAAATGAATGCTTATCTTTTGTATTGACATATTAAGAACAATGGGTAGTGGAGGTGGCAGGTTTAGCAATGTAGTCATTCTTCAGGATTGTCATTAGTTCCTATACATCCCCTCTAATTTTTATTCATTTCTCTCTTTCTTCTCTGGACTCATTTGTTCATCTTCACTGTTGAATCCTACTGTAAATCATCTATTTGTGTGTCTCCTTGGATATCTATCTTTTGAGAATTTAGACTGTGCTTAGTATCTGTATTTAATGATTTAGGATATTTTACATACATAGATATAAATGATGCTGTACTATAGCTCCTGGTTTCTAGCTGGCTGCTAGCTGATGCTCCATGGACAGTTACTATAGCGATTTCCTCATTTCCCTGGTGGTAAATCCCTTGTGGTGCACGCTTTGTTCCTAGTTCACTATGGTAGAGAATACTGCACTGGCATTCTGGTAACATGCCTCTTAGTGGACCTGTGCAGGATGTTTTTCTATGTATGGCTTATCCCTTGAACCGGAATTTCTGTATATATGTGTGTATATGCATATACACACAGATTTAATGTTATATCTGTTTATATATAAACAGTTTTATCAAGTATTGCAGAATTACTTCTCAGAAAAATTGCCTTATTATACATTCTTACCAACCATACATAAGCATGTCTCTTCCCCTTCATTCTTACCGACTTTTTCAGCTAGTGGGTATAAAGTTGAATCTCATCATTGTAATTTGTATTTTTCTGGTTGTTAGTGAGGTTGACAAATTTGCTTGCTCTTTAAATTTCCCCTGATATGGACTGCCTGTGTGTAAATAGTGTTGCCTATTTGCTGGGTTTCCTACATCTGAAAAGTTAACTTATTTCCTCATTTTATTTAGCTTTGTTACTGTGTTAATATGGTTATTTCTACATTTGATTTTCATTTTAAGTCAGAGAAATGCTATAGAAATGTATTCAGTCATAATAAAGTTAATTTTTGTTTTCAGTCCAGATGTCAGAGCATTCCTTCTAATGGACAGTCCAAAGCATCAGTCAGATCCATCTGAAGATGAGGATGAAAGAAGTACTCAGAAGGTAAGAGGAACTGAATTTTTTACAGGAAAAAGTACTACTATGCAGAGATGAAATTAGTAGCAACTTCAGGACAACGTTTATTCTTTAAAATGGAACAATTTCATTCAAAGTAGCTTTTCTTTCACCTATAGAATACATAAAAATAAGCATACCTGCTACTAATTACCATTTCATATAGATTCATAGAATATTTTATAATAAAAGAGACACAAATTAAAATTTTGAAAACAGCATATAGTTAAAATTACCCATGTTATCAACACTCAGACCTAACAATTTAGAATATTTTGTTGTTTTTCTTTTCAATCCTGATGTTTCAGGGTTTAAAAAGTGAAAAGTTTGGCCTGGCACAATAACGTAGTAGTTAAAGTCCTCACCTTGCATGCGCCGGGATCCCATATGGGCACCGGTTCTAATCCTGGCAGCCCCGCTTCCCATCCAGCTCCCTGCTTGTGGCCTGGGAAAGCAGTAAGAACAGCCCAAAGCCTTGGGACCTTGCACCCGTGTGGGAGACCTGGAGGAAGTTCCTGACTCTTGGCTTTGGAATGGCTCAGCTCCAGCCGTTGCGCTCACTTGAGGAGTGAACCATCAGACGGAGGATCTTCCTCTCTGTCTCTCCTCCTCTTTGTGTATCCGCCTTTTCCAGTAAAAATAAATAAATCTTTTAAAAAAAAAGTGACAAGTTGCAAGGCAGATATCTGGCACAGCAGTTAAGATGCTCTTTGGGATCCTTGCATTGTGTTTGGAGTTTCTGGGGAGGGGTCGTGTGTCTATTTCCAGTCCAGATTCCTGATACTGTGGACTCTGGGAGGCCGCAGGTGAGCTAAGTATGTAGAACACTACCAGCCCAGCTGGGAAGCCCTGACTCAGCTCCAGGCCTCCAGCTTTTACAAGCCCCAGGCTTTGCAGCTGTGGGCTTTAGGGAAGCAAGCCATCACACTCTCTCACATACTCTCTTTTTCTGCCTTACAAATAAAATGAAAATAAGTGAATTCATTTTTTAAAAAATTGTAACTAAATTATAATTATATAGCATATGCAGGATTATATACTATTTCTTTCACTTTATATCGTATTTTTCCACCAATATATATTGTCATCATTATTGCAATCATGGAGCTATTGTTTTGAATTTTGGCTAGCAGGAGAGGCCTTCTGAGGTGAATACAATACTGTCCTTCCACACTGCTGGGCTTTTCTGTATAAAGCAGTCAACTCTGTATGACATGCTTCGCAGCTGGCACCAGTTGTTGTTTTTGCACATAGGTTGATACTTCAAAATGTCATAGATAATTGAATTAAAAGATAAGCTACTTGGTCCAGTTTAGAAATCTGTACATGGGCCCAATGCAATAGCCTAGTGGCTAAAATCCTCACCTTCTGCACACCAGTATCCCACAAGGGCACCAGTTCGTGTCCTGGCTGCCCCACTTCCCATCCAGCTCCCTGCGTGTGGCCTGAGTAAGCAGTCGAGGATGGCTCAAAGCCTTGGGACCCTGGACCCACGTGGGTGACTTGGAAGATGCTCCTGGCCTCAGATTGGCTCAACTTCGACCGTTGTGGCCGCTTGGAGAGTGAATCAACAGGTAGAAAATCTACCTCTCTGTCTCTCCTCCTCTCAATATCTGACTTTCCAGTAAAAAATAATTTTAAAAATTAAAAAGAAATCTGTACGTAAGGTTTTCTTCTGATACATATTTTCTGTGAACTTTTTGCCTGTTATGTTTTTATTTGTTAGACATGAAAAGGTAGGGATCACCCATCCACTGGCTCACTCCACAACTGCACGTGGCAGCCAGGGCTGGGCCACACAGAAGCCAGGATTCGGAATTCCATCTGTGTCTCCCACGTGGGGTGGCAGAGACCCTATCCCTGCATGTTAGCAGGAAGCAGGGATCATGGGTAGCCAGGACTTGATCCTAGGTACGCTGATTTGGAATGCCAATCCCAAGAGGTGTTTTAATCTCTTCACCGAATACTCATGCCTCTATGTACCCCTGTGTGTATAGCCAATATGTGTACGTAATAAAATGTAGGAGATTCTTTTTTTTAAGATTTATTTATTTTTATTGGAAAGGCAGACACACAGAGAGGAGGAGAGATAGAAAGGAAGATCCTCCATCCAATGGTTCACTCCCCAAGTGACCACAACGGCTGGCATTGCACCAATCCGAAGCTGGAAGCCAGGAGCTCTTCTGGGTCTCCCACACGGGTGCAGGGTCCCAAGGCTTTGGGCTGTCCTTGACCGTCTCCCCCAGGCCACAGGCAGGGAGCTGGATGGGAAGCAGGGCCGCCGGGATCAGAACCGGCGCCCATATGGGATCCCGGCACGTTTAAGGCAACGACTTTAGCCGCTAGGCCACAGCGCCTGGCCCCAGGAGATTCTTAATCTTAAAATTTCATTGTCATTCAAATAAGTTTGTGTCTTATTATGAAGACATTTCTAGGATTTATCTGAGGAAGTTGTGTCAGAAACAAATTATAATTCAGAGTATTATAATGGATCAGTTTACTGTTAGTATTATATAAATATAATACCTTTATCATTCAAAATTTATTAGACCTATTTATTATATACAAGAAAAAAGACACTGGTTTGAAGGCCATTTTTCTTTGTATATCTTTTATTTGGTATAGTGTTTTTGTGATTCTAAAGCTAATATGTTGCAACATTACTGTACATTTGGCAAATAGATCAATTTGTTTTTTGTAATGATTGGAAAGTAATCTTCCTTTATCAGTGCCCTCAGAGAATTGTCAGTTAAGAGAAAAATTTGCACTTTAACATCTGTAATATCGTTGCTTCTAGGACAGCATAACATGGACATTTTTATTTTACTTCTTTTGTTGCTGCTGGTTAGAACAAAACAGCAAAATGGAAAACACTGATAATAATTCATGAGAAAAAAATAGTGTCTCTGAAAACCTGTACAAATGCATTTAAAATAAAACAGTGTTTTCAGAGATAGAAGGAAAAGAGAAATGAAGACTAGTGAAAAAACTCACAAGAAAATGCTAATTAGTAAATAAAAAATTTAACAAAAGGATTTTTATTTCTCTATCAAATTTACAAAAATATAAATGAAATATAATCGGTCCATAAAACTGTGAGAACTGTTGGGCATCATTGCTGTAATTATTATATGCAGCTCTTTTGGGAAGCAGTTTAGCACTATCTATCAAAAATAAGGGGCCCAGCATGATGGTTCAGTGCTAAATCCTCATCTAACACATACTGGGGTCCCATGTCGACACCAGTTCATGTCCCAGGTGCCCTACTTCCCATCCAGCTCCCTGCTTGTGGTCTGGAAAACAGTAGAGGATGGCCCAAAGCTTTGGGACTCTGCACCTACATGGGAGACCTAGAAGAAGCTCCTGGCTTCAGTTCAGCTCAGCTCCACCTGCTGCGGCCACTTGGGGAGTGAACCATTGGACAGAGGATTTTTCTCACTGTCTCTGCTTTCTCTCTGTAAATCTGCCTCTTAAATAAAAACAAATCTTTAAAAATAAATAAATAAAACCACACTAGTTAAGAATGGAGGCAAACAAAACAATCCTTTACACATTAAAGAAGCAGAAGTAATTACCTTGGTATGTGTATAATTTAAAAAAAATAGAATCCACTTAATTACTACTCAATACTCTTCTCTATACTTCTTATCTTTTGAAAGTATTTTTCAAGCTTTTTGAGACACATGGCAAACCCCCATCTGCTGGTTCACTTTTTAAATCCTGTAACAGCCAGGGGCAGGGTCAACCCAAACACCATTCTCCTAGTCCACATCTCCCGTGGGAGTGATGGACATCCAGCTATGTAATCACCATCTGCTGCCTTCCCAAGTCTATATTAACAAAAACTGGAGTCAGGAACAGAACTAAAATTCAAACCAAGTGACTGAATGTCCCTAAAGATAATTTGTTCAATTTTGGGACCAGCCCTGTGGGTTAACCTACCACCTGCCATGTCAGCATCCCATATGAACCCTGGTTCCACTTCTGATCCAGGTCCCTGCTAATGTACCTGGGAAAAGCAATGGAAGATGACCCAAATGTTTGGGTCACCTTACCAAATCATGCTCCTGACCTCTTCCTGCTTGTTACAGCCGTTTGGGGAGTAACTGATGAAAGACTGATCAATTGATATCTCTCTCTCTTTCTCTGCATTTCCCACTCTGTAACTCTTTTTTTTTCTAAGATTTATTTATTTATATTGCAAAGTCAGATATACAGAGAGGAAGAGAGACAGATAGGAAGATCTTCCGTCCGATGATTCACTCCCCAAGTGAGCGCAACGGCTGGTGCTGCGCTGATCCAAAGCCAGGAGCCAGGAACCTCCTCCAGGTTTCCCATGGGTGCAGGGTCCCAAAGCTTTGGGCTGTCCTCGACTGCTTTCCCAGGCCACAAGCAGGGAACTGGATGGGAAGTGGAGCTGCCAGGATTAGAACCAGCGCCCATATGGGATCCTGGCGTATTCAGGGCAAGGACTTTAGCTGCTAGGCCACGCCGCCAGGCCCGTAACTCTGACTTTCAAATGGATGAATATACCTTAAAAAGAAAATTTTAACCTTTGACATACATGAAATGAAACCAGTATATAACATCTCATATGTAGAGTGAATTAGTCAGTTTTTAAAATATAAGCAACCACTAAATGAAGTTAAACAGTTTAAGAATCTTATATAAGCTATATAACTAATTTTTCATATTTTGCCTGCTATTCTCATGAGAGCCTGGCAGTTTTAGACCGTTTGAAGAATGTCTTGCCTTTGTTTCAGAAAACATCTGGCTTTGAAGGGAAAATAAAAGTGAGAGACCCCAAGTTCTGGCTTCTGTCTGCTACTGTCACCTTCACAGCTATTGTGTGTCTTTTTTCATTCACAATGTCTGAAACTTGAACTAGGACCTCTTGACATTTAAAACACTGGTAACAATACTTTCAAAAAAGGGAATTACTTTGCTTTCTTAAGAACTTTTAAGATGGATAATTAAATGAAGAAAATAGCTAGAAAATATATTAGAAGGTGTCTAGATCTACCACCTGAGAAAATAGAGGTCAAAAGTTAAGAAACCTGTGATCTCAATTAGTGTTCATTTGTTAATAAATTACAGGTCATCCTCAAATTAGTGATCAGGCAATATATTTTTCAATAGACACCATAAAAATTGTCTAGTTATATAAACCCACAATAATTTGCATCATGTAAGTGTTCTATTAGAAAATCATTGCAGAATAATAAAAATTATCTGCGTATATAATAATTTGGAGAACAAATTTTTTTTGATCCATGTTAATTTGATTTTCTTTCCTCATATAAATAAGAAGTTTTTCCATTGGTATATTCATCTAGCTAACTGTGCATTCACTGAAATAATAAATGTATTGAAATTATGAAGTTAATCAGTGTTACCTTTGTAAGAAACTATAATAATTCACAACTTCAAGCCTCAGTTTGAAATGAACTTAAGTAAATTCATGTATATTAAGGCCTTTTTCATATTCTTAGGTTATGACTGTAATCTTAAAGGACTCTAGTAAAGAAAATACAAATTTGAGACCTTTATAACAGTGAAATTCCCCAGGCCTATCAGGAGATTCAAGTTGAATTTATGTGAAACTGAATTCTCTTCTACTTGGCCTTTATATAAAAAAATGGTATTGAGAAAACTAGGTGAATTTAAGTTAATACCAGGAATTAAATGTAGTGTGTTGACTGCTGCAAGTGAAAAGCCGTTCTAAAATTTTAATTGAAACACAAGTTGACTGTATTTACTTTCGAAATAAATTTACCATTAAGCTAAAACTAGAAATCCATCATCTGTAGTCACTGTAATCATCCTTATATCATTTTCTGTCTTTAGTAAGCTATTTTAAAGTGAGCAGCTACTTTTAACCAGTTTTCAAAAGATAACAAATGATTGCTTGTAAATAAGGTTTTAATACCCACTTCTTCTCTGAGGAGCTTTGTCCCGTTTACTTCACTCATTTGCCAATGTACAGCTTAATTTCTGGCTTGCCTTTGTCCTTAAAATTGCTTTTGAAAGTTAACATGATAAATGATTAAACTTACGTTGATTATGTATGTTTTTAAAGTAAGTCTGTACATTTATAAAGAATCAGGACCTTAGGTTTCTGTAATGTGTCAGTACACCAAATGTCTGAGTTCAGTTACGGATATTTTATTTTAAAATGTTCTTCAATAATCTTCGATATTCTGATAAGAATGTTTCTGTTGTGTCTTTTTTTTTTTTTTTAACACCATCCAAACAGCTACACTCTACCTCACCAAACATCAACTTGGGACCATCTGGAAATCCTCAGTAAGTTTAATTTGTTTCACACAATCCTCAAACTAACATTTTAGAAGATTTCTCTTGAAAATGTGTAGATTTGTATAATTACACCATCCTAGCTGGAGGCCTGTGAAATCTAACCGTACGTAGTTGGAGTGAGTAGAGTACCCTTTGACTCATTCACTTGCTGGCTTTTCATTAGTTTGGTAGAGCCCTGAGCAGGTGTTAATTCACATATTGTTAATTGGATTGTGCTCTTTTGCACTGTGACTATTCTGGTTTGATAATTATGCGTATAGAATGTCTGGTGGCTGTTTGCCAAGGGACCGTAGGTGCTCTTAGACAAAAACAGCCTCACAGGGTTACTTCACAGTCTGCCACTGCTTGTAATTTTTGCTGTACCCTAGTTGCTGTCTAGTTTGTTGCAGAGGAGTCATGCTGGATATTAACATATGAAAGGTTGTGAGACTTTATCCAAATTTTTTTTCCATATTACCATATTTATTTGGGCAAAAGGGAAACATTTTGAGGAACAGAGTCTGGAAAATAATGGGGTGAAAAGATGAAAGTCAGCTTCATCTCACTGTCAGCTGCAGTAGTTCATTGGGAATGACTGCCTGGAGTACCAGTAGTTCAAAGGCTGCTTTGTGGCTCAATTTGAGGAGTGCCCAAATTGATTAGAAACAGCTGGCACAGATTGCAGCAGCATGTAGTGTTGCCATCCTACTTGTCCTTACAGGCTTGTTGGGCTAGTTCTAAAATGCAATTCTATCATAGAACATCATGCTGCCTGGTGCCCTTTTATTCTATTTGGAGAATAAATGGTAGCCATAATGGTCCAGGGATTGAGCCTTGAGACTCTTCAACATCAGGAGGTCAAGAAAGAACCATTAGTGAAACTGAGAGAATTATCAAGGGGATGAGGAGGAAGCCAAGAATATGGTGTCCTTGTGTCAGGAAAAGAAATTGTCTTGATGAGCTGAGAGTGTTTAACTGTTAGTGTTACTGACACAAATGTAACACATTGACAGAAATTGAAAATTGACCACTGGATTTGATGAGCATTTGGAGGTGTGGAGGAAACAGCTCACAGGAGAGCATTGTAAACAGGTGTAGAAAATGAGTTTATACAACTCAAGGGAAATGAGATGGTAGCTTGAAGTAAAAAATTAGTCCAAATAGCAGGTTTCTGAAGAAGAAAAATGTCTAAATTGTGTTTATCTATCAATCTTGCTGTTTAATCTAACCTTGTTATTGCTGTCACATTTGAATTTGCTGTTCTGTTTGTAATTAAATCAAGGAACTTTCCAGTGTAAGTGGCGTCATTTCCCTTTTCCTTAGTGCAGTGCAGGACTTCGGCTTGTGTTGAAGGATATAATAGCTCTGTGGGCTCAGCTTCCTCCTGCTGGTGCTTTAGCAGTCAGAGCTGCTTTACCTGATACATTACCTAAATATAAAAGAGGTCTTCCATCTGGCTTTTCTGTTTCTTACTCACCCATGTCACCGTCAGTGAGAATAAGCCAAGCGGTCTTCTGACTTTAATGAGATGACTTCTTTTGTTCAGTAAGTTTTCCTAGCATCATTACTGATGTTTCAACCAGTAGCTTCCAGGATAATCACCAGATACTAGATAGCTCTAGGGATGTATTGTGGATTTCTCAATTTCCTAAATAATCTGATGAAATTCAGTTAATAAAATTGGTTTAGCTAGATGCTGCTTTAAACTCAAAAGTATATACAAGAATGTAGACACATTTCTGTGGAGTTAAGTCTAAAGAGATTACTGAAGTCTTAAAAATGTTAAGGAGGGTATAATTATGAAGTACCTCATTGAGACTGTTGGTGTTTCTATTATATAGTAAAGGTCAACTTCTACCAGTGTGAAACCTGGGATTCATCATACGGAATACTTTATACCCAACTTATACTTGCTGAAGAATGAAATGCTATGTAATGTTTAAAAGTTAGCATTTTTTTTTTGATTTCTGGGAGACTGATTCTTGTCCTTGTTATTTTAGTGCTAAACCAACTGACTTTGATTTTTTAAAAGTTATTGGGAAAGGCAGCTTTGGCAAGGTAAGAATGTTTTTATTAAAAAGTACTTCTGGGATGCATTATTGTGTTAACTACTGTGTTTTTTTTTCATATGCAGGATATGGAGTTAAGATACTTTCTGTACTGTCAAAAATCATAATAGGAAAATTAAGGAGATAAAGTATCTACTTAAATTTGAAACAAAACTCGTTGTTTAACAAATATGTGTTGAACATTTACAATGTACCAGGTACCCCTGCAGACCCTGGTTGAACAGCGCTGGTGTGGTCATTACCTTTGTGATGTTTGTAGCCTTGTTGGGGAAAGAGTCCATAAAAACAATCCAGTTAGGATGTATGTTTGCTTAAAGGGCTAGCTCCCTGAAGAACACCTATATTCTGCATCAGAGTGCCTCATTTGAGTCCTGGATCCTCTATTTCTTTTTTTTTTTTTTTTTTTTTTATTGTTGCTTACACTGTATTATGTAGTACAGTTTTATAGGCGCTGGGGATTCCCCCCACCCCTCCCCATACCCCTCCCCCCATGGTGGATTCCTCCACCTTGTTGCATAACCATAGTTCAAGTTCAGTTGAGATTCATTGCTTGAAAACACATGCCTAGCATAAAGTTCAGCGTCTTATTGTCCAGATAAGTTCAGTGGCCTCTTGGGGAGACCTTCTATGGTCTGAAGATAGGTCTAACAGAGTAAAGATCCGGTCAGTTAAAAGCCCCAACAAGGCCTCAGTATCAATATACAACATTATGGAATTAATTGACATAGTAATGGGTAAACAATATGTTAAGAATAATGCGAGTTCCATTCTTCGAAACAACTGGGTTGAGACAGTATCAAAGACAGGTTCAAAAAATAACAAACAACCAAACAAAAAATTACAGGTTAAATCAAGGCAAACATGTGGTATCTAATCTTTTGGGATTCACTCATTTCCCTTAGCATTATAGTTTCCAGTTGTGCCCATTTAGCCACAAAGAACTGCAATTTGTTTTTTTTAATAGCTGAGTAGTATTCCATGGAGTAGATGAACCAAAGCTTTCTTATCCAATCTTCTGCTGATGGGCATTTCGGTTGCTTCCATGTTTTTGCAATTACTGATTGTGCTGCAATGAACATAGGGATGCATGTTGGTTTGTCGTAAAACAGGTGTTTTGGATATATTCCTAGGAGTGCTATTGCTGGGTCATATGGCATGCAGATTCCGAGTTGTTTGAGTGTTCTCCAGACTGATTTCCATAAAGGCTGTACCAATTTGCAGCTCCACCAGCAGTGGAGTAGGGTTCCCTTTTCCCCGCATCCTCGCCAGCAAGCGTCGTTGGTGTTCTTGTTTATGTGGGCCAATCTTACTGGTGTTAGGTGGTACCTCATCGATGTTTTAATTTGGATTTCCCTTATTGCTAGGGAGCTGGAACATTTTTTCATATGTTTGTTTGCCATTTGGACTTGTTCCTTTGTGAAATGTTTGCCCATTTCCCTTGCCCATTTCTTGAGTGGCTTGTTTGTTTTGGTTTTTTGGTTGTTTTGAAGTTCTTTGTATATCCTGGAAATTAGCCCCCTATCGCCTATATCGTGTGCAAAGATCTTCTCCCACTCTGTGGGTTGCTTTTTTACTTTGTTGATTGTTTCCCTTGCTGTACAGAAGCTTCTTAGTTTGATGAGGTCCCATTTGTTTATTCTGTTCTCAACTGCTATTGCTTTTGGTGTCCTTCTTAGAAAGTCGGAACCTACTCCTAGGTCTTGCAGTGTATTTCCTACATTTTCTTGTAAGAGTTTGAAGGTTTCTGGATGTAGATTTAGGTCTTTTATCCATGTAGATTGGATCTTAGTGTATGGTGATAGATGTGGGTCTATCCTTTTGTTTCTACAGGCTATCAGCCAGTTGTCCCAACAACATTTACTAAAGAGGCCTTCCCACTTGCTTGAGCTATCATTGGTCTTTTTGTCAAAGATTAATTGGCTGTATTTGTGTGGGTTCCCTTTTGGTGCTTCTATTCTATTCCATTGATCTTCCTTTCTGTCTTTGTGCCAGTACCAGGCTGTTTTGATAGCCACTGCTCTATAATATGTCCAGAGGTCCGGGATTGTGATTCCCCCTGCTAACCTCTTATTTTTCAGGATGGTTCTAGCTATTCGTGGTTTTTTGTGTTTCCAGATGAACTTTTGAATCATTGTATCCAGTTCCGTGAAGAATGTTTTGGGCAATTTGATTGGAATTGCGTTGAAAATGTATATTGCTTGTGGTAGTATAGACATTTTAATGATATTGATTTTGCCTATCCAGGAGCACGGGATGTTATTCCATCTTTTGAGGTTTTGTTCAATTTCCTTTTTAAATAGTTTGTAGTTTTCTTCGAATAGGTCTCCTACGCTTTTGGTTAGATTTATTCCCAAATACTTCATACTTCTCTCTGTTGTTTTGAATGGTATCCTGTTGGTTAGATCTTCTTCCATCTTGGTGTTATTTGCGTACACTATGGCTGTTGATTTTCGTTCGTTAATTTTGTACCCTGCCACTCTGCCAAACTCTCGTATAAGTTCTAGCAGTTTCTGTATTGAGTCTCCTGGTTTTTCTATGTATAGGATTATGTCATCTGCATATAGTGAAAGCTTGACTTCTTCGTTTCCTATACGTATGCCTTTGATTTCTTTTTCTTGTCTTATGGCCTCTGCAAGTACCTCTAGGACTATGTTGAATAGCAGTGGTGATAGCGGGCACCCTTGTCTTGTTCCAGATCTCAGTGGGAAGGGTTCTAGCTTTTCTCCATTCAGTATGATACTGGCGTTGGGTTTTTCATAAATTGCTTTAATTATGTTGTGGATTTTCCCATCTATGCCTACTTTGGCTAGAGTTTTTAGCATGAAGAGGTGTTGGATTTTGTCGAAAGCTTTTTCTGCATCTATTGAAACTATTATGTGGTTCTTGTTTTGCAGTTTTTGGATATGGTTTATAACATTTATGGATTTCCGAATGTTGAACCATCCCTGCATTCCAGGGATGAATCCTACTTGATCCGGATGAATGATCTGTCTGATGATTTTTTGAATTCTATTGGCTAGGATTTTGTTGAGAATTTTAGCATCAATGTTCATCAGAGAGATAGGTCTGTAGTTTTCCTTCTCTGATGGTTCTCTGTCCGGTTTTGGGATTAAGGTGATGTTGGCTTCATAGAATGAGTTTGGGAGGGTTGCTTCCTCCTCTATTGTTTTGAAGAGCTTGTAGAGGATTGGGGTTAGTTCTGTTCGGAATGTTTTGTAGAATTCTGTAGTGAAGCCGTCTGGGCCTGGGCTTTTTTTCGTTGGGAGATCCTTGATGACTGTTTCAATCTCTACCTCGGTTATGGGTTTATTTAATTCTGCAGTTGCCTCCGGACTGAGTTTTGGTAAGTGGTGGGAGTCCAAGAACTTTTCTATTTCTTGGTGGTCCTCAAATTTGTGGGAGTACAGTTCTTTGTAGTAATTTCTAATTATTTTCTTAATGATTGCAGTGTCTGTTGTTATGTTGCCTTTTTCATCTTTAATGCTATTGATTCTCACTTTCTCTTGTTTTTTTTTGGTCAATCGGGCCAGTGGAGTGTCTATTTTGTTTATTTTCTCAAAAAACCAACTTTTTGATTTGTTGATTTTATGTATAGTTTTTTTGATTTCTATTTGGTTTATCTCCTCCCTTGTTTTGATGATTTCTTGTTTCCTATTGTGCGTGGGACTCTTCTGCTGCTGTTTTTCCAGATCCTGGAGGTGTGAGGTTAGTTCCTGTATTTGGCGTCTTTCTTGGGCCTTGACATGTGCTCCGATTGCGATGAATCTACCTCGTAGCACTGCTTTGGCGGTGTCCCACAAGTTTTGGAGTGTTGTATCAGAGTTTTCATTGGTTTCCATAAATTTTTTGATCTCATCTTTGATTTCTTCTCTGACCCAATGTTCGTTTAATAGCATATTGTTCAATTTCCAAGAGTGCCTATACTTCCTGGGGAGTTTTGAGTTGTTGATTTCCAGTTTCATCCCATGGTGGTCTGAGAGGGTACATGGTATGATACTAATGTTTTGGAAGTTGTTTAGATTCGCTTTATGTCCTATCATGTGGTCGATTCTGGAGAAGGTGCCATGTACCGCTGAGAAGAATGTATAGTCTGTGGCCTTAGGATAAAAAGTTCTATATATGTCTACTAAGTCCAGTTGTTCTATTGTTTGTGTGAGCTCTGTTGTTTCTTTGTTGAGTTTTTGTTTCGTAGACCGGTCCATTGTTGTTAGAGGTGTGTTGAGATCGCCCACAAGAATTGTCCGGGTGTCTATGTCTTCCCTTAAGTCTGTAAGTAATTGCTTTACGTAACTAGGTGCATTAAGATTCGGTGCATAAACATTAATGATGGTGATTGCTTCTTGATGGATCATTCCCTTCACCAGTATAAAATGGCCTTCCCTGTCTCTTTTGATGTTAGTTAGAATGAAATCTATCTCGTCTGAAATTAGGATAGCTACCCCAGCTTTTTTTCCTTGTCCATTAGCGTGAAATATCTTTTTCCATCCCTTCACTTTCAGTTTCTTTGCATCCTTTCTGGTTAGATGCGTTTCTTGTAGGCAACAGATGGTTGGGTCTTGTTTGATGATCCATTCTATTAATCTCTGTCTTTTGATTGGTGAATTTAGACCATTTGTGTTGAGAGTTAAAATTGAGAGTTTGCAATTTTGCCTTGCCATGTGATTGTGTTGTGTGTGTGTTGTTGCCTATGTAGTTGTCTTGTTTGTGCAGCTTTTAGTTTGGAGACCTTCTTATTTGCCATCTTTGTTTGTGATTTGCCTCCTTTTTGTCTGGGACTAGCGCATTTCTAAGGAGACTTTGCAGAGCTGGTTTTGTGTAGACATATTCTTCTAGTTTTTCTTTGCTATTGAAGTATCTGATTTCGTTCTCATATACAAATGAGATCTTTGCTGGGTAGATTATTTTTGGTTGACAGTTGTTTTGTTTCAGGACTTGGAAGATCTTTGTCCATTCTCTCCTTGCTTGTAGGGTCTCTTCGGAGAAGTCAGCAGTGATTCTGATGGGTTTTCCCCTGTATGTGATCTTTTCTCTACTTCGTACTTGTCTCAGGATTCCTTCTTTGTCTTCATTGGAGTAGAACCTGAGCACCGTGTGTCTGGGTGAAGATCTCTTTGGGTCATGTCTGTTGGGAGTTCTCTGTCCATCCTGTATGCGGGGTGGATTCGTGTTCCAAGTGTTTTGGAAGTTTTCCTGTATAATTTCATCAAGCACTGCTTGCATCCCAGATTCTCTTTCTACTCCCTCAGGGAGGCCGATGATCCGAATATTCAGTTTTCTAAGGTAATCCTTCATCTCTTGCATCATTTTATTAGTTTTGCTGAGGTTTGTCTCCAGCTGTTTAATTCGCTGGGCACTTTCATTTTGTGTGTCTTCTGTTTCAGAGATCCTTTCCTCTGCCGCATTTATTCTGTTGATGAGGCTTTCAATCTTATTCTCTTGGGCATCCAGTTTGGTTTTGATTTGTTGTATTTCGGTGATTATGCGGTTCTGGTAGTCTTCCAGCTTTGTGTCCACGTCTCTGAGAAATTTTAGCATTATTTTCATCAATTCCTTTGCTGGTAACACATCCATGTCTTCATCTCGCATCGCCGATATTGATAATGGCTTTTGGCCCATGTTTGGTGGGGTGCTGGCTCTTTCATCTGGAGCACAGCTCTTTCTGGTGGTTTTTCCCATTGCGTTGGTGAATTCTGGTGGGGCAAATGAACCCGTGTGTTGAGGGGCTGTCAGATGCTTTCCTGTAGAGATTGGAGCCTGCAGACGTGGTTTGTCGAGCGTGGTAATTTTCAAGGCACCGTTGGTGCGTTCTCAGGGCCCGGGGCTGTAGAGCACCACCTTGGGGGCCCAGTGGATTCCAGGCACACTCTGGGCACCTCTTCTACAGGTGTGACACCCCAGGGCGTGGAGGGATGGAGGCGCTCTCTGGGTGTGCCCCCTGCACGGGAATCCGCAGGACTTAGAAGGTTTTATGTGCTTTCTCCTTGCGTTCTCCGTGTCAGGGACTGCAAGGTTTTTCAGAGCCCACCTGGTGCGTCTCCCACACACGGGACTGTGGGTGAGGCACTTTCCAGGCGTGGCTCTTGTGCAGTGAATCCACCACTCGTGGTGTGTGGATGTTCAGAGCCCCTGTTCCTGTGTGGCTCTCTCACACCGGCCCTTAGCGGAGGAGTGGCCCAGGCGCCCTGTTATAATTTCACGGCAGGTTCGCACCGTGTCAGTGTGATGCAGGAGTTTTCAGTGCTCTCCTGGTGGGACGCCCACGCTCAGAACTGCAGGGTGGGAGGCGAGAGGTGAGCAGTTCACTCTATGGGAGTGGTACCTGCGTGTCGGGGACACACAGCACTACACTTCCCAAAGCTGGGCAGAGCTCTTCTGACACCTGACACCTGCGCTGTGGAGGCGGCTGCTGCAGGCGGGGCCGCCTAGTCCGCTCGGCGCAGCCGCTCGGCGCGGCGACCAGGGTCTTCCTGATGTTATCTCACTTCCACCAGGCAGGATGTGGAGGACTCCAGATCCTCGCCAGCAGCCTCTCTGCACCGAGACGCACTGGCCCCCCCAGTGTAGGAACACCCGAGGCGCCCCCCCGGGGCCCCCTCAGCCACCAAAACCACTGCACGCAGTTCCCAAGGCACAAACCCAACAGTTTCAGTCCGTCTGCCCCGCGTTCTCAGAGGCTAAAACCTCGGCAGGGGTCTAGGAATGCGGAGGCTGCCACGTCAACCCCCCGGCTCACCAAACGTTCGGCCGCTGCAGTCTGCCTCCACCGCTGCCGAAGGCTGCCGCCGGCGACGATCCGCCCGATCTCCCCGCCTCCGGGCTGTCCGCGTCTCCCGTCAGGCCGTTTTCAAAAGTGACTCAGCAGGTCTGGAGTGGGATGTCGGTTTCTCTACCTTTGCCCTGCTCCGTTCTCGCTGTTCTTCCGAGTTGTGTGGATCTTTTTGGCTCCACACTGTCCCAGGGAGCCTCACGGACCTCTCCCTGCGATTCCCTGCTGTTCCTCTTTGCTGCTTCTGTGACTTTCTATCCCTCTTTCACTGGAGACTCCCTCACAGCCTTCCTCCTACGTCGGCCATCTTCTCTTTTCCGATCCTCTATTTCTTATCCGCCTTCCTGCTAATGCACACCTAGGAAACAACACATTGCTCAAGTGCTCCCACCTGTGTGAGATCTAGATTGAATTCCAAGCCACTGACTTTGTCCTGGTCCCACCCTAATGCTTAAAGGTATTTGGGAAGGTGAACCAGGGAATGGGAAGTCTTTGTTTCCATTTGTCTGTGTCTTTCAAGGGAAAAAAAATGAAAATAAATTAATAAAAATGTTTTTGCGGATAGCCAAGCAAATAATTACAAATTGTAATATGATTTTGAAGAAAAGAAAAAAATAGGGTGATGTGACAGCACAGCAGGTAGTGAGAGGTAGAAGTCTAGTTGGGTTGATAGAGGATATCTTCTGTGAAGATGAGCTTTTTCTGATGAGCCTGGAAAGACTAAAATGAATGTCAGTGTGAATAACAGCTGGAGAGTGAAAGCAGTCTGTGAAGACTGGTAACTGTGACACTGTGTCACATGAATCACATAACCTGACAACAAAGCCATTCCAAGAAAGGAGAATCACTTGAGGCCAGGGTTACCAGGGAAAGGCATCATTTATTAAGTTATGATATCATTAAAATTGTAGGCATTTTTCCTATTGTGCTTTAGTCTGTTATAAAAATGAACTTGTATCCAGTTACATTTTTGCTGCTTTCATAAATGTTATTATGCATTGTCTATTTACTGAGTTTTTGGGGACCAGAAATTGTAACCATAACATATCCACGTTTCTACTCACTCAGCAAATATTCATTGACTGCCTGCTATTTGCTGGACTTTGTGCTACTATAAGCAATGGAAAGTGGAAAAGGATGCTGTTATCCAAATGCTCAGGCTGTGGGAATGCTGGAGTATCTGTCATCAGAACAAGAGCATTGTCTTTTACAAACATTCCATTTATACCCAGAGACTGCAAGGAGTTAGTAGACAACATCTAGTGGTTGTGCAAACTTATGTCGTGAGCAGTCTTGAATCCACTGCAAATACTTAGCAAAAATTTGAATTTGTCTGCCTTTTTCTGGGGCAAGATCCCCTAGGTTTCTTCTAGCTCTTAAAGAGTATCTTCCTCCCAGATGGAATGGAAGAAGCCCAGATCCTTCCTCACAGGATCTGATGTCATCGGAACAACAGCCAGGAGCCCTGAGCGGTCCTCAGCAACAGAAGAACAGTACACTTCCTTCAGGACTTGGGAAAGGAGCTTTCTCTGGTCCTTACTTAGTTCCAACTTTGGATCCCCACCCTCTCTTGTAATGACCATCAGGGTTGCTCCGGAACCCTCCCCTCCAAAAAAATTAGATAGACAGGGACCAATAAGGAAAGCTTAGAACAGGCAGGAAACAGTCAGCTTGGACCCATATATACCTCACTAGGTAGGACACAAAGATTAGTTATTCCTCACTAAGGTATTGAAGATTTCTCTGCACACCCCTCCTAAAACTGTTCTGTGCCTTAGTTGTTAACATATGCCTTGTTAGAGTTATAAGCCTGTTTGGACTATCCTCAAATTCGCAAAGTTCAGTAAAAATCATGCTTCAGTACTGTAAGCTGTTAAATATAAAAATGAAAATAGACATGAGACAGCTGAATAGTACCCTATAACCATTTTAAGGTGTATAGCAGCAAGTTGTGTATATACTAAAATTGAAATGCCAATGAAGTAGTCACAGGATGTGGTTAAGAACTTGCATTTTCTAACATATTGATCACTTAATACCATGTCAGTTAATTCCATAATGTTGTAAATTGTTAATGTTATGTTGTGGCTTTTCATTGGACGGGATGATATTCTGCCAACTCTGCCTTCAGACCAGGGATGGTCTCCCAAAGAAACTGTTGAATTTATCTGGACAATAAGAGGCTGGACGCTGTGCATGGTACATGCTCTCAATGAAGGAATCATGACTGGATATGAACTATACTACTTCAACAATGTGGAGGAATTCAATATGGGGGGAGGGCCTGGGGAGGGCAAGGGGGAATCCCAGAGCCTATGAAACTGTGTCATAAAACAAAATTTAAAAAAAAAAAAAAAGAGTATTTTCCTGCAGTCAAGTCTGTTACAGAAAGATACACACAGTGCTTCTTTCTTTGAGCATTCCTGATGTTGCAAGCTGTGATAGAAACCTAAATATGAAACATCAGTGTGTTTGATCGTCTCTACAGCCAGTAAGGTGGTAGTCTCAGTATTTAAGGGCACTCTTCAGCAGCCAGCATTTGAGCACGTGTGTGTACACACACAGTTCTCAGGCCCATGGACTTCAGCATACACCAAGCAATTTCAACAATTAGCACATTATTGAAGTAGTATTCTTTCTAAAATTAAAACATCTGCAGAAAAGTAGAATTGTAGGAATAAATTTGTTACTTCTGAATTTTCAAAACATCCCTGCTGTTTTTTTCTTTTTTATAAAAAAATTTAAGAATATTTGGTTTATTGAAATTACTTTTATTAAAGTATTGAAATTTCTAATCATATGCACAATTTAACCATAACAGGTTCTTCTTGCAAAACGTAAACTGGATGGAAAATTTTATGCTGTCAAGGTATTACAGAAAAAAATAGTTCTCAACAGGAAAGAGGTAAAACAAAGGATTTTCTTGTTTGCCTATTTTCTCTATTAACAGAGTTGTTTTCTGGTATATGATACAAATGAATCTCTTATATTTTCTCTAGCAAAAGCATATTATGGCTGAACGTAATGTGCTCTTAAAAAATGTGAAGCATCCATTTTTGGTCGGATTACATTATTCATTTCAAACAACTGAAAAGCTTTATTTTGTTCTGGATTTTATTAACGGAGGAGAGGTGAGTTTTATAATTTGTTTTCTAATATTGATAATAGAAGACATAACTTGAAGTTAGAGGTTTCTTTTCTTACAAGCTTCAGAAGGACAGGACATTGTCAGCTGCTGTATGTATTCAGTAGGAACCTTAGTCAAGATACTGTTTACCACACAAGATATGGAAAAGTATAACTTAAGCTAGTAGTACTTTGGAAGATTCATAAAAGACCCTGGGTTAAAGCTACAGAATGTGTGGATAGATTTGTCAACTAAGCTATACGTGAAGTATTAGAATAAGATGTGATTTGTAATGTAGATAATAATGGTTTCAACAATTGTACATCAATATTACTGCAACCTGTCATTTCCTTTCTTGCCTTTTTTTTTTAAGCAGAAAAACCTTAAGTTTAGTGGGAATGCAGGTAACATGCAGTGACAGGTTATTTGAGGGGCTGATACTTTCTGATTCTTTTACATGTATTATTTCTGTTAGTCATGATAACTTTGTAATTAAATACTCTTATACCCAAATATTAGGCAGGGAAATTGAAGTTTGGAGGGATTAAGTGATTTTCTTGATCCCTTGTGTCAAGCCCTGGGTTTCACCTAGACATCCTGACCAAGCCCATTCTTCAGCTCCTGATTCAGACTTCTCCAAAAACTTTTTTGGGCTTAAACAGCTTATATATGTGGATTATATTGCTTTGGCTAGCTACCATTTTCAATCTTTGAATAATATTTTTAATTAAAAAAGAAAGGCTTAGTAAAGTAATTGTATGATAATATCAAGAAAACTGAGCATTGTAAAATTTTTGCAGAGCATTTGCCTGAAATGGTAAGGATCCTGCAATAGTGCTCAATCAGGAGTATGGGAGGTTCACAGCAAGTAGTAAAGACATGGTTAGAGAGAGGATGATTGTTGGGTGCAGGACATGAACAAGAAATCACAGCTATGTGTTGGTACTGCATTTGTAACTTAAGTTCAAAGTCACAAAAACTATTTCTGCTCTTGTGTTTTCAGGTTATGTTTGTTTGAACCTATGTTTGAATGATTGTAATGTGTTTTCTATTTCTCCCTATTTTACAGCTGTTTTTTCACTTACAAAGAGAACGATCCTTTCCAGAACACAGAGCAAGGTTTTATGCTGCTGAAATTGCCAGTGCATTGGGTTACTTGCACTCCATTAAGATAGTATATAGGTAACATTTTTAGATATTATTTGTAAAAAAAAAAGTTGATACTCTTTATTTAATATTCATTTGTACTTTTCTCTCCTTTTAATTTGGTAGAGACTTGAAACCAGAAAATATTCTTTTGGATTCAGTAGTAAGTATTGTCTTTCTCAAATCAACCATTTCTGTTTTTGTTGTTGCTGTGGTTCCATACTGCAAGATTCCATTATTCATATAACATCATAGAGGAAGAAGAGCTTAGTAGTAGTTACAAGGAGACAGAGTGCAAAGGTAGAGGAGTAAATGCGAGAATTTGAGTGGCACAGTTGTCTTGATTGTCTTACGTGAATCCACATACCTGTGTTGCTTAGTGGTATATGTACATAGAAATAGTGGAAACTTAAAAGTGATTTAGCCATGAGCTTGGCAGCCCACTGATACAGCACTGTTGGCTTTCTGTTTCATACTGTACTATGGTAATATTGGATTGTCAGCATTGAGAAAAGTTGGTTAATAGACAAATGAGACTCTACTATTTTTGCAGTTTTTTGTAGATCTAAAATTATTTACAAACAAAAAAGCTTTAAAAATTGTCAACTCCTATTTATGCGTTATTTTAATTTGGCTGCCCCTGTACTTGTCAGGGACATGTTGTCTTAACAGATTTTGGGCTTTGTAAAGAAGGAATTGCTATTTCTGATACCACCACAACATTTTGTGGCACGCCAGAGGTAAGAAACGTGTCTTATTTATCATTCATATGGTCATTTATAAAATACAAACTTGAATTATAAATTACATATATAAATTTGAAATAAGAAAAATAGCATAAAGATTGTCACTTCTGTTTTCTGCCAGAAGGAAATATCTGGGGAGCAACCATCCTAAACATTCAGAGTTTATGGATAACTAATTTTTTCTTTTTTTTTTTTTAATATTTTTTTTTCTGGCTAAGTCAGATTTACAGAAAGAAGGAGAGACAGAAAGATCTTCCATCCACTGGTTCATTCCCCAAGTTGTTGCAATGACCAGAACTGAGCTAATCTGAAGCCAGAGGCAAGGAGCTTCTTCCATGTCTCCCGTGTGGCTGCAGGGTCCCAGAGCTTTGGGCCCTCCTCCACTGCTTTTCCAGGCCACAAGCAGGGAGCTGGATGGGAAGTGGGGCTGCAGGGGCACGAACCTGTGCCCATGTGGGATACTGGCATGTGCAAGGTGAGGACTTTAGTAGCTAGGCTATCGCACCAGGCCCTAATTAGTATTTTTAACTGATCACAAGATACTTAAAAGACCCTCTTGAGTGTCTGACAAAGATAAATTATACTGATTTTTTTTTTACTAGAAGTCCCAATTCCAGGGTAATAATAATTACCAATAAAATAATTCCAATTTAAGCATTTGCTTATAGTTACATAGTCCCTTAAGAAATCATGAAATCATTGAAGATGCCTTGAATTTGATCATTAATGGTGATTACACAACTATGTACTTCATTTTTTCATTATTTTATGATTTGAGTGACAGGAGAGTTACCATCAGCAGGTTCACTCTCTGAATGCTTGCACTGACTTGGGATACCCTGGGTCTGCCATGCAGGTGGAAGGGACGGATCCACTTACCTAAGTCATCACTGCCTCATTGGGTTTGCATTAGCAGGAAGCTGCACTGAGGGGACAAGTCCTGCTCTCAGTATTCAGCACAAATATAAAAATTGTCTACATTTGAATGGTAGCTTGTTGGTTTTTATCATATTTTTTGATAGGGTTGAAATACTTAGTAATTAAAAAAATCAGTGAATAACAGAAGAAAATATAGCCGTGGATGTGGGAGGGGGAAATCGCAAAGCAGAAGTTATTGCTGTAAAATTCCATCTCTGATCCTGTTAGCTAGGAAAGGATCTTCTCGCGACAGAATTCATTAAAATGTATGTAAAAGCCTTATTTTTCTCACTTCACACATGCATTTAATTGTTCCAAGTTTTCCTCATTTTCAGTGTATTTATAATGATCATATATGTCATGTAATATTCCAGCATTATCCTGCAGTAGTTCCAAATATAAGGGAATTTGAATTAACTCATGAAAAATTCATTAATGCCATTTTTCCATTAGATTTTTGAAGCCCTTTTGTACAGAGCTGGAAATATATGATAAAATGGCTTACTTACATGAGCCTTCTAATTAAGATCAGAAATTAATTAAAAGTATAAGTAGTTAAGGTCATCTGGTGATACCTGTGAGAATTGATTACAGGAGCCCTAATATCAAAGTCCCTTATATAAAATGCTGTTTGCTATACACTTGCTCTCATGTGCTTCAGATCGTTCCTAGGTGACTTAACTACCCACTGCAGTGTCAGTACTTCGCAAAGTCACTGAAATGAATTGTTTAGGATGAAGAACAAGGGAAAAAAAAGTCTGTACATATTTAATGTAAATGTAGGTTTTTTTCACACATGTTTTATCTATAGTTGAATCCATGGATACCTTGAAGTACATAAACAGTATGTATAATACAAATACATAATATACAATATATATAAATATAAAATGAAATACCTTGAAATCTATATATTTTTAAAAATTTCTTTATTTATCTTCTATTTATTGATTTCTTCCCCAAATGGCTGCAACTACCAGGTCTGGGCTAAGTTGAAGCCAGAAACCAGAATTCTCTCCTGTTTTCCAACATGAGTAGCAGGGGCCCATGTAGTCCGGCCATCTTCTCCTGCCCTCCCACATATATTAGCAGGAAGCAGGATTAAAAGTGGAGTAGCTTGGAGTCAAATTGCAGTTCTTGTGGGATACTAGTGTCACAAGCAGCTCCTTGAAATACATATATTTTTTCTTTTTCTAATACTAGCTCTTAGGTTTCTCTGTAAGAAACTGTGTGTGTGTGTGTGTGTGTGTGTGTGTGTGTGTGTGTGTGAGAGAGAGAGAGAGAGAGAGAGAAAATTTGTATTTAAGTCATAGTTAATAAAATGTCTAAAATCCTGTGGTTTTTAAGAGGAAACTATTTTTAATCATCTTAACCTACATATGACTAGAAGTCATCAAGCCCTTTTTTATTTCTTTTGCCCTCTCTTCAGATCACATTTTTAAGGCTTAGAAAATTATTTTCATTTATTTATTTTATGTGGGAAGAAGTTATATATTATTTAATCTAAAATTCAAATTCATTCGTATGAAATTGCAATGAGTTTGACGTTTTTACAAATTAAAATTAAATAACCATCTAACAACTTTTGGCAAGTTTTCAAAAGAATATATTAGAGAATTGATGTTATAATTCTAAATATGAATGTAATTTAGTCTTTTTTCCTTTACTGAGAAGAGGGGAAAAAGTTTCAGTTGCAACATCAAGAATTCTTTTGTCAGGACAGATTTTTGGTGTGGTGACTCAGAAAAACTGGGTCACAGCTCCACTTCACTTCCAGCTGCCTGCTGATGTGCCCTGGGGAGGCAACAGTAATGGGCCAGGTCATTGCCTTGAGTACTTGTGTTCCTAATCCCCAGGTGGCAGACCCAGATTCGGTTGTGGGCTCCTGGCTTTACCATTGCCAGCCCCAGCAACTGTGGGAGCTTGGGGAGTGAACCAGCAGGTGGAAAATACATTTCTTTCTATCTTTAAGATTAATTAATTAATTTTTATTTTTAAAATAGCGATTAATTAATTTTTAAAAATAGCTCTTTCATTGAGGAAAACATTATGAGGAAAGACCAGATGAAGCTTCCAAAATAATCTCATGAAAGATCTCTCCAGATGTATACATTATATACTCAAGATGAAGTCTCATTTTTTGTTTTCCTCTGTTGTCTAAACTGCATCAGTTTCCAAGGGAAGTACTTGTAAATGGCTGCTTTGAAAAGTGTTCCATTTGACACTGCTTGGGAACTGCTGTCATAAGATGACAACTCCTATCCATTGATAATCTGGGTAGAAATGTGTAAAGTGTGTGAACTTTTTCAGTTACTCCTCAGTTTGAGTTATGTCTTGACTTGCTCTAATATTTTCATTCTCTTCCCTAGTACCTTGCACCTGAAGTGATCAGGAAGCAGCCATACGACAACACCGTGGATTGGTGGTGTCTTGGTGCCGTCCTGTATGAAATGCTGTATGGATTGGTACGTGTTCCTGCTCTTCCATTGTTATCCCCATATGTTACCATTGACTTGGTTCTCTTGCTCTTCTTAAGATTTTATGGGCACTTGGATTAACAAAGCAGTAGTAGCCCAGTTAAAAAATCAACTGCATTAGGAATATGCACTGAAGAAGAGTAACTTTTCATTTTGTTACTGCAGTTTCAAGCTAGCATGATTATTTTTCTGTCATACCAAACAGTACTTTAAATTTCAATTTTTTCATTTCAATTTTCTCAGAAGCAGAGAGAAATCTCTTGCTAGTTCACTCCCCGAGCTTCTGCAACAGCAAAGGCTTGGCCCAAAGTAGGAGCTGCCTCCCAGGATATGTATCTTCAGAAAGCTGCAGCTGGGAGCAGGGCAAGACTTGGAACTCAGGCATATCAATATGGGATTTGGGCATTTCCATGGCATCTGAACCACTATACCAAATGTCTACCACCATTCAACCATTCTACCACCATTCAACCCTGGCACTCCAGTACCCACTGTGTCACAATATCAGCCTCCCAGGCTACACACAGTGTGAGATGCTTTTGAACAAACTGACTCTAATTCATTCAGCAAACCTTTATTGAGCTGTCTAGTGTTCTGGATTTTAGAAACCCTGTTGGAAGACTGGACCACAAATATCCACTCACCACAGGAGGCCAGAGTTGCTGTCTGGACCCAGCTGTTGTTTGCAAATCAAGGCCAAATTGAACTGTTTTAAACTCCATTTTAGTGTAACTCAGGTTTACCAGGTTTCTTCATTTTCCTGCTATTTTTTTTCAGCCTCCTTTTTATTGCCGAGATGTTGCTGAAATGTATGATAATATTCTTCACAAGCCCCTAAGTTTGAGGCCAGGAGTGAGCCTCACGGCCTGGTCCATTCTGGAAGAACTCCTCGAGAAAAATAGGCAAAATCGACTTGGTGCCAAAGAAGACTTTGTATGTAACATGTTTTCCCAATAACAGCTTTATTTGGACTTATTTAAGATTTGTAAAAGATTGTTAAACAAAACCCCATTTTTGTGGCATTGAAAAGTACCATATGTGTCCACACTGTGGTCACTTGTGTTTACAGAGAATCATACATTGTTCAAAACACTTTTAGTTGTATTTTTTTTTATTTTTGTAGTATTTTGATCCCCTTCATTCCTTATATCAAACTTTCACATTCAGTTACTTGAATTTTGTTTAATTTCTGTTCCCTCCCTTCATAAAAATGTGTAATATATGTTTTAAACTACCTAAATGTTTTAAGTTTAAATTTTTAATGCTAATCCAAAAAAAATCTTTACTCCTACTCTCTGGCAAAGTATTCCTCTGTCTTCCTTTCAAAACCCAACTTGGTTCAGAGTTTTCTGTATTCACTTCCTTTTCCCGGTCTCTCTTCGTTCTGAGTCAGCCATGAAGGTGTCGCTAGGATCACTGGATCCTTCTATTCCTCAGCTTACTTGCTGAGCAGGGATGAAACTTGCAGTACTCTGCTGTTGCCTGGGCTTCTATAGGAGCCCACATTGTTGTCATATTTTATTTTTCTGTATTTCTGCTCCCTCCATAATCCCCTTCGTAAGTCCTTCTTCTCCAGCCTGTTAAATGTAGCCATACTTGTGATTCTCAAAACCCTCTTGCTGGACAATCTAGGTTGGTCCCATGATTTTACTTCTCTGTGTGTCTTCACCTCAAGGTCTCTCTCTTTTGACCACTAGATTTACACATCTGTTGGGCTTGGCTATCTAGAGAGTACCTCTAACATAGGAATGAAATCCTGCTGTCTTATTCTGTGTTCCCTTTCATACGAAAGAATATCACTTCCATTTGGCTATTCAGGTCAGAAATGTAGCAGAGCGGTCTTCTTCGCCTTTTTTTCTTCCTTGCTCTAACTTATTCAAAGTCCTCAATCTTGCCTGTATCCACACACCTTTCCTTGGCCTCATTGTAACCCTTTCTCCAGGCATTTGTTATCTCTAGTTGGGCCAAACTGATAGCTGGTTTTTCCTTTATTGGGTCTTTACTCCATAGCAAAGATAATCTTAAATAAACCAAGACAGCCCAGTTGTGACATTCCTGTACTTAAAACTCCTTGATGATGTCTTATAAGCCTAGACTAAAATCTGAATTCTTGGTGCAGTTTCAGTATCCTCTCAGCATTCTCTTTGCCGACGTCATCCTTCACTGCACTGCAGCCACGTTGGACTGTGGCTCTTTTGTCCAGTTTGACTCTGGTTCTCTTGACACCTTTTTTGATTTGCCTAGAACATTGTCTCATTTTTTTCCATGCTAATTTGTTGAACATAACTTTTTTTAAGGGATGTTTAAATCTACAAAACTAGGCTGGATTCCAGTTTATACACTACAGTGGCACCCTGCTGGGGGGAACACTGTAATCCGTATTGTGCCAGCTTTGGATAATACCAACCCAGAGTGGAATGATTTTATTTTTTTGTTTTACCATTGGTAGTAGAGCTCATCACCTTGCTTTTTTGTCTGTCTGACTTCTAAAACTCTCTGACTTCTTTACTTCCCCAACTCAAGTAAGAATAATTCTTTGTACTTGTGATGTGCCTTGTTCTTTTTATAGCATTTTTATTTCCACATTTCATGCTGATTCTTAAAACAGCCTTTGAAATATTTAGGGCATTAATCCCATTTTACCTATCAGAAAGCTCTGTGGGGAAGACATAAATTAAAGTAAATTGTTTTAAGCAGCTGTTACTGAGGACTCTCCTAGTAATGCTTCCAGTATTCTGCCATATAAATGACACAAATATGTCTAGAAAGAAGTACTAAAGGGCAAGTGGTTTGGGCTTCATAAAATTTCTTAGTGACTACTTAACATATTCTTCAGCATTAGTAAAAGAAAAATTGTTTTTATATATTCTAGCTTGAAATTCAGAACCATCCTTTCTTTGAATCACTCAGCTGGACTGACCTGGTACAAAAGAAAATTCCACCACCATTCAATCCTAATGTGGTAAGCATGTATTAAAATCTTTTTGATTAAAATAGTAAAATATGGAATTAACTTATTTTACTCTGATTGTGAAAATCTTAACTCTAACTTGAGTGAAACAGGGTCAGTGCCTATATATTTGTAAATACATTAATGTCTCAGGGTTGTCTGATCACAATTAGTAAGTTTGGGATGACTAATTAGATACCTGAAGTTGATGAAAATATCATCTAGCAAAGTCATTTTGAAGTGCTTCTTTGGAATATGCATGAGAAAAGAATGAGCCTAGTGAAAAGTATGCGAAACAATTAGGTGTTCGTTTTAAATGCAGGTTTTTTTTTTCTTTTTAAGCAAAAGGTACTCCAGAGACATAATTTATGGTATTAACAGTGTTGAAAAAGTTTGGAAATAAATATACAACAGTAAAGACAGGAGGCCAGTGATTGTCCTAGAGGAGCTGATAGAGCAAGTTAATAAGCTGCTGCTGGAATACTGGCATCTGGTATCACAATGCCAGTTCAAGTCCCACCTGCTCTGCTTTGCTCCAGCTTCCTGCTATGGGGCCTGGGAAGGCAGCAGATGATGGTCCAAGTACTTGGGCATCTACCACCCCTCTGGGAAACCCAAACGGGATTCTTGATTCTTGACTTCATCCTCATGCACCCCTGGCTATTGCAGCCATTTGGAGGGTGTACTAGCCGAAGGAAGGTCTCTGTCACTCTACCTTCCAAATAAGTAAAAACATAAATCTTTGAAAAATAGTATTATGCTAGTTACTTTGATAGGTTCCTGTGTAAGGACATATGTTTTGTATGCCTGACAATGTTTAATTTATTCATTAAATAAGCTGCCAACTTACTCTTATTATGTATGTTTTGCAAATGAAAAAAATGGATACTCAGAAATGTCACATAGTTGGATGAAAGGTAACAGAACCAGGATTAAATATGTACATGACTCTAAAGTCAGTTATACCTCTCAGACATACTAATAGTTGTAGACTGATTTTATCTATATATATCCTGAGGTGATAGAGCCAGAATTCTCCTCCGTTAGGGACAATATCTTTTCCAAATAGCTCAAATTTCTACAGGTTGAATATCTGTTATCCAAAATGTTGGATTATCTTTCTGGATTTGGAATATTATCAAATGCATATGTTGAGATACCTTGAGGATGGGACTAACATCTAAATATGACATTAATTTATGTTTCATATACACCTTACATACCACCTTATACACAGAACCTGAAGGTCATTTTGCACATTCGATTCATTGTACCTACTTTTCAGCTGCAACCTGTCACATAAGGTCAAGCGTTGAATTTTACACTTGTGGTGTTGTGTCAGGACTTAAATATTTTTAACATTGAAACATTTCAGATTTTCAGATGTTTAGCCTGTAGTAAGAACCTAATTCCATTTCTTCTCATCTCTTAGTAAATTTGTGAGTTAAATATTTATTAGTCGCTCAGCTGAAAAATACAGGTAGTACAAGCACTCTGTCTTCAAGAAAATAGTTAATTAAAGACAGATGCAGAAAGAGGTAAAGGGTTATATAACCATGTACTGTTATGATCTAATTAAAACATATAAGATGAAGTTTGAAAAGACAAGTCTCATAATAATGTCTGATTGAAATGTGGCATCAAAGCAGCAGATAGAAATTGCTTTTGATCTTACTTTCCCTGTGAAAAAAATGAATTAGTTGATTTCTAGTCTGGTTGGCATTTGTTGTTGTATCTGAGAGACAGAGAGCTCCCATCCACTAAGTTCTCCAGATTTCCAAGGCCTGTCAGGAGTTAGAAATGCTATCCAGCTCTGCCCTCTCATTCATTGAAGTCATCCCCACCGCCTCCAAGGGTCTGCATCGAGGAAAGGCTGGAGGCAGAAGTTGGAGTCAGCTGAGCTCGGTCTCTCCAATATGTCTTAACCACTAGGCTAAAACCTCTTCTTGGTGTTTTATAATCTAATTAGGACTTGTTACTGGAAAAAGAAACAGGGTTTTTTTTTAAGATATATTTTTATTGGAAAAGCAGATTTACTGAGAGAAGAGACAGATCTTCCATCCACTGGTTCATTCTCTAAGTGGCTGCAATGGCTGGAGTTAAACTGATCCGAATTCAGGAGCCAGGTACTTCTTCCAGGTCTTCCACGTAGGTACATAGGCCAAAGGACTTGGGCCATGCTCTACTGCTTTCCCAGACCATTATCAGAGAACAGGATGGGAAGTAGAACAGCCAGGACACAAGCAGGAACCCATATGGGATCCCAGTGCATGCAAGGCTAGGATTTAATCATTGAGCCATCATGCTGGGCCCAGAATTGGGTTTCTGGTTGTACTAAGCTTCAACATTTTACAATGATGTATCTAGCATTTACTAGGAAAGTCTTTCCAAAATCCAGTAGATTGCATAAAGTGTTCACCTCCATTGCATGTGCCCAGGTAGTCTGCATCATAAAGGATTTGAATCAGTTTATTTACCTGCTAATAATGAATAAAAAGCATTTTGAAGTCTTTGTTTTCATCTTCATAATTGAAGTTATGCTATTGAATATTTATTTTTTATAAAAAGATTTGTTTAGAGGCCAGTGTTGCAGCATATTGGATTAAGCCACCTCCTGCAATGCTGGCATTCTATATGGGTGCCCAGTTCTAGTCCCAGCTGTTCCATTTACAATCCAGCTCCCTGCTAATGTACCTGGTAAAGCAACAGAGAGAGCCCAAGACCTTGAGTGCTTGCACCCATGTAAGAGACCTGGAAGAAGCTCCTGACTCCTGGCTTCGGCCTGGTCTAGCCCTGGGTTTGGTGGCCATTTGGGTAATGAACCAATGAATGGAAGATCTCTCTCTCTCTCTCTCTCTCTCTCTCTCTCTCTCTCTCGCTCTCTCTCTCTCTCTCACTGATGTATTTGAAAGGCAGAGAGGGAGACTATGGAAATAGATTTGATTGTTTGGTGGGAGCAGGCTTATAGATATCCCAGACTAGAAATACCTGGAAAACAACTGCTGAGGTAAGACTGCCTTTGTCAGTTGCCGCGTTGTTGTATTTCATCTATTAAGCAATATCCAAGCTTGTGAAATTATTACACAGAGGTAAGGTAGTTAATGGTGTTTGGGAATAGTTGACACCTTTGTAAGGTTGGCAGGTATTCTGGAGCCTTCTCCTGAAGAAGGAGACTATAGAATGGAGCTGCAGTGAAGAGTGGCCTGGCCATGCTCTAGGCAAGTCATTCACAAGTCATGTGTGAGACTAGGTCAGGACCCACACAGGGTGGAGGCTGGTAGTCCTCAAACCATTCAAGCCTCCTGCACAAGATTTAATATAACCAGAAAAAAGATGCTCATTCCTAGGTGAGGGAATAGCTCATATTAATACTGGTTGGTATCAAGGAAATGAATTCAGTTTTAAGGAATTGGGTGAGGTACAGTGGGAAAGGATAGAATTCTGGAAGCGACAGATGGGAGTGAGTGTATATTCTAGTGCCAAGGCATATTTGTGCAATAGATTTCCAATGGAGAGTGCAAGAGAAAAGTCATGAATGTTTAGTGAGTGCCTGCTGTGTTTGGCATTGTGTTAGGTCCTAGGCCCTTTCACTGTGTTACTGTGGTCCAGGACCTCTGAGGGATTAAGGCTTAGGAGTATTGTGCCTCAGCCTTTTGGCCAAGATCGAGTGAAGACTTAGTTTTGTCTGACTCCAAACCCTTACAAGACCTAAGATGATATTTTGTGTGTATAATGTAAAGTAAGGAATCAGACTTAAAGCACAAACACACATACACACACAGAAAGACTCAGAGCCCATTGTATAAAATAACATAAGTTGAAAAGCAGAAAAATTGTCTATGGCCATACCACCCTGAACGCGCCCGATCTCATCTGAAAAGCACAAAAATGTTTCAAAGAAATGAAGTAGGAAGATACCTAAGCTTACCAGGAGAAAAATTCCTAATGGAGGCTTAATGAAAGACTAAATAATAAGAGAAAGGCCAAAGATATTTGCATTTACATAGATATTTGGAGAATAGTTTTCAACTCTAAAGCCATAAGGAAAAAAAACTAGTCAATTTGAAAATAAAGAATTTAGAAGTATCTGCATAAATAAATACTACAAAAGGCTAACACCGTGGTGTAACAGGCTAAGCATCTACCTGCAGCACCGGCATCCTATGTGGACACAGGTTCATGCCCCTTCTGCTCCACTTCAGATTCAGCTCCCTGCTAATGGCTTGGGAAAGTAGCAGAGCCTGGCCCGAGTCCTTGGGACCCTGCACCCGCATGGGAGACCCAAAAGAAGCTCCTTGCTCTGGATCAGTGCAGCTCTGTCCAGTGCAGCTATTTGGGAATGAACCAATTTAATGGCCGCCTTCTCCTTAATCCTCCCCTCCCTGACCCAACAAGAACCTTAACTGTGAGAAACACAAATAATAAAAGGAGAAGAAAAACAAAAAATGTCTCCCCCCCCAAAAAAAAGCAGGAACATCTCCAAACCCACTGGGAAAGACTTGTTCACAAAAGAATTTTACTAAAGGATTAAGAAAAGCCAGGATGAATAATACTGTGTTTTTGGTGTTTTAGGCTGGACCAGATGATATCAGGAACTTTGATACAGCATTTACAGAAGAAACTGTTCCTTATTCCGTGTGTGTGTCTTCCGACTATTCTATAGTGAACGCCAGCGTGTTGGAGGCCGATGATGCGTTTGTTGGTTTCTCTTATGCACCTCCTTCAGAAGACTTGTTTTTGTGAACAGCTTGCCATTCAGAAACCATGAAGCAGTTACACATCTACGGATGGGACTGAAACTCCTTTTGTGTGCATATATTCAAATATGTATAATGAGTGCCTCATTTTTACCTGTAATGTTGGTAACTATGAAAAGTGTATTTTCTGCTGTATGCAAGAAAATAGGGCATTTCAAAGAGCTACATTTAGAATTAAAATTTGTATTCTTGTTTATTAAGCTTATTTTTGAACAAAAATTTTAAAAAGTTTTATTCTTAGCATTAACCTATTTTTAAAGACAACTTTTTTGCTATTGACTGTTTTCTTCCCTGAGTTTACACTAACATCTACCCAAGGTGGACTGCTTTTTAACAGTCTATTTCAGTTCAGTTAACATATATTAATACCTTTATAATGCTATGCTATGAGAACTATGCAATGGTACATGATCATCCAAAAGAAACCATATCTTTCCATGCTAAATCATGGTTTGAAATAACTGACTGTTGCCAGGATTAAAATGTAAAAGCATAGTTATCATATTGGCTGCTAGTTAACACTGAATAACTGTTCATTCCACAGATCATTTAACAGGCAACAAAACAAAATCAATCATTTGCTTTGGAAATACCAACTCAAATTTATGAATTATTTATCCTCTAGAAGAAAAGAACAGTTTAATGGTTAGAAATTTTAGGTATTTCCAAAGATCTGAAAGATAATAAAACAAACTGCTGATTTTTTTTTAGGTGGTGCCAAAAATGAATGTCTCTGTGTCATGTATTTATATTCAAAATATATTCTATTTATGTTCTGTTTGATCTTTTAAATGTTTAGTATGCTGTTAAGTAACTAAATCTTGGTATTTGCTTTTGCAAAGAGCTGTTTCAAAGCTGTCTTCCTAGTGAGTTAAGTAAAAACAAAAAAAAAATGATACTGAGCTTTCTAGAATATTTACCTAATCTGGGTCAGTGTAAATAAATAAGGTTTTACTATAATGTAACAAAGGTTAAAAATAATTCCAGTGCATATTCAACATCTTATGTATTTTAGACCGAGTGTAGGAAACTGACCTTAAAATCATAATGTGCCAGCTAAATTATACACTTATAATAGTAAAGAAAAACTAAGAGAAAATAACTACAGAAAAACTAAAACTGCTCAGCTTGGAATTCCAAGTCATAGAGGAAAAGATTTTGAAGTCCTGTAGGAAGCATTGTTATAAAAGAGTTGAGTGACCCAGTTTAAATGTTGCAGCAATCATTCATTCATTCCAGGCCTTCTCCTAAGAAATCACCAAAGCATTTTTCACCAATACCTTTTGGCTCTAAAATGCTCAGCAAAATTAAGGGGAGGGGAAGTTGATCATATTTACATTCAGTACACTGAATCTTGCTTAAGAGGTAAGACTTTAATATCTACACTATAAATATTTGGTTTGTTTGACACTACTGTAAGTTTTGCTTTTACATAAAATTCTTTGGTTGTAAAGCAAAAATAAAATTTCTATCTTTTTTTTTTTACTTACCCACTCCATTATTGAACTGCCAAAAATTAAAGTGCAATATTGTATATTTTTTAAGAACTAAACAGGATTTTGATGTTTTAGGATCACAAGAATAAAGTCATATACAGTATAATAAAATTAGAAAAGATGAATGATCATTTAACGCCTGCCATTATTTGAAGTTAAACTTGCTGGTATTGACATAATGATTACAAAATGATTACAAAATTACAAAACTACTTACGTGTTTGAGGAAATAAAGTATGATTTACATGTAAATTACCAGATTATCATAAGATGATATGTATAATTTAGGAAACAAGAATTCTTCTAAATTTCAAGTTTATATTTTCTTGTCAAGTCTTTTAGTAAAATGTAGACCATTTGAAGAGTTGAACATTTCATAGCTGTTAGTAAAATATACAGAAGGGTCTAAAGGAAGGCTTTTTGATAGCCTTTAATATGCCCTTATTGTATATAATACAGTGTGGACATCCTAACCTTTAGTACATCATGGTACTCAGATTTGTTTCACTGACATTGTGGGTGTCAAATTATGTAGAGGCCCTATCTACAAATTTTAATATGCCAAACCACTTTTTTGAATTAAAAAAAAATTAACAGTGAGAGCTACATTTGTATCATTGCATTAGTGACTATAAAAAGTTGCTATGTACAGCTAGTATAGAGTTAGCCACTCTGGCCTTGCTTGGTGGAAGAGGCAAGTAGCTCTGTGAGGAGTCTCCTCCAAAAGCCCTAGATGCCTTCACCTCCCAAGTGCTCTGCCTCAGAAATGTCAAGCTGCGGAGCAGGTTACAACCTAAGAATTCTGTGGGGACACATTAATTCAGACTATAGTAATGCAAAATCTGAAGAGTACACAGCTGAGTTATAGGTGGCTTCAATACTTTAAAATGGTATGCCAAGCTTTTTGTGTAAATATGGTTGGGTGGGGGGAGGGAGCAGGGAGTTCTATATAGCTACATGAAAAGAATTCACAGATGAAATGTTGCAGCTTGGAGTCATGGCTGTGGAGCTACCACCTGCAATGCCAGCATCTGATACGAATTCTGGTTAGAGTCCTGACTGCTCCATCTCCAGTCCAGCTTCCTGCTTATCTTTCTGAGAGAAACAGTAGAAGGTGGCCCAAATACTTGGAACTCTGCAACTCACAAGGGAAACTCAGGGAAGTATTTACTCAACCAGTGTATGAACATTTTATTTTCCTTTCCCTGCTCCCTAACTTTGCCTTTAAGATAATCTTCAAAGAAAAAAAAATATATACATATACATGTATGTGAATATATAAGGGCTTTTCTTTTTTACTCGTCTAATATTAAAAGCAGTTGAGGGGGGCTGGATAGAGGAAGAGTTGCCTTCTAACTTGCTTAATAACATTCCAACTGGAAATTTAGTTCATAACAGTAATTTTGGCATCTTTATCAATATTGTATAATTGTATGTCTGTAACCCTTGAAACATATTCCTTAATTCCTAACAGAATCCCTACACTGAAGTATTTTTTCATTTTACTGTTTGATAGCCTGCCCATTTTTCAGAATTAAGTCAGTTATTGGTTGCCTGAAAATGTGGTTGTTTTTCTGTAATTTACTCAAAGCAAACACAGTAGAGAAATATTGAAAAAAAAAAAAAAACTATCACACACAAAAAAAGAGTAATCTAACTGGAGTGGCCATCAGGTCCTGCAAGTGTAAAGTATTTTTACATACTTAGAAAGCAATGAATCCTCATGAGCATTAAGTTAGAACAAGAGGTATGTCTCTGCAAACTCTGCTTCTTGGAAAAACCAGTAGAGTTAGTGATTTTGCAAATCCTGCATTCAAATCTGATTTGCATTATGCTGTAAGATATCTAATCAGTTCATAGTTTTTCTGGCAAATATTCAGCAATTCACTTTAGTAGCCATTTCGATTTTAGTTAACCTTTGTGGGATAGTCAACAGTGAATTGTCAATATTTAAATGCATTTTTGGTAAGTTTTATTAAAACTGAATTCACATACTATACAATTCAATCATTTAAAATGTTCAGTTCACTGGCATTCAGTGTGTTCACAATTGTATAACTTTTGCTCAAGCCATTTTTCAGGCACTTCCCCATGGCTAAAAAAACTAAGTAAATGTGGTATATTCGTGCAATGAAATTTTATTCAGCTTTTAAAAAGGAGGAATTTCCAACCTGCTACACAAACGAATCTTGAAGACATTTTGCAAAACTGAAATAAGTCAGCCACAGATGGACAAATAACGTATGATTACATTTATATGAATTATCTAGAGCAGGGACTGAGGGAGGGAAGAATAAGGAGTTGAAATTTAATGGGGGGTAGAGCTTGTTTGCAAAGATAATTTTGTACACAAAAGGTGGGGATACTTGTATAGCAATTTGCACGTAGTTAATGCCACTGAAATGTCCACTGAGAAATGGTTAAAATGGTAACTTACGTTGTGTATGTATTTTACAACAATTTAAAAGTAAAATATATATATTACCCCTTAACAGTCAATCTGTTTCTCTCCAAGCTGTAGGAAATTCTCTAGGAAAATATAGAGATTTACCTGTTTTGGATGTTTCAGATAAACAGAATCATACAATACATGTGACCCTTTTGTTATTTGTGTTCTTCTAAATCAGCAATTGGCATAGTTTTTTATAGGGGAATATTTTAACTGTATTTGTCCTTGAATTTAAACGCTTAGCAATTTTTAAAGATTTTATTTGAAAAACTAAAGCGACTAGTTCACAGCCCAAGTGCCCACAACAGGCAGGGCAACGCCAGGCCAAAGACAGCGGCGCCTTGTGGTTTGCAAAGACCCAACTACTTGAGCCATCACATTCCAGGTGCACTGGCAGGAGGATGAATGAGAAACGGAGCTGGATGGAACTGTTCCATTTTAAAATTCATCTGTGCTGCTGCATGGATGGCCCAGTATTCCATTGTATGGCTACACCAAATCTACCTGATAGTAAAATCCCCACGTTGGGATTGTTGTTCCTTTATAAGCTTTGGTTTGCACGTGTTTTTGCTCCTCTTAGGTGGACATCTGTAACACCCTGGAGTGTTTCAGTAACTATTCATTCAGTCCTTCCAGGCGTACTCTAATGTTTCCAGCATCATCTTGCACTTCTTTAAACCTACCTTTAGGCTGTGATATGGAAAAACGAAGGATATCCCCTTTCTCTTCTCTCTGCCGTGAGGGGACAAGCATCAGCACCGCCGGGGGCGGCAGGGATTGTACGCGCGGTCCCAGCAGCCCTTGCGCGCAGCCAACGGTCGGCGGGGGCGCGCGGGGACGAGAGCCAGCGCGAGGCCGCAGCCTTCTGCGGGTGCCCGGGGTGGGTACAAACCGGAGGCTGCCGTTAAGGGAGGTTGCCCCTGGGACTGGCAGGAGTTGCATCCTGCCCTGGAAGGCCGAATTCCCTTTCCAGCCCGCAGGCTGTGAGGGTTTTCCCCAGGCCGTGGTCGCCTCACCAGATCTGACCAGTGCTGACTGAGCCTAGACTAGGGTTCCTGACGCTTTGGGAAGACTGAGAGCATTCGAATTTTATTCTCTATAGACTTTCAAAAGCTTCCCACAGCCTTCCGAGGCTCTTCACCTTTGAAATGTCTCGTTTTACCCACAATGACACCCCCAGCGTTACTCCAGCGCTTCAGAGGCCGTTGACAGCCGCGGCCCCGGCCCTGAGTTACCACAGCCTCCTGCTAGCTAGTCCCCAAGAACCTGTCCGTTGGAATAGCCCACACTTTTATTACGCTCCTAAACTCATTTCGGAGTTCAAGAGAGGCAGTTTCCTCTCACATTCCCACCGCAAACCCACCCCACTTGCTCTTGGACTGTATCTGTCCCGTTGTACAGATTCAGTGTGAAAACTTTGAAATTCTAAAATCCATCTTCCCCATTCCGTTTCATGCCTAACGCTCGAGATTGGGTCGTCTGTCTTCTAAATTAGGTGGAAACTGGTTTTCCATTCTTCTCCTTTTCCCACACTGGCAGGCAGACGTTGGTTTGCAAAGTAGAAAACCTGGCCGTATTTCCCTCAACTTTCCAAAATGCTGATTGTTTCCTATTGCCTATGTAATCATGACAGACTTCAAAATCTTCCACTGGGCGGGGGTTGGGGGCGGTTTTTGTAGTGTCCGTTGAGGCGCCCACATCCCATGTAAGAGTACCTGGGATGGAGTCTGCCCGGCTTTCAATCCAGCTTCCTGCTAAAGCGCAGCCTGAGAGATAGCCAGTTATGACTCTGGTGCTTGAGTCCTTGCTGGCAGTGTGGGAGACCTGAATGAGGTTTTGGGCTTCTTGCTTCAACTTTGACTGTTGTGAGTGAACCAGCAGGTGGAAGACTTATTCATTCTCTCTCTTTCTCTCTCTCTCTCTCTCTCTCTCTCTCTCTCTCTCATTTTTCCTGGCATTCTGCCTTTCAAATAGAGACACTTTAAAAAAAAAAAAAACCTTTATCCAGCTGTCTTGTTATCAACAGCCTTCATTAAGCCTCAGAAGTCCAATGTTCTAATGAAGTGGAGATGAGCTGTCTTGCAGATAATACACACTTTAAAAACATTAAAACCATTCTATTTGTGGCCTCAAGTAAATAAACTGAAACATTATTCCTACATAATAGCAAGGCAGCAGTCTCAATGGTCTTTAGAATGTAGCCTGAGGGGGGCAGTAGCTTAGTGGCTAAAGTCCCATCTAGCTCCCTGCTTGTGGCCTAGGAAAGCAGTAGAGGATGGGCTAAAGCCTTGGGACCCTGCACCTGCGTGGAAGACCCAACGTGGAGGACACTCCTTGTTCCTGGGTTTGGATTTGCTCAGTATTTACTGGCTGTTGTGGCCACTTGGGTAGTGAACTAGCAGGCAGATCTTTCCCTCTGTCTCTCCATCTGTCAGTTGACTTTCCAATTAAGAGAAGGAAAGAAGGAAAGGAAGGAAGGGAAAGAGAGAGAAAGGAAGGAAGAGAGAGAAGAAAAGAAAAAAGGAAAAGGAAGCCTGAACGCCAGGTAGGAGAAATATGGACTTAATAGTGTAGGGCTGATAATGTGCGGAAAAGCTAACTCCATCTCTGAAAAACTTTTTCCTCTTTTCACATCTCCTTCAGCTAGATGAAATGGACATCTACCAAATGTTATTTTTAAAACAAAATTGACTTTTCTCTATGATCTTACTCTCTTTAATCAAAATATCATAAAACAGAAGATACAATGACTCATTCACAATGCTGACTCCACATTTGGTAAAAATATTTCATGATTGTGGCTGCTTCCATGCTACCTAGTGTATTATTTTTTATATTTACTTTTATTATAAATTCAGATTTACAAAGTGAACAAACAGTGAGAAAGATCCTCCATCCTCTGGTTCACTCCCCAAGGGCCTCAACGGCCAAAGCTGAGCTGATCTGAAGCCAGGAGCCTGGAGCCTCCTCAGTGTCTCCTACTTGGGTGCAGGAGGGTCCCAAGGCCCCGGACTATCCTTGACGATACCTCCCACTCCAGGCCACAGGCAGGGAGCTGGATGGGAAGTGTAGCTGCCAGGACACGAACTGGATCCCACGTGGGATCCCGGTACATGCAAAGTGAGGACTCCAGCCACCAGGCCACTGTTCCAAGTCCTAGTGCATTATTTCTATGAAAGCCTTTACATTGTATAATTGCCTCTTTATCTATTTCACCTCACTTTCCTCTTTCTCAAGGATGGGGACCACATATTGTTCACTTTTGTATCCCACATACCTACAACAGTGTGCTATACAGTAATTAGTAGGTACAAATAATTATTTAGTAATGAATGAATGAATATACAATTATTTCAGGTACCTAATTGAAGAGCAGGTTTCATCTTAATAATTTTATTCCTCACATCTGTTCAATTACTGGTATATGTTGTTTTCATTAGTATTTAGTGTCTTTAAATGATTTTTTAAATTAATTCCACTGTTCATTCCTATGGTTTACTGTTTCACGTTGGTCACTGTCACAGGATTTAAAACCATAAGGGACTTTAATCTAATACAACTCCTTCATTTCCTTCACATAGATATTGATCCGAGAGACATTCCGTGGTTTCTCTGTAACAATCCTGAGAGCCTGGTTCTAGAGTCAACCCCTCGGATTGCCCAGGTCAGTACTCCCTTGACTGTGTAGTCTTACTTAGACTGACTTATGAAATAACTTTTAACCACCTTCATATTTTAAACAAGGGAACCTCATCGTCCCACATTGCTTATTACCACAAACATCTTTTTGGGGGATCATCTCTGTAAAGAGACATTAAAGGCTATTGTTCTTATAATTCATGATTTTGTGATGGATCTTAATATGAAGTATTATTAAAAAAAATTTTATTTGACAAAAAGAAAGTTTTGATTCCCTTTGGATATGAATTTCTTAAACTTGATAATTTTGCCTAATTTTATTTCACTCTGAGCAGTTAGTCTGTGAAGTTATATTGAGGGTCTTCAAAAGTCAAGTTTATTATTTTACTTTTAGGCTTTCTCATCCCTTCTGTGAGTTGTACAATCTGCACTGTTTGCCTAAAATTGTTGTTCAATTGATTAGTAAAAGGAAGAACCATTAACAGGGGAAAATGTCAAGTCTGAAGCTGAAGGAGGCAGCCCTTGTCTATCTTGATAGAAGTGGAGGTCTCCAGAAGTTTATGAATGATTGCAAGTATTACAATGGTATGTTTAGCAAAAGTGACTTTGTTTTAGAAATTTTCAAATAGAATTCCTACCTAAAACTATCTCAGCATTTACATTTATATATTTTTACAGATTCAAAACAGAGTTATGCTGTCTATCGCTTTAATATTTTAATAAATCCCTCAGATGCTGTGGAATTAGATACTGAACTTGGAAATCACATTTTACACCAGCCTTTGAAAGCCGCTCAAGTTTTTCAATCGGTAAGTTAAAGAAAGGGGCAAGCATTTTGTCACTCCTGGGCAATCCACCACTTGGTGCATCCAGTATTGGAGTTCTAGTACGAGTGCTAACACTTCCTCTTTGCTGCTAGCTTCCTCCTATTGCACCAAGGAGGCAACAGTTGACAGTCCAGAATCTGGGTCCCTGTCACACATGAGACCTGAATGACACTCCTGGTTCCTGGCTTTGACCACCCCAGCATGGACTATTACAGGCAATCTAATCTGGGCGTGAATCAGCAGATGGACAATATTCATATTCTCCCTCTCTCTGTAGCTTTCAAATAAAAAGTATTTTTAAAATAGGAATCATTTTGTGCCACATGAAATTTTTGATAATGTTTTTTATTTTTTTGAAATTACAGGTCTGTTTTATTGCTATTAAGACACTCTCATTAATTGGACAATTACAAACTGAAACTCAAGTAAGTTTTAGTTAAGCAAAACGAAGAATACTTAGGTTAAGTATTCTAGATGACATATACAAGTGTTCTTATATTCATGTTTTCTATTTATTAAAAATACATTTTTACAAAGTTTAATAGAACATATTATATATGCATCATTATTTCCTATGTTACCCCTTAGAACATTACATTTTTAAAATTAAAACATTTCAAGTATTCACAAACCAAAGAGAATGACACTGTGAAGCTCCTAATTAGGTGTTATCTCAAGAATGTCTTACAACTGGTTTGCTCAAGTCAGCATCAAAATAATTTCTATAACATTTTAATTAGCTCTTATATCTCATTAATCTCTTTCACTGTAGAACTATTCCCTCTCTCTCTCTTTTTTTTTTTTGTATCATTGGCTTTTTGAAGAATCTAGTTAATTTTGCTACAAATATTACATAATCTGAATTTGGTGGCTTTCTTATGGTTCTGTTGATTTCCTCTCTGTATCATATATTCTAAAGGACTTTTTAATAGATTCAGATTCAGTTCATTTTTATGAGACCATACTGCACTATATATAAAGTATATAATTATTGTGAATTTTCACCAGTGTCACAGTCAATAGATTGAAGTAACAGCTTTCTGATATTTCCATTATGTGGTTTCCCATGGAATTAGCAGTCATTGATACTCATTGCTTAGAATCCATTATTCCATTATAGTTGCAAAATTGTGATTTCTCCTTCACCTTGGCATCCTTTCTGAATTTATTATCTGAATATTCTATGAAATAAGTTTTTGCCAATTATTTGGTAACTCTTTCTATAAATTTCCAGAATATAATGAATTGAAATCTAGCAGCTTGAAATGACCTCTTTTATCTATATTCCTTTTGCTTAAATATGAGAAACCTGGGAGCTTTTCAGTATATCTCATATGTTTCAAGGAATCCTGTTATTCCTTTTTATTTTTTGTATTCTACCTTTGCTTGTTGGGTGTCACTTCAAATTTGCTTCTATGTTCTTTTGACAGATAACATAATTTTTTTTCTTTTTTTCCTTTGCTAATAATTTTTAATAGCTCCCTTGGTATCTGGCACAAGAAAGTTGCCCAGGTTCAAGTGGTACATTTTCCGGACCTGAGCTGGAATCAGCAACTTCCTCCAAGGATCCCTGGTCCTTTTTGGTGGTTAATATTTATGAGTCATGATCTGGGTGCTAAGAATAATGTTTACATTATAAACATTGGTTTTTGAGTGTTTTTAGTGGAGATGACCAGGAAATGAACATGTGCTTTTAATAAATATAGTGAGTTCATGATGCTATTTCTGGTTAAAGTTTTAGCTTACAAAGGTTTTACTTCTTTAATTTTACCCTTGAATCTATTTTCAATTATACTTAAAACTGTGAGTCCTAACAACATTATCAATGAGTTGGTTGTTCTACAATATACTAACAAAACTGTACTAAAAGTTTGATTGGATCTACAATTGCTATTAATACCATTTTTATGTTCTCATTAGATTAATATAGTGTTGAAACTAACACATCTACCGCCTCTACCAAGTTACACCCTTGATCTTTGTGAGTTTCCACTTGATTATACATCTCAGAGATATTATATGATGCAAGGAATTGTGATTGCGATGACAACAGTAACCAAGTACACACAAGGTGCTAGATTTCTTTGTTCAGATGAAGCATGTCCTCTTTCTAAAGGTAAATTTTAAAATGTAAAATAAAGAACATAAGAAATCTACTATTACTTGCAAAATTATGTGCACAATTACTTATGAAACAGAATAGAAAGGGTGGGATAAAATTTTATATACCTGCTAATATAAGCTTACTTTACATAAATTTGAAATGTGTACTTTCTCCCTGTTCCCACCTTCAACATACAACGTACAGTATAGGTACTCCTATATTGCCAAATACTTATTCTCCTCAGACATTATTCCATGGCTTCTCACACTGTTTCCTTTGCATTCTAATCAAATCGTCTGACTTGACTTCATTTCAGTTCTTTTCCAAGATATTTTCTCCGTTTACCTACTCCCACCTCTCATGGAGTTTGATGGCCCTCCACAATAATTGTTAATTGGACCACTAATAATTCACACAATAATTGTTAATTGAACCACTCTGAACCCAAAAGCAAAATGAAATTAACTGTACTTTGAAGTAAACTCATATTAAATAATGAAAAATAGTGAAATCTGAAAAGAAATGTTGCTCACCACTGTTTTTTTTTCATTCAGGATTTCAGTATATCAGAGTACATGTGCCTGGTGCTACAGAATCTGCAACAGTAAGAAATGACTTTGTGTGTGATCTCTGTGCATCTTCACTTCAAGAAGACAGAAAATTTAGAGTGCTTGGTGGTAAAAATGCAATTACATCTTGTAATTAAAAGTTTTAAGCTATGTCTGATTTAAAAATTTTTTATTTGTATTAATTTGAAAGAGATAGAAATACATAAATTTTCCATCTGATTTACTTTATAAGTATTTCCCCTTTTCTCCCTGTCCCACCCCCTGCAACTGCCAACACTGGGCCAGGAGAAATCCAGTAACCTAGGACTCAGTCTGGCACCCCATATAGGTAGCTTGGATCCAAGTACTTGAGCCATCATCTGCTGCCTCCCAGGGTGTGCATTAGCAGGAAGCTGGAATTGGAAGCAGAGCCAGGATTCAAATCCAGATGCTTTCATGTGGAGTGTAGCATCTCTTTCATTTTCCTTTTGTTAGAGATAATTCCTTAACTTTATTTATTTATTTTCTGATACAGTTGCATAGGCTCAGGGATTTTCCTTCTCCTCCTCCCCGTTTTCCCTCCCCTTCACACACTGATTTCCTCTATATTACTACAACAGTATAGTCCTTTGACAGCAGAAATTTCATCCTTCTACTATGTAAGTGTATACTGACATTGTGTTTATAGACAATGATAAAAAGTCCAGCATCCTGTTGTCCAGATATATTTGACAATTTGACTGGGGGTCCATCTTTTGTTCAAGAGTAGAAATGCATACTGCAGTGTATCTCAAGTAACATCTTAACCGCTGCCCCACATAGCTACCCAGTTCCTGATATTTTAATATGGAAATTAAATTGAATACATATTCTAATATCCAATTCTGTTTTACTCCTTGTCTTAAGACAAACAGATAGTTGAAATAATCACCACCAAGGCATTGCATGCTTTCCGAGGATATTCTAACAGTCAGCCATTTAGGTATCAATCTCTTACAATTTTCCTAAGAGGTAAGTTCACTTTGAACTCAGACTAATATAAAACATAGACTTGTGTGATTTGTGCTTAAATATTATAAATGGTGCATTTACAACTTAGTCTTCACAAGTCTTTATATCCTTGAGTATTTTTTTAAAATCGTTTAGCTAATGTGTCAGTTATTTATTCAAGCATACCACATTCTCTTAAAACAATTTTAACACCTGCTCTGTCCAAAGCATTATGTTAAGTAACCAGATCAGATTCCTAATAACGAGCCCCCATTATCTATGTTATGTATGTCTTATGTAAATACTGGGATTATTGTTTTAGAATGTAAGCTGGTAAGGACTTTGTTTTTTTACTGTACATACTAGGAACTCAGTAAATATGTGTCACATAAATGAATGAGCATTCATGAATGATTAACTATTGAGAACTACTTGGGTAAGTACCAATGAGTAGATGGAGTCTGCTGTGAAAGAGGAAGACGTTATCAATATCAGTCACTTAGGGAAGAGATGAGTTCTCATTGAGAATTCAGAGCTGTGAAAATGGAGATAAAGTTAAGGGCTTTTCTAACATCAGAACGTACCCTAGAGAGTAGCTGTAATTAAATGACTTACTATATATAAAAGTATTTGGAATATAGTAACTATTATATTAAAATTGCTTGTTACCATCTGGGCTTATATGAGAGTAAGGGACAGGGGGAGTTTAGAGGCAGGCTGAAATAGTTATAAATATTTATTTTGCCACTTGCATTTACTTAGCCCTGTGTAAATCACTTAGCCTCTTGGCTTCTTCATGTATAATTGTGGATAAGGGTATCTGCTTTACGCTTTAAAACTGCATTGTAGAGGTGTGTGTGTCAGACAAATGCTGTAGATGGAGAATGGTACCTTTTCAATTTACTTTTTTCCTAAATAGTATTACTTAGTAGGTCATTTTTATTAAGTTACTGTCATTTAATGAAAATGTGTTTAGTATATACGGAATGTTATTTTGTTTTAACTCTAATTAAAAAAATCAATATTATGGTAGGATATCTACATGATATGTCACAAGTTTCTTTAAATTAATTCCTATTTCTTATAAGTATCAAAATTCATCAGCAGTAAAAGCTACTCAACATACATTAACAGTGCTGTTATATATGGACATTATACTAATCAAAAACAAGTACTTCATTACTAACTCAACTACTGAATTGTTAGTGGCTTTGTATCTTTGAGCCATGTAATCATGTACAAGTTTCATTTAATAAATACATGTTTTCTCCTGTGTTTAATCATTTTAGATGAGTTAGTGAACAAAATTAAAATAGGAACCGAGTATAAAATTATTGGAATTCCAACCTGTGTAAAAACCTCACAAACTTCCGTCTGTATAGAAGCAAATAGCATCAGTTTTTGCAATCCAAACGGTAAGGAAAATGTTAGTATTGCAGGCAAATATTTATGTTTAAATATTTGTTCAGTAAATAAATAGTGTTTGCATAAGTTCTAGGTGCTCTTTAAGTGTTAGGAATATGCTTGTGGACAGGACAAAGTTCCTTCTCTGCCAGACAATCAGCAAATTTCTATGCCAGCCAATAAAACAAGTATAGATAAGTGGTGCCCATGAAAGAAATTAAACAAGAAGATGCTGTAGGAGCTTGCCAACTTTGAGCTAAACTTTACAAAAGTATGTGTTTATTTCTTTGGTTTAGAAGGCAGAGAAACAGATGCCCACAACCTCCAGGGCAGGGCCAGGCCACAGCCAGGAGCTGAGAACTCAGGTCCAGGTCTACTAGACCAGTAGGCGGGAAGCAAGCACTCGAGTCATCATCTGCTGCCTCCCAGGATGCAGACTGGCAGAAAGTTGGAATTCAGTGCAGAGCTAGAACTTGAACCTAACGATTCTGATGTGGGATGCAGGCATTTCAAGTCCTGTCTGAACCACTTCATCACTCATGCCAAACTTTGATTTTAGCTGTTTTATAATTAATAATGAGCAAAATGGTTCAGGATGCCCAGCACTAGCGATTAGTCAAAGGTTTTTTTAGCCATTATTTTCTGGCTAAGATAATTCTAAATAACAGTTGTGATCTGAAAAAGGAAGCTCCATAAACTAAAAATCTCTTCCTCATCTCAGTTCTGATCCAGCTCACTTATGGAGCTCTGTGGCATACCATGTTAAGCTATGGGCGATCACTCCTGCCACCTATATGAGCACTGTTTGTATCCCAGCTGCTCTGCTTTCAATCCAGCTTGCTGTTAATGTTCCTGGGAGACCACTGGAGATGGCCAACCTCTTAGGTTCCTGCCATCCATATGAAAGACCCAGATGAAGCTCCTTCCATCAGCCGGGCTAGGTTCTGTCCATTTCAGCCATTTGGAGAGTGAATCAGCAATTGGACTATCTCACTTTTCCTCTCATCCTTTCTCTCTCTGCCTTTCAAGCAATCGAACAAACAAATAAATGTTTTTAAAAAGAAATATGATAGGGCCTGGCATCATAGCCTAGTGGCTAAAGTCCTTGCCTTGCACACATTGGGATCCTACATGGGCACCAGTTTGTGTCCCAGCTGCCCCACTTCCCATCAGCTCCCTTCTTGTGGCTTGGGAAAGCAGTCAAGGATGGACTGAAGCCTTGGGACCCTGCACCTGTGTGGGAGACACAGAAGACACTCCTGGCTCCTGGCTTTTGATGGATGCAGCTCTGGCCGTTTTGATCACTTGGGGAGTGAATCATTAGACGGAAGAGCTTCCTCTTTGTATATCTGACTTCCCAATAAGAATAAAATAAATCTTTTTTTAAAAAAGAAATATGACAATAAACACAGACATCTAGGACCCAAAATACCATTTTTCAAAAGCAGAGCAGCAGAGAAACACACACATAGTCTTCCATCAGCTTGTTCATTCTCCAAATGTCCACAAAAGCTGGGACTTGGGCAAGCAGAAACCAGAAGCCGAGTACTCTATCTGGGTCTTCTAGCACTTGGGCCATCATCCACTGCCTTCCCAGGCATGTTAATACGAATCTGGCTCAAAGCGAAGCATCCTACTATGATATGTCAGCATCACAAGCAGTGGCTTAGCCCATTGTGCCATTGTGCCACAATGCCAGCTTCAAAATAATCATACTTCCTTTAACAATGCCAACATAATGTAGCACTAAGTAAACAAAGTGGATTGCACACCTACTCTTTTACCTTAACTCACAGATAACAGATTAGGAAAGGCAACCTAAATGTTGAATAGGATTGAGTATCATAGAATTGATAGATGAAATCTGCAATAATAATAAAGGATTGAAATGCAAATACTTTCTAGTTATTTCTGTTTATGAACAGAAAAGCTTCATATAAAACCATAACTAGTGAAAGAAAATACTGAAACCATACACAATTTAGTGATCTTTCAGATATTTTTAAAGAATCTATTTATTTTTGTTTGAAAGGCAAATTTTACAGAGAGAAAAGGAAAGACAGAGAGGTCTTCAATTCACTAATTCATTCCCCAAATATACAAGCCCAGCTGTTCCTCCCAGACTGACTGCCTAATGGACAAAATCACATCCCTTTCAATGAGGGGGTGGAGAAGATTTAGGGTGTCACAGTACACTAGAGTACAATTTTTTTTAAGATTTATTTTATTTTTATTTGAAATGTGTATTTACAGAAAGAAAGACAGATGAGAGAGTAGTATATACCATCAGCTGGTTCACTCCCCAAATAGCTGCAAAAGGTAGAGCTGAACCAATCTGGATGCCCAGGAACCAGGAGCTTCACCATGGTCTCCCACAGGGGTGCAGGGTCCCAAGGACTTAGGCCATCCTCTGTTGCTTTCCCAGTCCATAAGCAGGGAGCTGGATGAGAAGTGTAACAGCTAGGATGTGGGTACTTGAAGGTGGGGATTAGCCTAATGGGCCACAGTGCCAGTTCCAAGGATGGTGTTTCTGAACTAGTGCCAATACCTCCCATTGAACTTATTAACCCCCATTAAAGGTAACAAACAGAAGTGTAGGAGCAAACAAAGCAATACAGCAATACACAAACTCTGTGAACTGGCTTTGCACATATGAGCTTTTTAAAAAAGATTTATTTATTTTTATTGGAAAGTGAGATATACAGAGAGGAGGAGAGACAGAAAGGAAGATCTTCCACCCAATGGTTCATACCCCAAGAGGACACAACAGCTGAAAGCTGAACAATCCAAAGCCAGGTGCCTCTTCCAGGGTCTTCCATGTGGGTGCAGGGTCCCAAGGCTCTGGGCCATCCTTGACTGCTTTCCCAGGCCACAGGCAGGGAACAGAATCAGAAGTGGGGCAGCCAGGACATGAACTGGTGCCCATATAGAGTCCTGGCATGTTCAAGGCAAGCTGCTAGCTATTGCGCCAGGCCCACTCACACAGGATTTAAAACGAAACGGAACTGGCCCTTTGGTACAGTGAGTGGGATGACCGCCTACAGGGCTGGTATCTCTTATGGGGACCAGTTTGAGACCTGGCTGCTCCACCTCCTGCCCAGTTCTCTGCTAATGCACCAGGGAGAGAATAGTGGAAGAGGCCCAAGTGCATGGGCCTCTACCACCCATGTGGGAGACCCAGATTAAACAGCTTTCTCCTGGCGTCCCTCTAACTCAGATTTGGCTCTTAACAACCATTTGGACAGTGAACCGACAGATGGAAGATCTCTATCTCTCCTCTGTCTCTGTAACTAACAAACAAACAAACCTGTGAGAATGAAAGAGATGTGCCTGCAATTTTTAGCAACCTGTGTGGACATTCTGATTGAATGACTTGCTTCTTTTTATTATAATCCCAAAGATACAGGTGACAACATAGTCTGCAATCATAATTTAGTATAATTTTAAGGAGTATGGTATCACTAGATGAGCTATAAATTAATCATGTTAAGATTTATTTATTTAAAATCTAGAGACAGAGAACTTTTCATCTACTTGTTCGCTTCACAAATGCCCATAAGAACTGGCGATAGGGCATAGGCAAGAACTGCGGTAGCCTAGTGATTAAAGTCCTCGCCTTGAAAGTGCCAGGTTCCCAAATGAGCACAGGCTCTAACCCTGGTGGCCCCACTTCCCATCAAGCTCCCTGCTTGTAGCCTGGGAAAGCAATCAAGGATGGCCTAAAACCTTAGTACCCTACACCAACATGGGAAACTTGGAAGATGCTCCTGGCTCCTGGCTTCAGATTGGCTCAGCTGTGGCCATTGTAGCCACCTGGGGAGTGAATTATTGGTTGGAAAATCTTCCTCTCTGTCCCTCCTCTTCTCTGTATATCTGACTTTCCAATAAAAATAAATAAATCTCAAAAAAACAAAAACTGGCGATAGAACAGGCCTAAACCAGGAGCCTGGAACCATTCTGGGTCTGCCACGTGATAAGAACCCAAACTACTTGTGCTGCTTCCAGGGGGTACTTCATAGCGGAAGGTTGGATTGGAAGCAGAACCAGGACTTGAACCCACGGACGCTAATTTGGGATGAAGGCTCTCAAAGCAGCAACTTAACCACTGCCCCCAAACAATTGCCACAAAAACATTTTTTATTAAAAAATAAAAACAAAACCCCTGGGCTCAATGTTGTGCCAGCACCCTGATCAAAGTGCCTTTTGGAGTTCCTGCTTCTGATAGCTCCTTGCTTATGCACAAGGGAAAGCCTCAGAAGGTGACTCAAGTCCCTACGTCCATGTCACCCTTGTGGGACGCCCGAATGGAGTTCCGGGCTCCTGGCTTCAGCCTGGTCCAGCCATGACTGTTGCCTTCATTGGGAGAGTGACCTAGGGGATGGAAGATCTCTGTCTCTTCCTCTGTCTGTGTCACTCTACCTCTTCAAGTAAGTTAATTAATTAATATTAAACTAAAATGTAACTTACCTTTTTTCTGTTTGTTTTAAAAACCCTTTTTAATACAAATGTTATTTAATTTCAGTTCCCTTGGGAGTTAGTGACAACTTCAAGTGTCTCCTGTCCTTGACTTCTAACTCTTGCTGGAAGTTTACAGCAATACTAGCAAATATCTTTGCATCACAAATTGTTCCTCCTGGGACTTACAATTTACTCAAGCTCTGTTTGTTGATGAGTCTAGTACAGACAAGTGACCATAACAAAGAACAGGAAGATTGCCTGGATATTTTAATTATAACAAGCGATACAGTACTTGTAGACAGGTAAGTCAATTTTTACTTTCCTAAAAGATCCTGATTTAATTTTATGCTAAATGAAATTTAAACATTCACTCATGAAATAATTTTAGCCTTTTCAAAATCTAATAAATAGGTTAACGGTACCTCTAGTACTTTAAAATATTTACAACAATCCCAATAGTTAATGTTAAGGGATATTGTGCATGTGGCTATTATACATACACAGGAGGCCATTAACACCGTCTAAACAGTGAGAATTATAGACTCTAGCTTATGGCACCATAGACTAACTTTCAATCTTTCAGGAGGAAGAGGTCAAGTCATGGGGCAGATAAATTAACACTTTGTCTCCCATGAAACATTTTAAAGGAGGGGATTGAAGAGAATACTACGGCAAAATAGTCAATCCTGTTTGGCAAAATGAGGTAGTTCAGTAGGTTGTGCACTCTGAATAGTTGTTCTTTATGATGATAAAACCAGGAAAAAATTATTCTTACAGTGCAGATCTGGAGCAGCTGCCGACTTGCACTGAGATTGTACCTGAGAACTCGGTGCAGGAATGTGAAGGCCATGAAGATTGTTTACAAGTTTTCTTTCTCAGATAAGTATTGTGGTGCAGCAAGTTAGACTGCTAATGCTGGCATCCTGTATGTGAGTGCTGGTTCAAGTCCCAAAGGCTTAGCTTCTGATCCCGCTCCCTGCTCATGCGCCTGTGAAAGCAGTGGAAGCTGTCTGTAGTGCTTGGGCCCCTGCCTGCCACGTGGAAAGCGAAGATGGAATTCCAGGCTCCTAGCTTTGCCCTGGCCCAACTCTATCCGTTACAACCATATGGGGAGTGAACTAACAAGTAGAAGATTTCTCTCTTTAAATACGTCTTTAAAAAAAAATCCTCCCAAAGATTTTGATATGAGATGCCGGTATTACCAGGAACAACTTAACGTGCTGTGTCACAATGCTGACCTCATGACCCCATGTTTTCTTAATTTCATTTTCATTAATTTATTGCGAATGTAACAAAATACAATTGTTTTTTGTATTTTGTATTCTGTGACATTGAACCCATAGTTTAAAAAAATTCCTCAGCTAATTCAAATATATGGCCAAGTCTATTATGGACCATTGTTCTATATCATTAGATTCTCAGCCAGACAATGTAGCAGAACCTTCTGCCAGAAGTTGTAACTGAGTTTGTAATTATTTCCCTCCCCTAGAGATTCCAATTAAATGGTCTGTAGCGGGGATTGGTCTTGGAATGTGTTCTAAACTCCCCAGATGATTTTAATGCAGGCGAGGCTTGAAAAACATTGCTGTGTAAGCTTGCAAAAATTTTCTTTTCACATATATTATATTCTCATTTTTCTTCAAACTAACAAATTCCTCAGAATGATACATACACTAGTCACATTTTGTAGCATCTAACTACAGCTCAGAGATAATGTACCTCATCCCTCTTTGCATTATGTGTCTGTCTGCTAATTATAGTTGATTGCACTAACAAGCTATGATTTCTGTGCCAAGGTTTGAAAGCTAAGCTAAAATTTATACTCCTTTCTTAGAATTTAAATTTGAGAAATGAAGATACAATTAGCAGTTAGAAATGAGAAGGATGCATCAAAAGTTGCCATGATACCAAGGCAGCAGGCATGATCAGGATGGGACCTCAGCAAACACAATGCCAGAGTCTGAAAAGGCAAAAGAAAGCAATCATGGAAAGAGGAAGACCCAGTTCAATGTTATCTTTCTGAAATTTTCTCCTACTCCCAGGAAAATTAATATTCTTTCATGGATGTTTTGAAGACATTGTGTGGTGCTTACCACATTGTGGTTGAGTTTTTCTGCCTTCATTTCTAGGCTATGAGCCTTCTAAGTTCAAGGCTGTTTCACTTATGAGAGGTCTTCAGAAAGTTCATGAAAAGTACGTGATAAAGCCATGCACAGATTTCAGGGTTTTTTTTTTTTAACCAAAAGAGTTATCTTTTAATTCCATTTTCACAACCTTTTTGAAGTCACTAGGTATGTTTTGTCCTTAACACGTAGCTGGCATATTACAAGTGCTCAATAAACATTGATTCAAATTCAGTGTAATTGGGAGTGGGCGTTTGGTATAACAATAAAGATGCCGATTAGAGCACCTCCATCCCACATCAGAGTTCGAGGGTTCCATGGCTGCTTCTAGCTCCTGATTCCAGCTTCCTACTACAGATCCCGGAGGCAGCAATAACCAGTTAAGTAACTGGGTTCTTGCCACATGTGTAGCAGACCAGAACTAAGGTCTCACAGGTTCAGTCAGGCCTCAGCCTTCTCTTGGGTGCATTATGGGAGTAAACCCTTGAATGGTAGCTCTCTTTGTCTCTTAAGTAAATTTATAAATAATGAATAAATAGAATCATTGCTTCTTATAAACTTTTATTTATTATGTAGTTGCTAACATATTATCACTCCTGAAAAAATCATAATAATCATAAATAACATTATTTTTCTCTAGACTTTTGAATTTTAGCATAAACCTTGTTCCCCGTGGTATACGCCATTTGGATTCTGCTGAAATTTTTCCCACTGTGTCCAGGAATAAGTATGGAACTGGAGCAGTCAGCATCCAGGCTGGCAGTGCTTTGCTTGCTAAGGGTGGCATTTGCTTTATAGGAGACTTGGCTTCCCACAAAAAGGATAAACTTGACCAGCTTCAATCAGGTACACAACATTGCTTTTCAACTTAATTTTCACTTGTTTAAACTATGGTCTCATCTATGCCAAGGAGTTCACACTTAAGTAATTAAAAATATATTTGGCTGATATTTATTATTTCAGTTTTATTAATAAAAACAAGAACTTTAAAGTACAATTGAACTATTTCAGTCTTGTTCTCAATTGTACTATCATACAGGTTTTTATGCGTTACTTTTCCTTAGCCTGTTGTTATGGTGGATTATATTGATTTTTTTAAATCTTTGAGTAGCCTTTAATACCTGGGCTAAATCCTGTACAGTTCATTTTTATATACTGTTAGGTTTGGTTTGTTATTATTTTGTTGGGGATTTTTGCTTCTATGTTTATGTAAGATACTGACCTATAGTTGTTTTTTTTTTTCTGTGATGTGTTTGTGTGCAATTTGCATATTATTGAAATACTGGCTGGCTAGATTTGTAGCTAACAAGGATATGGACAGCTATGGACTAGGAAACAAGCAATCAATCTTTAAGAAACAAAAAAGGTTTATTTATTTGAAAGGTATAGTTACAGAGAGAGTGAAAGATGGAGAGATCTTCAATCTGGTAGTTAATTCCTTTAGAGGCTGCCACAGCCAAAGTTGGCCAGGCTAAAACCAGGAGCCAGAAACTTCTTCCAGGTCTTCTACCTGAGTGCAGGAGCCCAAGTATTTGTGCCATCTTTTGCTTTCCTAGGCACAATGCCAGGGAGCTGGATCAGAAGTGGAGCAGCCGGAACATGAACTGGCTCCCATATGGGATGCCAATGTTGCAAGCGGTGGTGTAACCACCATGCTGGTCCCATGTGGGACTCCCTTCCCAAAGATTCGATCCTCTGGAACCCCGATATCGGAGGGGCTGAGTCGACTGCCCGCCAACCAGTCTCCCACGCCAGAGACAAACAGACCGGGAAAGAGTTCCTGTCCAAGCAGTTCTGGCTTATTTGGGCAACGCACAAACAGCAAACAGCTTCAGGCCAGGAATTCCAGGAATTCCAGGAGAGGAAGAGAACTAGGAGCCAATCGTGGGGAAGCCACCTCCACTAGGCCACGGGCTGACCAATGAGTCCTTCTTTAAAACAACTTGATCCCTGCCCTGGTTCACGCCCAAGGCTCTTCCGTTAGCTGCCATCTTGTGACTTGTGACCTATTTGCCCTTGCGCCCCACAGTCCTGAGGCGGTGCCTCCTTGATGTACTAGCATAGATGTACAAGAATGCTCGTAGCACATAGTATATTGTTTCACTCTATCTGAGATGCAGAGAGGCAGATAGCATGCCCACCTGCCTGTTTACTCTCCAGATGCCCATCACTGCAATGGCTGGAGTCAGGCCGAGCTGAGGCTAGGATCCAGTTCTGATCTCCCATGTGAATGGCAGGGACCCAAGTAATTGAGCCAACATCTGCTTTTCCCCAGGTTGTGTTAACAGAAAGCTGGAATGGGAAGCAGAGCCAGACCCTAACATAGAAAACAGACATCCCAACCTGTCTTAACCACTAGGTCAAACACCTGCTCCATAATTTTGTCTTTGAATTTTTAAGAAAAGTGCAGTGAGAAAATGGAGACTAAAAGAAATCAGAAGAGGCACATGCAGGTATGTTTCTATATAGCCTGCTGCCGTATTTCTTTCTTCTTCTTTTTTTAAAGATTAATTTATTTTTATTAGAAAGTCAGATTTGGGCCCGGCGTGATGGCACAGTGGTTAAAGTCCTCCCCTTGCATGCCCGGGATCCCATATGGACACCGGTTCTAATGCCGGCAGCCCCACTTCCCATTCAGCTCCCTGCCTATGGCCCGGGAAAGCAGTTGAGGATGGCCCAAGGCTTTGGGACTCTGCACCCGCGTGGGAGACCCGAAAGAGTCTCCTGGCTTCGGATTGGTATAGCATCCACTGTTGTGCTCACTTGGGGAGTGAATCATCGGACGGAAGATCTTCCTCTCTGTCTCTCCTCTCTGTATATCCGCCTTTCCAAAATAATAAAATAAAAATCTAAAAAAAAAAAGAAAAAAGAAAGTCAGATTTACAGAGTAGGAGAGACAGTGAGAAAGATCTTCCATGCACTAGTTCACTCCCCAAATGGCTGCAGTGGCCAGAGCTGGACTGGTCTGAAGTCAGGAGCCAGGAGCTTGTCACATCCTTAATTAATTAGGTCATATCCCTTTATTAGTCAACCACTTACATTGAAAATGAAGATACAAAAGCACAGAGAGGGCCCAGCAGCGTGGCCTAGCAGCTAAAGTCCTTGCCTTGAACACCCCAGGATCCCATATGGGCACTGGTTTTAATCCTGGCAGCTCTACTTCCCATCCAGCTCCCTGCTTGTGGCCTAGGAAAGCAGTTGAGGACAGCCCAAAGCTTTGGGACCCTGCACCCGTGTGGGATACCTGGAAGAAACTCCTGGCTCCTGGCTTCGGATTGACTCAGCTGTGGCTGTTGCAGTCACTTGTGGAGTGAATCATCAGACAGAAGATTGTCCTCTCTGTCTCTCCTCTCTGTATATCTGACTTTCCAGTAAAAAATAAATTAATTTAAAAATTAAAATTTGTGAAGCAACTCCTCTGGTCTGGAGATAACATATATACGTGTGTGTGTGTGTATCTACAGAGTACTAGTGATTCCACAAACAAGGTAAATATTCACATATTCCCTTAAAGACTGCTACTGCATAATAAAAATATAAAAGACAATATGCATGCCAATAATTTAAAATTTTAATTTTTCATTAGACTGGCAATTATTTTTAAAGACTTATTCTTCAAAAAGCAATATGACGCAGAGATGATGATGACTGGTAGTTGACAGACACCATCTCCTGGTTCCCTTCCCCACTTCCCAAATGGCTGAGATAGCCATGGCTGGGCCAGGCTGAAGCCAGGCGGTAGGAACTCCACTCTTGTCTTCACGGCGGTGGTGGGGCCCAGGTGCTTGAGCCATCTTCTGCATCTTTCCCATGTTCATCAGCAGGGAGCTGAATACAATGCAGAGAGGCCACAACTTGAACCGATGCTCTGTTTTGGAATGCCGGCATTGCTAGTGGCAGCTTTATGTGCCATTGCATGACATTGGCCCCTAGAATGGCCATTATTTCCATTAGAACTTTTTATAACTGTATTACATTTACACATCACACAGTTTGCCTATGTAAAGTGTGCAGTTTAGTGCTTTCGAGAATATTCAGAGGTGTGCAACCTTAGACTGCTAGATAAGTTTATAACATTTTTTACCATACCAATGGGAAATCCCATTAGCAGTCACTTCCCATTCCTGGCCCCTCCTCACACACCCTCACCTACAGTCCCTGGAAGCCACTAGTTGATTTTGTCTGTATGCATTTATCCATTCTGGACATTTCATATGAATAAACAAAATATATTTTAAATAAATAGAATCATAAATTTCATATAAAGAAATATGTGGTCTTATGTGATTGGGTTCTTTCCCTTAGCATACTGCTTTTAAATCCATCCATGTTGTAGAAATATATCAGTATTTAATTTTTTTTTCATGGGGAGATAAAATGCACATAAAGTTTACCACTTGAACCATTTTTAATTTTACAATCCAGTGGTATTAAAAACCTCACAATATTGTGTAACCATCACACTGTCCGTTTCCAGAACTATCTTATCATACAGAACAGGAACTTGGTACCAAAGAACAGAAAGTCCCTACTCTCCTTTTTCCTCAAGCTCCTGATAACCTGTTCCATCTTTCTCTGTAGTTTTTCTGTTAATTCATTTAACTGATTTTTGTGCCTGGTATGATATATATTTTTTTGTGCCTGGTATATATTCTATTATGATACATACTGCTTAGAATGTTTGCATTTTGGAGGCAAACCCCAGCGTTGTAGTGCATGGGGTAAGTTGCCACCTGCAATACCAACATCTCATATTGGAGCGCATTCTGGCTGTTTTGGCTATTTGAGGAGTGAACCAATGAATAGAGGATGAAATTCTCTTTGTTTCTTCTTCTCTCTATCATATTGCCTTTCAAAAATAAATAAATAAATAGAACTTTCAAAGTGTCCATTTGAACCCTGCAATCAGTGTTGGGGATATATACCTGCAAGTACAATTGCTGGGCCTTGTGGTGACTCTGTTTAACTTGCTGAGAAATCACCAGTTTTCCACAGTGACCACATCATTATACATAGTCACCAATAATGCAAGAGGAATCCGATTTTTACCATATTACCTCTATTAACATTTTACAAATGAAACTGCATTTTATAAGTAGTATTTGTAAAGGAAAAAGCTTTGTGTATTATTATTTTAACAGAGGAATTTTTCTTGCTTTCTAACCAAAAAGTCTAGATTTTCATTGTACACAAGGCCCCATAAATTAGATAATGGTAGCTGGCTTCTAGAATGGCAAAAATTAAAGACAACAAAAAAGGTGTTGATGAACATTTAGGACTTAAATATTGCTTATGGAGGTATAAAATAGTATAACCATTTTGCAACCATCCCTGGAAGTTTCTTTATTATAATGTTAAATATACATTTGTCTTAAAAACAAAACAAAACAAAACAAAAAGATTGCCTTGTTTAAGGGAGGAAGGAAGGGAGGAGAAAGAGGATCTCAGAAAGAGATCTGAGCCAGGTTGAAGTCAGGAGCCTCTAACTCCATCCTGGTCTCCTACATGGAAACAGGGACTCAAGTACCTGAGCCATCATCTTCTGCCTTTCCAGGTGCATAAGCAGAATGTTGTATCAGAAGCAGAGTAACTGGGACTTGAAATAGCGTTCCATGCGGCATGCCAGCATTGTAAGCAGTGACTTAACCTGCTGTCACAACATGGCCCCAATGAAATAAATATATTAATCCTGTGACCCATGAGAAAGGGGCAGAATAAAGAATAGGATGTTTCCAGATTTTTATTGGCGTTTTAAGGATGGGTTTTGATGCTACCAATTGGGAATAATGTATACAGGACCATGGGTTGGGAAAGAGTTGAATCATAAATTGGTTTTGAACATGCTGAATTTGAGATATATTTCACCCCGCCCAGTTCATATTCTTCTCTTTTCATTTCCCCACATATGGCCGACTTTCTATCAGTTTCTTCTGCATTTATGAATATCACTTAATTTCAGTCTCCCTTGTAAGCATGTACTACATGACCGATCTCCCAGGCCTCTGCCTGTTCCACTCAGATGCCTGAAAACAAGTCCAGCTGTGTGCTTCGGGCTGCTGGTTTTCATCAAGTCATGGGACATATGTGTAAATATTTACGTAATTTTTTTGCCTTGTTCTTTTTTAGCATCTTAAAATAATCAAATTTAGCTGTGTCTCTACTATCTAAAATTTAGACAGTAAAATTATACACAGTAATATTTGTAATTACTGTGCAGATATAAAGAACAAAATTAACTGAAAAAAATATATAAATGCTGTCTTCTCCCTTAGTTCTGGAGAGCAGAAGCATTAAAGTGTACATCCCAGGGAAGAAGTTTGGAGATGAAAATGATCAACAAATGGCCTTTCCAGTTCTGTGCAGTTTTTGGTCTTTTGTTGATATGGATTCACCTTCAAGGAGAAATACACAGAAAACCAACACTTTAATTGGCCAAATGGTAAGTTTTATATATATATTTATTGTGAAAGTGTTGACCAGAGAATTTGCCACAATTTTTAATATATCTTCTTTATGTTTTTATTATCACTTCATCTTCATATGCTTTGTCATGTACCACAAATAAACTATGACTCAATTGTTTAAAAATGTTAATGTTTTCAGTGATCAAATTAGTTACCCACTCAGTAGAAATGACTTTAAAAGGTAGTAAGAGAATTTTCAATGAATACACAAATAAAGAGGCTTTTAAAAAATCAATCACCATATGGGCGCCGGTTCTAATCCTGGCAGCCCCGCTTCCCATCCAGCCCCCTGCCTGTGGCCTGGGAAAGCAGTCGATTTTTAAAAAAAAAATCAATCACCACAAAGTTCCCAGATTGCTTAGAAATTCTTTTTTTTTTTTTTTTTAAGATTTTATTTTTATTGGAAAGGCGGATATACAGAGAGGACAGACAGAGAGGAAGATCTTCCATCCGATGATTCACTCCCTAAGTGAGCACAACGACTGATGCTATGCCAATCCGAAGCCAGGAGCCTCTTTCGGGTCTCCCACGTGGGTGCAGGGTCCCAAAGCTTTGGGCCGTCCTTGACTGCTTTCCCAGGCCACAAGCAGGGAGCTGGATGGGAAGCGGGACTGCCGGGATTAGAACCAGTGTCCATATGGGATCCCGGGCGTGCAATGCGAGGACTTTAACCACTGTGCCACCGCGCCGGGCCCGCTTAGAAATCTTAAATAATTATTACCAATGACCATTTACATGTGATTAATCTGTAATTATAAATTATGAATTAATTTATATTAATTTATAATTAATTATTTCTGAGCTAATAAAATGTCAAAATTTACAATTTGCCTACTACTCTTTGTTTGATGTAGGATTGCAGTTTGATTCCAACTAACCTGATGGAGGCATTTGGATTATTAATTAACTGCAATGAATCATCTTCTTGCCATCCACTTCTCCCGATTGTGCAACATACTTTAAAGAAAGCCATTGATCCTGAAGGGTTGCTTTATGTAGCTTCTAAACAGTTCTCAACTGAAGACTTTGAAAAGGTAAGAGGTAGATAAAATGATTTCCTGGAATGCCTGTGCTAATGTTTGTTAATTGGAAAAGAAGTTCTTTTGAATATGCATTTTTCTTTCTTGAGAATTCTTTTATTCCAGCTAGCTTCTAGCTTTTAACCCTTTTAGGTACAACTGAATAGAAATACTTTGGAGTTATAATTAAATAAACTAAGCAAAGTTGCAGTAAAACATTGATCTTTTTTTCTTTGTGCAGCTGTTCTAAAAACCATAGCTTATTCTTTAATGAATCTCTCAATGAAAAGAGAATAAAAGTAAAATATCTTTATAGAATATTATGATGGGCTGTGCAGTGACATAGTTATTTACACATTCAAAGAGACTTCTTGAAGAATGCCTTCAGAGTTCTGACTTGAGAGATTATCTAGCTGCCTTACTAACCCATTGCAGTGTCCTGACCTTTGAAAAACATGTCTGCCCTTGCAGAGAACCCAAGAATAGATAATGTAGTGCTTTTCAAGGCTGTCAAAGGTACTAAGTACTTACAACTGAAATCCTATTCACTAACAGGAGTCGGCTCACATTAAATTATGTGGGTAGGAGAAGTGAAAAACAGAGGTTATGCAGGCCCAACTGAGGCAATCCCTAAAGGGGCTGGCAGCTGGAAGCCACTGCTGACAGCACTCCCAGTAGCACAGGAAGTAAATCCTCTCCTAAAGAAGATACCCACATCATCATGTCACTATAGAAAAAGACGTCGAGAGGGCTACTAATGTAGGATTAATAGCTGGTTCTGGAGGCCTGGAGAAAGTGTGGGGTGTAAGAAGTGTAAAGAATCCAGGACATATCCAATCCATACTCCTCAAAAATTATACTTAAAATATAAATATTATAGCTAATATCAACATATAGTTCATTTTTTCTTTTAGTTCAGAGTTGAAAAAATAGAAAATAACTAAAATAGTAAGACATCTGGAAATGATGTCATAGGATAAAGTCTTTGGGAACTGGGCATCACTGATTGACAAAGAAAAAGCACAAAACTCAGAAAATTAATAATCATTGTGTTGAAGAATTATTCTCCACCAAAATCTCACTGAATCCAAGGCCCCCTTCATAGTAACAAGTCTTTGACTAGTCTTTAACTATCCTCAGAGGATACCTCTTACATGCCTCAGATGGATCTAGGAGGTGGGTAGAACAGCCCTGTTGCTCTGTGTGATGCTGACAGATGCAAGAGGGGGGTCCCTTAGATTGTTTCATTCATTGAACAAAGGGGAAATAGGGAGGGAAGGCCAATGACAGAAAGTTATAAAGAAATGAAGGCTTAAAGGCATTCACAGGGAAATGAGCTTCTGAAGGAGGTGGGCCTACAAGAACATTTGTGCTCCGAGAGGAAGATTATACATTTTTTTAAATTAATTTTCCTTATAACGATGAGACCATGATTTAAAATGTTCTGTGCCTTTGGGATGACCCCCAGATATTCACTTAATTTTAATGTAAGTATAATACACAAACTTTTAAAAATAAAATTGCAATATACACTGGATTTTTGTTACATAGACTCTATAATAAATCTTGAATCTCTTAAATTTTTCACACTTTTAATTTAGCTACTGGCTTTTGCAAAGAATATGAAAGTAGAATTCAGCTTGGAGGCGGAAAGAATGATTCATGGCTATTATCTAGCAAGTCGCAGAATCAGAACAGATTCTACACACGGATCAGAACTGTCAGCATCTGCATTAAGATATCTGTAGGTATTCATTTCAAGAGTGTAAACACTGTATTGATTCTTAAGGTTCATGTATAACAATTTTAATTGCTTTTTTGTTTGATTGCTGGTTGGTTGGTTTATAATTTACCTTGTTCCAAAAGAATCTAAAGTGGCTTAACAAATCTGATTGCTATATTGTTACTTCATTTAAACTTCCAGTAATTTCCGCTAAATTTTTGTTGGATTCCCATAGAAGTTGCATCTGAAAAAAGTGCACTGATCTCAAATGCAAAGGATTGATTTTAAAACTGTAGTTGTTTATGTTCTAGATATTTATAGATATTTATAATTGAATCTAGAAAATATTCTTAAGCATACTGTTCCTTGTAGCTCCAAATCTCAAATGGGAGCCAGTTGGTGTCTAAGCTGCTCCACTTCCCATCCAGCTCCCTGTTCTTGGCCTGTGAAGTCAGTGGAGGAAAGCTCAACTGCTTGGGCCCCTGCACCCACAAAGGAGACGAGAAAGAAGCTCCTGGTTCCTGGCAGCCCTGGCCATTATGGCCTTTAGGGAATGAATGAGTGGATGGAAGACCTCTTTATATAACTCTGCCTTTCAAATAAAAAATAAAATAAAATAGATTTTTAAAAATAACTAATTGTTATGATAAAAGTATGGACATTATAAAAACTCTAAAATGATGATTATAACATCCTGCTAAACCCTAGTCATTCCTACTTACCTCAACTTTCAGAGATATTAACTCTTAACAATTACTAAATTTTGGCCCTGGCACAATGGCTAGTGGCTAAAGTCCTCGCCTTGAATGTGGCAGGATCCCATATGGGTGCCAGTTCCAATTCCGGCAGGCCCGCTTCCCATCCAGCTCCCTGCTTGTGGCCTGGAAAGCAGTCGAGGACGGCCCAAGGTATTGGGTCCCTGTACCCATGTTGGAGACCTAGAGGAAGTTCCTGGATCCTGGCTTTGGATTGGCACAGCACCAGCCACAGCAGTGACTTGGGGAGTGAATCATCAAATGCAAGATTTTATTCTGTCTCACCTCCTCTCGGTATACCTGACTTTGCAATAAAAATAAATCTTTTCAAAAAATTACCAATTTTTTATATATTCTTCCATAATTATCCATTAAAATATTAGCATATACACATATAATTCAAATATCTAAAACATTAATGTGAGATATGTCTATGACATTTTAATTTTTTTAATATGTTCTTAGTTGAAAGGTGTAGACATACAGAAATGTTGAGCCACTGAGACCCACTGATTCATTCCACAATGCCTTCAATAACTGGGACTCTGGACCAAAGTCAGGAGGCAGGATCTCAATTTGGATTTCCTAAATGTGTGGCAGGAATCCACTACTTGAGTTATCATGTGCTGCCTTCCTGAATGAGTAGGAAGGTGGAGTCACAAGCAGAGCTAGGACAGAATGCTGGTGTCCCAAGTGGCATCTCTGTATTGTTTTAAAGATTTGTTTATTTGAAAGTCAGAGTTGAAGGAAGAGAGAGAGAAAAATCTTACATGTGAACCACCACACAGATATCTAATAGCATTGTCTTTGCCTTTCTAGAAGTAAATCTGAACAATATATTGTTCCTTACTCCCTGAAAGATTATACATATTCTGTCCTGGCCAGCATTTTTAGAAGGAGCCTGGAAAAAGAAGTCATTAGTAAGGACATTATAATAAAATTTGTAATTAAGTGACATAGTAGAGAACTTCATAGGCTTAAATTATGCTCTTAATCAAAGAAGAAAGTTCCTAGGATAAAGGTGAAGCTCTGAGCCAGGTCACCAAAATCCCTAGCACAACTGTGACAGAGAAATGCAGATGCAACATTATGTGAGCAGATATATGAGGGATCCGCAGGCCTGTTCGTAACGCTGAGATTCTCATAGTGTTAACAGAGTATTGAGAGCACCTTAACATTTTGCCTCACCACTCTCTGAAGATCAAGTCACCCTGTAGTACCATCTGAAAAGAAAGATTAACCAAATGTGGCCACAAGAATAGCCTGGAAAGTGGGGACCAAGAATTATGTCTTGTGACATTAAGAAACTAACACCTAGCTGGGAGAGAAAATAGGGAACTGATAGCAACTATGTTGGGGTATGTGAAGAGCTGTCAACAGCTAGGAGGTTGTAGGCTTGTTCTGCAGTCCCAGAAGACAGAACATGAGATCAGTGGGCAGAGATTACAGTGAACTAATTTTGGTTTAGATTTATGGAAATTTTATAAATTAGATGTAAATTTTAAAAAATTCTTTTACTTATTAACCCTATTTAATAATTGAGTTGCAGTAAAATCTCAAATATTATATGATTTATTCAAGGTTGCACAGTTGGTGAATTCTAGATACCTCACCTAGGTTTCCTGATTCTCATGTTTACCAATCAATTAACTATATCACATCATCTCTTTAATGAAAGCTGAAGGGAGACCTAAGTTAATCAGAGTTCATTTAAAACTTTAAAAATAGGTGTAGGCCCAGTGTGCTGGCCTATTGGCTAAGGACCTCGCCTTGCACGTGCCAGGATCCTGTTTGGGCACCAGTTCGTGTCCCAGCTGCTCCACTTCCCATCCAGCTCCCTGCTTATGGCCTGGGAAAGCAGTCGAGGATGGCCTAAGGTATTGTAATCCTGCACCCACATGGGAGACCCAGAAGAAGCTCCTGGCACCTGGAGTCAGATTGGCTCAGCTCTGACCATTGAAGCCAGTTGAGGAGTGAACCAGCAGATGGGAGATCTTTCTGACTGTCTCTCCTCTCTGTATAACTTCCTTTCCAATTAAAAAAAAAAAAGGAAGGAAGGCAAGCAAGCAAAGGAAAAGGCATGATTAAAATTCTAAAAAAAAAAAAAGAGCTTCCTGCTGTGCACATAGATGGTGTTTGTGAAGTTGTTTTTTACAAACTAAAAATGGTAATTACTATTTTAAAAGTTAAAAAAAAACCAGAATGCTCCATGAAGCAGAGAGTATTAGAAGTTTGTTCAGAGAAGAGTGGATAACGAATATTCTGGGGAAATTCATTTAAAACTCTTCTTCTGAGAAATTCAACTTTGATCTCTAGGATCCTTTCTAACACTGAAATCACAGGATTCTATGAAGACTTCAAAATACTTGAGGAGACGGACAGAACATTGAAGATGTCTGTAAGGGATAGCTTCACCAACTGTGTAGTTAGTTTGAACAGAATTTGGTACTGGGGTGTGGAATGAATAACAGAAGCCACGACAGAGATCCACTGTTTGATAGTAAGCGCAAGTCCTTTCTTGTTCTGAAACAGTCGATTGTAAGTGGGCAGGAAGTATACTTTGAAACCTAACATTTTTTCCAAGTAAGAAAATACTGATCTTTAAGGTATGGGTAATGATCACTTATGTATTGATTGTTCCTGCCAAATTATATAATTGGCTTTCTGGTTTTATTTTTTTCCCAAAGTTTGACTTTTTTTTATTTTAGATGTATTTATTATTTACTTGGAAAACATTACAGAGAGAGAGAGAGGGAATGAGAGAGACACGTCTTCCATCCACTGGTTCACATGGCTGCAACTGCCAAATCCGGGAGCTGCTTCTTCCAAGTCTCCCTTGTGGGAGCAGGGGCCAAAGGACTTGGGACATTTTTTTTGCTGCTCTCCAGGGCATTAGCAGGAAGTTGGATCAGAAGTTGAACAGCTGGGACTTGAACTGGCTGCTATGTGAAATGCCACTGTTGCACAGGGCAGCTTTACCTGGTATAGCACAGCTTGCCCCTAGAATATTTACTTGTAATATCAACATATTTTGATTAGCATCAATTTTACTTTTTAGAGTTTCCCTATCTGAAGCCCATGCTCGACTGAACTTAAGGAATAAAGTGCTCAAAGAGGATGTGCTAATTGCAGCCTTATTATTTGAAACATCTCTCACCCTGAAATATGGTAATGTATTCAGTTATTAATGGTCCTAACTGGTTTAATTATTTTTTATCCATGGAATTAAAATTTTAGATATAATTAAACATTTTTTTTTGAGTGGTCAAGAAATAAAGAGAGAGGGAATCCTCTGGTTTATTCTTCAAATGCCCACAATGACCCAGTGTAAAGAGAGCCAGAACTTCAAGCAGGGTCTCGCACTTGGGGAGCAGGAATTCCATCATGTCAGGAAACGAGTCAGGAGTGAAACTTAATACTGAACCCAGTCACTTCACTATGGAATATAGGGATCTTAAACCACTAGAACAAATGCCAGCCCCTAAACATTATTTCAAATAATAAGTCTCTATTCATAAAGACCTATTTGAATTTAAATACTGTTTCTAGGTGATGTCATCATTCGATACTTCCTCTTTATGTATTGTTTATTTAAAGTTTGCATTGTTTAAAGAATTCTCAGGAGAGAGGGAAGTACTTAATACGAAATGATTTTATCTTCCTTCTTAAATGTGCAGTAATGTAATGAATCAAGTAGCTGGGTCCCTGCCGCTCATGTGAGACCCCTACTCGGTCCTCTGTACCCAGCTTTGGTGTGGCCCAGCCCTGGCTTTCACAGGTATTGGAGTCAAACAATAGATGAAAGCTGTCTCTCTCTCTCAAATTTTTAAAAATGCAACCAACCACTCTTAACCCAGAATCCATGGAGTCCCTTGTGTTGTGAATTCATGACTTGATATATGAGCTTACACGTTCATGCCTTAAATCTGTTTCTTTCCCTAGAGAGATGGATTATAAGCTTTATAAACTATGTCTTAGAGATTGATTACATTCAGAAAAGGCTAATTATCCTGAAGAAGCTCTATACACCAAGAGGAAAATACGGGTTCCCATTTTTTTTGCTCTTTACATTCTCATTTAACACCATATTTTATCAAATCTAACATGCATTATTTAATGTATCATAAAGGATAAATGCTGCCAAGCTTATTAATGTGCCATCAATGACTAAGACACAACTTGATTTCAGTAAGACAAAATGTCTTTGAGTTGAAAAACTGGTTATCACAATACTAAAGATTCTCGCAGTAGAATATGATGGAATATTGTTACTTGTTGACTTTTTCTCAGACTTTCTTGAAGCATTCAAAAAAGCATTTGAGAGAGATAAAATAGTGAATTTTCTTCCACTTTTGGTTTTTAAAATAAATGTTAGGAAAGCTAACTTTCAAGTTTTAAGCAAAACAATGCCAGCAGCTCCTTAAATATTAGAATGAATAAAAAATAATCTTTTGGATGCAAAAACTCAAAAGATTGGTGGCAGGGATTGAGAGGACAAGGAAGAGTTGAGAAAAACTCCGAGCCGAGTGATGAAGCCATTTGCTAAGACTAGGAAGAGTGAAAGGGTTTGGGAGAAAATTCACATTAACTGAGAAGGCCTATTGCCATATCACTGGATGAAAGACTCTATAGAGTTTTAACCTAGGATTGTAATTTAGGAATCATCAGCATAGAGAGGTCATGCAAAGCAAAGCACTGAATTTAAAAAAAAGAACTTTACTTTACAAAGAGCTCCAGGGCCAGTGCAGTGGCTTAGTGTGATAATCTACCTGTAGCATCAGCATTACATATGGACACCAGTTTGAGTTCCAGCTGTTCCACTTCCTGACCCAGCTCCCTGCTTATGGCTTGGAAAAACAGCAGAGGTCCTTGGACCCCTGCACTGACATGGGAGACTAAGAAGAAGCTCCTGGCTTAAGTTAATAATTGAAACTTAAAAAGTAAAGCAGGAGGGGCTGGGAGAGGAAGGGATGAAGGAGAGAAGATTCAGTTCCAAGAAGGTCCCAAATAATTCCAGTATGCAGAGCCAGGCCTTTGGCACGGCAGTCAAGTTGCTGATCTAGACACCTGCAGCTCACAGCAGAGTGCCAGGTAAGTCCTTGGTATTTTGCTTCTGACTCAATTTCCTGCTAACTTGCAGGAAAATATCAGTCCCTATCACTATAGAAGACCCAAGTGAGTCCCCAACTCCTAGCTTAAGCCTGATCAAGCCCTGGCTATCGTGGGCACTTGTGGAGTGGGCCAACGGATATAAAATATCTGCTTTTCAAATAAAATGAAAATTTTTAAATTAACTCCAGTATTTAGAAATAGAGTAAATTAAAACAGGAGGAACAAAGGGAAGCAGCAGCACAGGTGGAAAGCAAAGGTGTGTTAACTGCTTGAGAAAGCTCTTTCCAAGGTTACAGTGTGGTCCCACACGACTCAGTGTCAAGTATTTTGGTTGAAAATAGTTTCATATTTTGTATTATATTTTCATTTACACTAATTTCTCTCATTTAGGGGCCAGCATGTTTTGTGTTGCTCCAAATGCACTATTTCCATTTGATCTTTATAACGAAGAATATTTAGAGCAAAGAGATCGCTACCTGACTCAGTGCCAGCAACAGCTCCAGCAGTTTATTGCCACATGTGGACCTGGGACAACCGTTCTATCCAGTGATGAATAAGCGATCTGGGGACATGTACATGATTTTTCCATTCCTAAGAAGCCCTGTTTGACTTTTAAGTAATACTTAAGCTAACTTTTACGTTAGAATTCCCAAACATATGGGGCCCAGCACAGTGGAACAGCACACTAATGCTCTGCCTGCTAGCACTGGCATCCCAACTGCTTCACTTCCAATTCAACTGTTTATGGCCTAGCAAACCAGTCTTCCGGCCCCTCTGCTCACATGAGAGATCCAGAAGCTCCTGGCTTCGGATCAGCTCAGCTCTGGGCATTGTAGCCATTTGGGGAATACATCAATGGAGAATCTTTTGTCTCTCCTTCTCTAATCTTGCCTTTCAAATAAATAAATCTTTTAAAATATATAGTTCCTTCAAGACGGACTGCTAAATAAATGCTAATAGAAAACCTCCAAAGTCCATGAAATTTTAGAGGAACAATTCAGAAAGAGTTGCCAGAGAAGCCCATTAAACTTTTTAGGGGCAGCCAGTTGAATTAAGACCTCTGCATCTCAGATCCAAGTTATCTGGGTTTAATACTAAGCTCTGGCTTCTGATACCACTTGGCAGTAAGAATCAGGTTCAAGTGACTGGAGGTCCGCAGGACCAGTTTCCACCTCTAAGAAAGCACACTGCTGAACAGTGTGGGCAATCGTGGAGTAAACTAGCAGATGGAAACAGTCTGCACCCCTGGTACTATCCTCCCAAATTAAGACACCTCAATACACCAGTGGTGAAACCAAAAATGTTCCAATGTGAAAAATAACTTATGTAGTTCACCCTACTGATCACAAGGTGGCAATAACATTTTCTACAAATTTGAAGCTATTTTTTTTTTTCCTAAACCTGTGAACTTGCCAAACAGATGAATAATTTTTAAGACGTTATAATAAAGACCCTGCACAATGGCTTAGCAGCTAAAGTCCTTGCCTTGAATGCACTAGGATCCCACATGGGCGCTGGTTCTAGTCCTAGCAGCTCCACTTCCCATCCAGCTCCCTGCTTGTGGCCTGGGAAAGCAGTCCAGGACGACCTAAAGCCTTGGGACCCTGCACCTACGTGAGAGACCTGGAGGAAGCTCTTGGCTCCTGATTGGTGCTGCACCGGCCGTTGTGCTCACATCAGGAGTGACCCACCAGACAGAAGATCTTCCTCTCTGTCTCTCCTTCTCTCTGTATATCTGACTTTGTAATAAATAAATCTTAAACAAAAAAAAGACTTTATTATAAGACAGTGACAGAGGAGAGACAAAGACCTTCCATCTGCTGGTTCACTCGCCTAATGGCCTCAACACGCAGGGTGGGCCAGGCCAAACCAGCAGCCCAGAACCCCACACAGGTGTCCCAGCTGGATTGTATGGCCCATGTCCTCTCCCCATCCTCACTTGCTGCTTTCACACTCTCCAAGAGCTAGATCTGAAACCAGCTAGGTCTTTAGCCAGCACTGATATGGTACACAGGTTACAGAAGCCAGAAAAGCTCTTGGAAACTTCCCCTATATAATAACCAGGTTAAACGAAAATAATCTACATGGATTCAAGGAGCCAATCAATAATCTATAGATTCCATGTGTATTTGGAAATTGGCGCTTTAACAAGAAGTTTCCAAAGGGCCATCAAACCATATCTGCCTCTTAAAAATTATGAATCCTATTTATTCCTCAAGTTTCAATGCTTAATGAATCCTATTTACACAAAAAACCATCACAAACTTGATAGTTAGCTGGGATAGTCCCATACACTGGTTTTAAAATTGGCTTTTTAATCCTTAGTTTTTAAGTTTACAAAACAAAAATTTTATGGTCTAGGGCCCAGCGGTGTGGCCTAGTGGCTAAAGTCCTTGCCTTGAATGCACCAGGATCCCCTATGAGCGTCGGTTCTAATCCCGGCAGCTCCACTTCCCATCCAGCTCCCTGCTTGTGGCCTGGGAAAGCAGTCGGGGATGGCCCAAACCTTGGGATCCTGCACCCGTGTGTGAGAGATCTGGAGGAGCTCCTGGCTTTGGATTGGCACAGCACCGGCCATTGCAGTACTTGGGGAGGGAATCGTCGGATGCAAGATCTTCCTGTCTCTCCTACTCTCTGTATATCTGACTTTGTAATGAAATAAAATAAATCTTAAAAAAAATTATGGTCTAAATGTTCCTATGCATGACATCATGGAATTGTTTTTAAGATTTATTTTTATTGCAAAGTCAGATATACAGAAAGGAGGAGAGACAGAGAGGAAGATCTTCCATCTGATGATTCATTCCCCAAGTGACTGCATCAGCCAGTGCTGTGCCAATCCAAAGCCACGAGCCAGGAACTTCCTCCAGGTCTCCCACGTGGGTGCAGGGTCCCAAGGCTTGGGCCATGCTCAACTGCTTTCCTAGGCCACAAGCAGGGAGCTGGATGGGAAGCAAGCCTGCAGGGATTAGAACCAGCACCCACTTGGGATGCTGGCACGCTCAAGGCAAGGACTTTAGCCACTAGGCCATCGTGCCGGGTCCCATGGAGCTTTTTAAATCACACAGCTTTTCTCTCCACAGGACCTTGAGAGGTGATTTATTGAAAAGCATTGCTCATCAAAAATATTTTTACTAATATTACAATTCTGTATTATCTGTACTGTGATTCAGATTTTTTTGTTCACAAAAATAGGTGTCAAATAAACAAAATCCAAAGTTAAAATATCTTGAGTGACTAGAATGCAACCATTCAAGGACTTTATTACCCAGCAATCAGAGACATTTATTTTCCAATAATTTACTACGAAATTATTTAATTATCAAATGAGTGTGAATTTTCATCATCTGTTCATCTTCTTTGTCTAATTCTACATTTTGCTTCCAACCTGCTGTATGCCACACCTTCAAAGAAAAACAAACAAAAATCAGAAAGCAGTAGTGAAAACTATTCCATACCCAAACCAATAATCTTGTGTCCCTCCCTCCCACATAACATGGGGCATATGGACTGAGTTCCTGGCTTGCAACTTCAGCATGTACACCAACCCCCATGTCAGCAACAGGGGAGTGAAAAGATGGGAGCTCTCGTCTCTGGTGGAGGGGAGGGAACGTTAACACTTGTAAGTACCCCTCAAAAACAAATGTTGTAAAAAGGAAATAGAACTTGACACTCAAAGGCAACTTCAAAAGGAACTAGCCAAGGCTGGCACTGTGGTGCAGTAGGTTACGCTGTTTGTGACCCTGGTATCTCTTATGAGCTCTGGGTCAAGTCTTGGCCACTCCTGCTCCAGTTTCCTAATCCTGCCACAGCACATGGAAGATGTACACAGAATTCCAGTCCCTAAAGTTTCAGCCTGGCCTAGCTCCCGCTGTTCTGGCTATTTGGGGAGTGAACCAGGGAATGGGTGATCTCTCCATGCCACTTCACTTTTGAAATAAATACATCTTAAAAAAAACAAAACAAAACAAAAAAACAACACAACAAAACAACTCTGTGCCTTTAGTAGCCTATCAGACACTTGTGGACAATCCACAGAAGTGGCTGCTTGACAACTCATACTTACTTGAGGCACTGAAGTGTTTTCAAACACCACAACCAAAGGAGTGAACAGTCAGTCACCTGCAGCTACATGTGTGCTGAAAAGAAATATTTTACCCATTAAAAACAACTTTCATTACACTGCAGTAATTGACATAATCAATATAAAGATCACTGGCATCTCAGTTTTGATGTAATTTCATCAAAGAAACCCTCAGCTGGGTAAACGGCAAAAATTCAAGTCATCATTGTGCCAGCAAATACACTGACCTAAGTCAAAATTTTATGTATCACCCTGGGTACTGCCATAGAACAGCTACACCAGGAGCACAAAGTCACATACCTTGACATGAACTTGAGGTGCCTCAGCATACATCACGGGCTCCTCCAAGTTTAGTCCCAGGCATTTTTGATAGACTTGGATATCTCTCTGTCAGAACCTTCACGCATCTTCAAAACCCACAGGTTTTGCAGTACCTAAAAGATAAATATTTGTAAGTTCTCATTTGCATTGCCATTTGTCAGGGATATGAAGAAGTAAGAATCTCATTTCTTAAAAATTTCAATTTCTATTTAAGATCCGATGTGATTTATACACAATTCTAAGAACATTCTGATATTCACTTCCACTTCCCTCCCTAATAATTTCCTTATCAAGCACACTTGCAAACCAACTCCCAACTTGCTTCTTTAAAGCACCACTTCAGAATAACTGCACTGAACAATTCTTTTAAATCCCTGTGGTGATCTGATATGTGCTGGTCAGTTTGATTAGGCACTAATCATGTCTTAGATGATCTTCTTTCCAAGCCGGTGGAATAGCATTTATCACTTCTCTGCTATGTAGCAGCATTGATATTAAGGTACTATGGGTCCTAATGAGTAAACAACCATTGCTTTTCTGTCTCAGAGCATGACAAGGATGAGCTATGAGCCAGCCAGGTGAAAGGTCAGGTATACAAAGACAAACACACAAACCTGCAATTAAAGCATCACAATGGGAAATCTGTAGAGAAAGACATCATATGTTAGCAATACTGCACACAGCTGACATTGCCAAGGGCATGGCCGTTGTCTCACACAACTGCAAGACGATAAATCTTTGAATATGACAGCTAACAGAAATGATTTATTAAGACATATCACACTGCACCTTGAAAACAATTTATCATTATTTTGATGTTTCATTTGGTATTATTACCAATACAGAACACAAACAGTGTATTACAAATAACTTGGGGATTTTTTTTTCAGCTCAGCTAACTCAAGGTAATTATATTTGCAACTGTATTTTTACATGGTTTCAGAAAATCAACATTTGGAAATCAAGAGACTAATAGATACAAATTCCAGGTGTTGTCTTTGAACAGCAGAACACACACTAAAATCTTACAGTATTAGTACTAAAACAGTTTTGTTTTGTTCTTTGGTACCAATTAACGGGACAGGTACTTGGCATAGCGTTCACACAGCCTGGGACACCCGCAGCCTGCATGGGAGTGACTGGGTTCCAGTCCTGGATGTCCCAGGCTCTGCTTCCCAATGGGCACCTACCCTGGCTCAGGCGCCTGGGTTCCAGCCCCGCCACGTGGCTGCTGCGGTCCTTCGTGCACAACACCAGTGGATAACGATTTCTGTCGTTGGCTTTTGAAATTAACAAGTGTTTTGTATTTTAAAAAATCCCAAGTCTTAGCAATGGATGTAGATTAAACACCTCAAAACCAAGAACTGATGTTACTACCAAATAGCCAATTTTAAGCTATCACATTCGTCCTGTTTAACCTCTTCACTACCCCAGCTATGTATTTTAAACTGGGAGAATGAATATGCCAACTTTTACCGACGAGTTACTCATCTTACAATTTCGTTTTGATTTAAGGGTTTTGTTTTGTTTTGCTGTCTCCCGGTTGAGTCTATGATGTTCAGAAACTTGGAGTCTTTGGGTCTCCAGTACTTGACAAGTTGACAGCAAAGCACCGCTAGCTAGGAGTCGTCTTGGCACCTAAGAGCTGGCCCCTCCCCTTCTACACAACTGCCTCGTGGTTACAGGAAACTAAGCAGCCCACGCAGGGAGGCGGAACCGCCAACGCCGCACCCGCCTCACTCCGCCAGGGCCACAAAAGGCCGAGCCGCGGGCGGGGCCTGAAGCCAGGCTTCCTACTAACTCTCCAAACTGGCATCTGCTACGACAAAGAACCCGGTAAGAGGCGAAGACGGTCACCCACGACGGCGGACAGCGCAGCTGGCCCGCCGGGACACCTCGCGGCCGCCGCCCGGACCGAGCCCGCCCGAGTGCAAACGACGCGCTGGCGCCCACGGGGCAGAGACACCAGAACAAAGAGCGGCCGGGACTAAGACTGCCAGAGTTCTCACCTCCAACAGCCCGGCCAAGGGCCAGCCAACTCCGCCGCGGAGAACGCAGGGCTGCCCGCTCCTACCAGCCGCTGCCCTCGGTGCCCACGCACGAAAGGAAGCGGGGATGCCCCGAGCCCCGCGTAAACAACAAGCCTCCCTGAGGCCCGCCCCTTCCGGTCCGAGGCCCCGCCCCCTCCGGCCACGGCGGCCGCGGAGCGCTACGTGTGCTGGCTGTGCCGCGCGGAAAGCTGCGTGGGAGGCCTGAGCTTCGCAGGTGGTGTGTCGGGCCCGGGTGTGTGTGTCCGGGGTGCTGGTGTGTCGGGCCCGGGTGTGTGAGTACGGGTGTGCTGGTGTGTGAGGCCCGAGTGTGTGCACGGGTGTGCTGGTGTGTGAGGCTCATGTGTGTGTCCGGGGTGCTGGTGTGTCGGGCCTGAGTGTGTGTACGGGTGTGCTGGTGTGTCAGGCCCGAGTGTGTGTGTAGGTGTGCCGCTGTGTCAGGCCCGAGTGTGTGCACGGGTGTGCTGGTGTGTGAGGCTCATGTGTGTGTCCGGGGTGCTGGTGTGTGAGGCTCGTGTGTGTCCGGGGTGCTGGTGTGTCAGGCCCGTGTGTGTGTATGGGTGTGCTGGTGTGTCAGGCCCGAGTGTGTGTGTGTATGGGTGTGCTGGTGTGTCGGGCCCGAGTGTGTGTACAGGTGTGCTGGTGTGTTAGGTCCGAGTGTGTGTGTAGGTGTGCTGGTGTGTTAGGCCCGAGTGTGTGTATGGGTGTGCTGGTGTGTCAGGCCTGTGTGTGTATGAGTGTGCTGGTATGTCAGGCCCGTGTGTGAGAGTGAGCTGTTTTACTAACCACGCAAATGCTTATTCGACAAGTTCATGACGCGCTCAAACCAGCATAAAGGCTTCAAAGAAGGGACTGCTGTTGCTAATGCAACCCGGTTGCTTCTGATCCCTCCCATATTTTGGTGTTTTAAAAAGCGGGACAACCCGGTTTAAAAGTAAAAGGTGCTGGAAAGGGCTCCTTCAGAGAAAAATCAGTTGCCACCATACCTAGTGTTACTGCTTTTGTTGATGAGAGAACTCAGAAGCCTTCATAAAGTGAAATCGTTGCTTGCCGTATGCTGTGGATGTTGGTGTTTGATAGCCCTCTTGTGCCTAGGGAGTCCAGGCTGCGTGCACTAAACTGGTTTGCGGTACTGCCTAGAGGAGAGAGATTAGTGGTCCTGTTTCCAGAAACAACACCACGAAAGCTAATCTCTAAGTGACTGAGCTAGCAAGAGGCCATCTCTCCTTTACAAAATCAGAAATCAGGACATTAAGGCTAAGTACCAGAATACCAATTTGCTTCAAAGTAACTTACAATGTGGAAATCTAAATCTAGCAAACAAGTTGACATTATACATATTTCCTGAAGGATTCCTCTCTGATTAAGTTTTTGCTGAGTGCAGGAGTTTGGAAACTTTCAATATGCAGCATACTAGAAATTCCCGTCAAGAAGTAGTATGGGTTTCGGCCTTCATACACCCATCCCTACCTTCCCATTGCTTCTACAAGCCTCCATTAGCATCCAAGACAAGCACTTCCCCCAAATGTTTCCCCGCAGCTTTCCCAAAGGCATGGAGCACATTGGACCCGCAGGTGACAAGTAGGGACGTAGGCAAGCTGGAGCTGTTTCAGGGCAAGTGGGAAGAACTGGAGATGAGCCCGGCCATTTCCTCTGCCACAGGTGCTACCTGGGGTGCAAACAGGGCACCCCTCAAATGCTGCCAGAGAAGCTGGGTTGGGTAAATAGATACAGAGGAAGCTACCAGCTGAAGGACTTCCTGTGTTCTTTCTTCAGAGTGGATCCAGTTAAGTTCCAAGACTGAAGCTCAGGTGTGTCTAAAACTGTACAGTCACCCATATTTAAGATGGTCATTTTAGGTGAGTGACTTTAATGAGCTCTGACAGGATAATTCCATTCATTAAGTAAATGTCTGCTTTCAGCTTATTGCAGCAGAGGGAAAAACTGAAGTGGATTCTTGAAAGGGAGGCGTGTACTCACATTGTTCCACATTACGAGAAATCTGGAGATAAAAGGTACTAGGATTGATTAATTCAGCAATGCAGCGTTGTCAGGATCTGGTGGGATTCTCTGAGATTTCTGGTTGTCTCCTCATAGCTTCAAGAAAGGGCCCTGTTATATTACAACAGTGGGAGATCATGGTGTTGTGGATTGCACTCATGCATGAAGCCCCAACAGACCAAGCCACCATCGAGTCCCTCTTGTTGAATAGCACTGCCCCCAAAGCCTGCCAAGCACTCAGGTGAGACAGCTCCTGATCCTGTCTGAGAGGAGTCTGTGAGCGGAGCTATTCATCTTGCCCACTCGGTCTTCACTTGAGTGATACGCACACTTAGCCATCTGGAGCAATCTTGTGCAATCCTTTGTTGTATTTCTCCCCGTTGCTTATCTATTCCCAGAAATGTCCTTCTGGAAATGGGGTGGTTTTTTCAGCAGTCTCCTTTGAGACAGCACTCTGTTCCTGGAGATGTCTGGCTCACTTCTGAAGACAGCAGTATCTGCTGGGAGACATCTGCCCCGTCGCCTGACGGGCTGCCTTCCTAGGCCTCACTGATGCATGTTCGCTGTGCAGTGAAAACTGAAAGTTTCTGTCTTTGGATTTGAGTGGGATTTTTGTTTTGTTTAACATATGCTTATTTGAATGGCAGATCAGCAGAGGGAGACTTTTTTCCATGTACTAATTCACTTCCCAAATGCCAGTAGGACCAGCCATGCTGCAGGGAGGAGCCTAGAATTCCATCCACACCTTCCCTGTGGGTGACAGGGGCCCAAACACCACAGGGTCCTGTTGCACCACAATACCCATCTTAAGGCAGGAGTTCTGGTTACAATTTGTGCATGTAAGAACACTTCCTGAGACTCACTGAGACAGTTGGGCCTGTGTGCCCCAGGCCTACCTAACTCGTCCTCTGGAATGCATTTTGTCTAGCTCAGTGTGCCTAACATTGAAATATTCATTTTAAATAAGATAGCCTAAAACCTTGGGACTCTGTACCTGCATGGAAGACTTGGAAGAAGCTCCTGACTCTCAGTTTCTGGTTTCTAACTGGCCCAGCTCCAACCCCTGTACCTATTTGGGGAGTGAATCAACGGATGGAAGATCTTTGTGTCTCCTTTTTGTCCTGTTGTTCTGCCCTGTCAAATAAAAATAAATAAATAAATATTTTTTAAAAATATAGCCACTTGTGGGACAAGCATTTGGTCTAGTTAATCCTGCAGCCAGGATGCCCACATTGCCTATCAGAGTACCTGGGTTCAAGTCCTGGCTCTCCTTACATGGGAGGTGTCAGGTGATGGCTCATGTAATTGACCTCTGTCACCTGTATGAGAGACCTTAATTCAGTTTCTGGCTCCTGAGTTTGGCTTAGCTGTAGTGGGCATTTGAAGAATGGACTGATGAATGGGGAGGCTGTCTCGCTCGCTCACTCTTTCTGGCTCTCAAATAGGTTTAAAGAAACTGGATTGCTTGTGCAATTGCTAGGAGAATGCAAATTGATATGACCACTGGGGAAAGTGGTATGGTGATTCATCACAAAGTAAAATGAGCCCTTTCCATATGACCCAGAAATGCTACTTCTGAGAATGAGAATACTACAGATGCAATGGGATTGATAGCAGGGCCTTCAACAGTACTTGTATATCAGTGTTTATAACAGTACTGTTCTCGGTAGATGACCCAAAATGTGAGTTATGGGTATAATACACTATTTGTAAGTCTCAAAAAGGAAGGAAATTCTGATATGGGAAGACATTAAAATTATTCAAATTACAAAGAAAAAGACACATTATATCTGATTGAGGTATCCAGGATAGACAAATTTATAAACAAAGTAGAATGCTCATTGTTCGGAGCTTGAGAGAGGGACGGTGGTCACACTGAAGTGTGCATTTAAAAGTGGCTAATATGATACATTTGGTGTATATTTTACCACAAACTTTAAAAAGGTACTTAAAAAGCAAAAACATATACCATCATGTGGCCTGCTTTATACTCACTTTCATGCTGTTGGTATGCTTCAGTCACCCCAGCCTTCTCCTAGTTTTTACAAGATGCCAAGCAATACTCATATCCCAGGAATTCTCTTGTTTTCGTTTGTTTGTTCATTTACTTTTTGAGAGATACTCAGAGAATGAGACAGTCAGAGAGAGATCATTCATCCAGTGGTTCACTCCCCAAATGGCCACAACAACCAGGGCTGGGTCAGGTTGAAGCACAGAACTCCAAACTCAGTCTGGTTCTCCCATATGGACATAGGGACCCATGTGCTGGAGCCCTCACTGCTGCCTTCCAGGACAGGCATTAGCAGGAAGGGGGACTGGCAGCAGAGTCAGGACGTGAGCGCACCACTCTGATGTGGGGTGTGGGTGTCCTGGGTGTGCTCTCACAATTCAAGCCTGTGAGAGTGGAGGCCATATCATAGTATTCGGTATTTGTTGAATGAATAGGTAGATGATTCATAGATATGTATGTGCTGACCTGAAAGAAAATCAAGGCATTTTATAATTTAAAAGCTAGAGGCAGAAAGTACCTGGGGAAAATGCCATTTGGTTGAAGAAAAAACACACACATGAGATGTTATAAAACAGTTTAAAATGAGACTTTACAATGCATACCACTGGGTAGGTAGGAGAATAATTTTTAATTTATATAATTGTTTATCATTTCTGTTTTCCTGTATGTCACATTGATTTTTTTTTCATTGCAATTTGCTTCTTTTTTTTAAAAAAAATATGAGCTTGAAAGGTAGAGTTACAGAAAGGAGAGACAGAAAGAGGTATTGTATTTGTTGCTTCACTCCCCAAATGACAGCAACAGCCTGGGCTGTGCCAGACTGAAGCTAGGAGCCAGGAGCTTCCTTCAGGTCTCCCACGTGGGTGCCGGAGCACAAGTGCTCGGGCCATGTTCTACTGCCTTTCCGGGCACATTAGCAAGGAGCTGGGTTAGAAGTAGAGCAACCTATATGGGATGTAGGAGACAACTCAAGTTGCTGTGCAAAAATGCCAGCTCTAAAATTTATTTTTAATTCATTAATTTGAAAAGCATAATGATAGAGAAAGAAATATCTTCTATCC